AGGCGCTAGATGAATTGATTGATGGATTCATCTTGTTTCTGGTTGTACTCTATATGAAGCACTCGTGGCATCATCCGTACTCTCAGGGTACTCAGAAGGGCAATCAACGTTACATGTACATAATCAAAATCAATTATGTGCATTTCTAGGGATCATCCAACACAACCGGTAACATAGGAATTAGGGTGAGTGACGTTCATCAGGTCGACGTATTGACACAACTTGCCCGGAAATAGATAGAAGTTACCACCAACCTCTACTCTGTGTGGCAAGGGGTGGACATAACGCGACGTGGCTTGATTTCATTGCAAGGCTTGAGTCATGGAGATTTCTAGCTGATCAGCAACCTAGTTAGGTTCTGTCTGCTGGAGAGGTCAAGTGTTCTTGGAAGCCCAATGAGTAGAGACTTAGATGGTAGGACGTTCTTTCGTTGGCAGGATCGCCATTTGTGTAGTGGCAATCATCAAGCAGTGATCTGAAAGACAGAGCAAGACAAACGTTAGCAGGTTGATCAGACAAGTGCCCCTTGCTATGAAGAAAGAAGGCTCAAGGCTAGAAATCGCATTCATAACCTACCATATCACAATTGGGTAGGGGGAAGAATCTTCCCATTAGTCGTCCGTCGCGTCGTCTTGGGAGACCAATCCATGGATGCCGTGCAGCCAACATGAAATCAGACAAGCACGCACTATAAATATGATTAAATCTCCTGGCTTTCTCATGGTTTTCACGCAAGGCTAATCTGAATGTGTATAACCCTGCAGAACATACGTGCTGTAAACAATGATTGATGTTAAACAATGCAGTAGCAATTATGCGATACATGTATGTACAATCAGTTGCCTTAAATAGTTAATAATCGCACATTTATTGGTTTCGAATGCGCATATTTAGACTTCGTACAGTTTCTCTAAATGCTGATATCCAGTCAAATTCTTATCTCAGCTAACTGTAAACAGTTTTCGTCAACTTGTATAGACACTTCAGGGACTGAGGAAAGGCCGGCGTGTTTAAGTAATTTACAAAGATGCCAACCTTACGAAAAAAGTGAATGTCATTGTAAGCCTGATCCCGAATGGGAAATGATGGGTTTGCCATCTGAGTATAACGTGAAGTAGGTCAGGTGAATAAAATATGGTATCCTGCGACCAAGCGTGTGACCAGCTAAAAAAGATAACAAATAACAGAGTAAATTTGAGATGTGCTAGTGAAGCCCTATGGCTCGCTCAGAACTCAAGGGACGAATAACAATACTATTACATTACTAATTTGTTAGACACTAGCTTTGTATAGGATAAAGTCACACTGCTCACTGTGTCTTTAAGATAGAGTAAACCTAATTTTTGAAAATGCAAAGGAAATAAAATACCTTTCCGAAAGGCTTTAAATGTGATTTGTACGGTAGTTACTCATATAATTATTATTCACGTATTTGTGATCACATAAGTAAGCGTGTTCCTCGCAGAGCTTGATATTATTACACATGCTACATTCATTAATCGTTCACTGTGTCAAATTTAGTCATTGGGACGACAAAACTGAGGTGGACTAAAATTCTCTCAAACAAATGCTAGCGGTTTAGTAGATAAATGTATTAAGTCTATGTTATGTACTGCTGAGTGGTTAGTAGTCCTGACACGAAAGAAGAAAAATCAGAAGATCACCCGTTCACGATGATACTTGTATTTTCCAAACAAGGAAAAAATGACTGTCACATAAGTGTGTGAGTGAAAGGGTAAGTAGTGTACGAAATATGTGAACAAGTGTGTGTAAAAGTGTACAATACAAAAGTATATATGAAAATGACTAATACACATGAGCCAATAGATAGACATCTTACCGACATTGGATTCTGATTGGTTGTGATATCATGTGATAAAAAGGTTATACATTGTTTATTTAGTAAATGGACAGACAGCATATTGTGCGTTATGATGGAATATCGATCAGTATACACATAGCAAAATATAACAGGCTGTCAAAAACAAAACACACATCACGTATTTAACTCAAGGCAACCTAGTATTACCAATTTTCAGATGCAGTCTAACCAAGATACATCTGATAATAATGCAAAATTGTACACCCTCATGCGTACCCCAATGTATATGATAGTGATGAGGTAGCATGCCATTTTGCCCAGAATATTTTACTGACACGAATGATGAACAGCGGGGCAACAGACTAACTTAGAAGGAGCAGGAATGATCATATAGGTAAAACATTTGTCAATGCAGTTGAAGATTGAACGATCAATTCACGGTTGTTTGCTCAAAACCAACTTCCCCAATTTTCGCGGAGGCATCAATACGACAGTCATCGTCTCATCGGTCGCTGTTCAGGAAGATGTCAGCAGTAAACCGTCAGAAGTAATCTTGTGATTTATTATTGTAATATTTGTTCACAGACCTTAATGGAAACATTTTTTATATGTTGGTGTTACAATAAAGAATTCTCGAGTGGCCAATCGGTGTTTTGGTTTTTTCGTCCATTATTACTAAGCGTTTCTGAGAAACTTCAAGGAACAGCGTGAGCCCGAGAGTAGCAAGAGCTGGGCATTAACGGTTTACGAGACGTGGCTGACAACATTTCTGCTAGTAAATACCTCTGTTCCTTACCGCCACAGCTCATGTCGCTACCTTTGATCAGACGAATACCTTATAGCGTGACACATACCGAGACAAAGTCATCCAACGTTCACCGTGAATGCCATCGATAGATGCAGAGGATGGGCCTTGTGATTGCGTGGTAAGTGCAAATAGGATAAGTGAAAGAAGCGACCTCTATCAAATTTTCCCTGTCGATGGTTAATGATCTTTATGTTGTTGGTTGGTTATCTTCCTCACTTCCGCATTCTCTATGTTTACTTGAAGTCCTGTCTTTGCTGCTTCTCCTCGCAACTTGTTGATTTCCTCCCGTAAGTCTCCTAGCTTGGGCGACATTCGACCTAAACCATCGGCGAAGTCTACAGCCTATTCATCGGTCCAAATTATTCCTCGCCTGGCTCCCAAAAGCCTAAAGCATGATCTAGTAACCACATTTGGGTTTGTCACCGGTGATAGGCAGCTTTGCCTCACCCCTGTATTCACTCCAAAACCTTCCCTGAGTTTCCCTTTGTGGATCACCTGACACATAGCATTGTCACATAGCTTGTGAGCAATGTTGGTAAAGATTTGTACAAACTAAATCCCCACGACCTATTCTGCCTTCTCTCACTCTATCTTTTCCTTAGGTCACCTTTATTATTCCACTTATCTCAACCTATATTATCTACACTACAACCTATTATTATTATTATTACTATTCTGCTTTTATGACTACACCGAATGACCAACGGGAGTTAGGTCAAACTCCATTCACGGCAGCAATACTGTCCTAACATACTGCATACTACAAACCACATCTTGACCAATCCCCGCACCACTCCTCTTGGAGTCTACCAGAGCTAAAGCAGTCGAGTGGCGGGACTTACTACACAGAAGCTCACCGAAGATCTGGATCCTCTACCTCACAATCAAGAAGTGAGCTCAAAGAAATCACTGGTTTATACTAGCTCGTCATCAGGATATTGGATATTGGATTTGTGGTACTGCATAGAGGCGAAGTAATTTCCAAACTACTGATTCGTCCAGGAAACCTCTTAACTGACCAGCCTGTTGCCTCTCCCATTCCCTATCTTGCGCAACTAACTTCCTTTGGTTATCTTTCTCCTGTTTCATCTGTTCATCTCTTCCCCATTAGAAATCTAGTTATCTGATGCAGTGTTCTGAAGTATCTTTTGAGTAAAGCCTTTTCAGTCTCAGTCTCTACTGTAATGTAGCATTATCTTTTGCCCTCCCAGGTACTCTTCTTCACTGTGTTAGATAATGGGCTGAGTTCACATCTCCCCTTAACGATTTTGAGTCTAGAAAACTACACATCCACCTTCCTGAGACTGAGATGATATATATCTGGTTTACGTTGTGTCCTCCAGATGATGGCCCTCTTTCCTAATTTCTGTGTTTGTGCTTGAACATGCTACCTTCAACCGCCGAAAAATCAAAAGCGCAGAATTCTGCGAAGTGTTCTCCTTTTCCACTAGTTTCGCTGACAGATTATCGACATATGAGGAATTCTATTCCTTTATTGCGTGATCAAAGTTTGGCATTTATATCACTCAATAAGATTTTGAACTCGCCATTTAAGATTCTATCCACTGGTGCTTGCAGATGTCTGTAGGTATGTGTTGCTTTCAGGCGCGTACTGGGTGATTTTAACCTTTCTTTTGGGTTTAATGTTGCAGTCATTATCCTGGAGGAGATGGATTTCTACTTCATAGAAGTTTAGTATGTTTTTAGTGATATCAATGTGTTTTTAGTATTCATCAGAGTGACCGGGGTAGATCAATGACTTTCAATTTAACAATCTAAATGTAATACACCCATCCCACCAGCTGTCACATATTCATAGTACTTCTCTGCCATGTCCTCTCACTTTTCTTGCCACCTAAATAGCCTTACCAGCTTCATAAAACGTCTCAGTTCTTATTCTCGCTTTCATTGTTGGCCAAATGGCTTCTCGAAGACTCTCAACAGCCGGTATGATTCCACCTCTCCGACTTCAACAAAGAATATGCTTGCTTTTTAATACTTTTCTTGTGCTATGAACTATCTGTTGGGACGGGGTCGATTTCCCAGCTAGATTCCCTGCCCAGCATCGTGCACACCCCATTTTCAGGCATTGGGACTGGCTAGAAAAATACTGAACTACTAAACTAAGCGTGGTATATTTTTCGTGAACCAGTAACTTTTGTCTAATGAATGAAAAGAAAATTAGAGCGAATGGAGGGAAATATTTCGCCTATATTTTGCACTGGGGTACACGCTGCACTGTATTTTGAAAAGTGCCTCCTGACAATGAATTATGAATTGTACTAACTCGATCAAATACATTGGATATTGGACATTTGTTTCGGGTCAATTTCATTGTTAGCGTTACATCTCATGGTCACATTGTGATACATGCTTCGACTTAACTCTAAATATGTTACACTCCTACCATATATGATACCACCCTGTCGGTTTGTTTCAAAAAGGAAAAAATTCTCTGTGAGTGATGATGATTTTGAAGATTATACAAAAGCCGCTGAACTTCTTGAGAACTCACTCGTTGGGGAAAATTTTAAACCACCGGTGAGTGCTTTACAGGAAGCAGAGCTGTGCGAAAGACGAAAGCATAAATTTTCTGTGCTTTTGAAAAAGTATTCCGAGTATGTTTACTGTCATTTTTAATTGAGTGTATCAGAAATCCCTTAGAGTCATCTGTTCTTACTTGGAAGGCTAAGCGACAAATTGCCTTCTTATTGGATAATGATAAGCCTTTGGATTTCGACGACATTGCGAATAATTTCCCAATAACGTGTCATGGTGTACGAAAGGTTTTTAACCACAAGTCGCCATCTATGTTTTACAAACCTACAAGCATGGAACGGCTTTTGATGCACGACACACGTGTGACTAAACGCTGGGGACATATTTTGTCGTTTTTAAAAGAGGTTTCACTTCGTAGTCTTGAAGATCCTGAAACGCTGCAGTCGACGGTCCTTGACCTCTTACCCAATAATCTGTTATGGCTATTTACTGACAGTAAGGCCAACCTTCTGATATATGCGAATGGGAATCATAATCTTCCTCATCCAAAGGACTGGGAAGTCGTCGTCAAAGATCATCACTCTCCTGGTCGTTTCGAAAAGTATGCTAAGCTGTTTAGTGACTCGCCTGAAGAGGATATATATGATAAATGCACTCAACTTAATCTAAGTGTTAATGACTCCATCGAAACTTTTCAAAGGCTAAAGAACGTCACATCCCGAAATTCTCCTCCTTCACCATATCAATTTTCACCACAACTGTATTCATATTTATTGAACTGTGCACATTTGGTTAACCCAGACACTACTAATAAAAAGTCTATTTCTCTTCCAAATCGTGTAAAACTTCATGACTACTTTCATAACAAAAATTAAAGAGCTCCTGTTTCATTTTGTATTTTTGCTTAGGTTGCGGGCACACTCACATGCATAAAGTCAGCAATATAAATAACTCATTTTTTAACTTGATTTTCTAAAAAGGGTAGTATGTTTTGTGTATAGTTTTTATCTTACTTGAGAGCATACTTGTGTGTGGCGTTTAAGGAATGTGAAACTATGTACATTTCAACTGATTGCGGCACAGTTACTTTTACCCACTAATTGTATAATTTACTGAGTATTGAAATCAGCCATCTTTACCATTATCACTTTCCGTAAAACACTAATCTGGTTGGGAATAAATCACTCTTAGAAAGGCAATTCTATGAAGATGCGATCTTCTATTCTTGCTGTAAAGTGTGTAAAACTTGGGCACTATGGTAATATGTAATCTCATTTTAACTTGTTTATTAGATATGTCACACAGTGAAACAATATTATTTACCGGGTGACGTTTCGAACACAATTTATTGTTCATAATCATATCAATTGAAACTACACAACTTCGGAACTTTCGTTTATAGTTCTCTGTATTCCTTCCTATTCGTTTTACGGGTAGTATAATAAAATGGGATACTAATAGATTTTTCAAATGCATCTACTTGAAAGTAGAGGCATTTCAGTTCATTTATGAATTGAAAAATCAGGAAGGGGGCCTTCCAATGTTAGATTGTAACATAAAAGGAAAAGATGATGGGAAGTTGAACGCTAGTGTTCAGGGGGAACCCACACATTCAAAAATATATTTGGACTTTGTTTCGTTCTTCCTCATGTCAGGAAGAATAGGATATGTGAAAGGTCTAAGTAATGGGGCTGAAAATCTCTAAGACAGGAAGGGAGGCGTATAAGAGAAGCTTTAAGACTCAAAAATTAGCCTGATAAATTCGTCAAATAGTACGTAGGAAAATGTTAATATAAAATCAATAGTGATGGCAGTAATACTGACAGTAATAATAGTGACAAACATGCGCAAGATGATGACCACACTGACAATTAGGAATTCGAATCATCATAAATACTTATTTACAAGAGACGAATCTCGGAAACCTTACGCAGGAATAAAAGTTACATACATTTATTTCCCTTAATGAATTTGAACAATATTGCATATTTATATATGTATATATTTTTAGTGTATGCGTATATTGGTCGATTGATTTTTGTTTAAAATGAACTCTGTGCAAGTATGTTAAAATTGTTGTTGTAGATACATTTAATAATGTCTTTGCCATGTAAGCAGCTGACCAGAGGGCAACGAAATAAAAGATGGTACCATTTTATTCCGCTAAAACTGTAGTTCTTGCTTTGTTCAAATAAAAGTTGCATTGAAACCCACAAACTCACTTAGAAGCAAACTTATTCGATTAAAAAATCCTGTGGAGCCCATTAAAAAACATTTTAGTTTATCTAATACCGTGCAGTGATTGCTAGGTCAAAGTAGTAGAGCGGGGAGCAAACCACAAAGACCTAGCGAAATCTAGATTAGTTTACCCATATAAGATAAGAAATCCAGAGCACAGCCCAGCCATAGCACTGCATCCAATTACACACAGTAAGATGAAATACTGTGAGTTCTAAAACCTAATATGACAGGGTCGGGAGAGAGTTATAACAGGAGCTCTATCTATTAAATCAACTGAAAATACGTGCAACAGGAATGATTCAACATTCGCCTCGGACATCTGGTAAATTCTACTACCCCTAAGACGAATAAGAAAGAATAAAAAGAACTATAAAACGAAGGTTCCGAAGTTGTATAGTTATAATTGATATGATTATGAACAGTAAATTGTGTTCGAAATGTCACCCAGTTAACAATACTGTTTCACTGTGATATATCTAATGAATAAATTAACGTGGAAGGACAGTCGTTTTAGTCTTTAACACTTGAATTCTGCATTAGTTATTAGTTTATTGACTCCAAGTGTAAACCGTTCTAAGTTTGTTTTTTTGTCATACATTTGTAGAATAATGTAACAGATTAAAAATCAATCGTGTAATAAAATAAATCTTTTAGATATCCCATCCTACTTAAAATCTTACAAATTCCATGGCTTGTTCAAAAGCGTTTTATGGTATATGATTAAGGTAGTCTGGCACTTAAGTTTAACTTGTCTGTGACTCTAACCCATGAATTCAATTTTTTAATCCTACATAGATTGAAGCAGTCGGTTTAACTAAATGTTTATTGCCTATCGAAATATGACTTACTTACAGAACACTTGTTGTATACTCTAGTGGTCTTTATTTATTTAAACACATAAAAACTTGGTACAATATGGCACCAAGAAGGATGCGCCACACAATAATAATAAAACAACATAGATCAAAAGAAAAAGAAAGAAGGAAGAGAAAAATATATATAAGTAGAGAACGGATAAAGAACTTCATCTGGAAGGAAAACAGTCATGCTTAACAAATTCAAACAGTATTCGTTAACTATCATTGGGAAGGGAAGAAAGAAGGAAACTGTAACACGTGTAATAGCACGCGATAAGTTTCATTGATTGTTTGTTGCTTTATTCAATTCATTGTGTGAGGGCTGAGATACTACCCGGGCGCTCAAATCGAAGCAGGTGGTTTTAATAAGGGACCATCCCCCGAGCCTTTGACTTCGAGTCTAATCCGGAAGGCAGCGGAGCAGCGTCAGGAGCTGCATTCCCATGGTTTCCGGTGACCCATATGGGTTCATACGCCATTTGATCTGATTTGATACTGGAGCCCATGTAGCCCATGGTAACTGCTTTTAGTTTAACCGCTATCCAAACAACCTTCCTGACATGGCAGGACCTGCACGCACAGAGTCCCAGTCAGTTTAGGATGTTGGTTCATTACGGTATTCAAGCCCGACCACCACGACAAGGTAGCAGTTATCGGCCGGGTCTAGTGGTCTTGGTAAAATGATGCACCTGGATTCGCGGGTGTAGTACAGGTGAGACCAATATTGTTATATGCACCTATTCTCACGCTGGTATTTAGATAAAAACTTGAAGGAAATCATTGTATTCGCATTTTAATTTTAAGTAAATTGAATTAATCCTTATTCTTAAGTGTAGTTATTTTTCTCTAGCTGTGACTTGTAATTCAGAACTTACAATAGTGATTTCATATGTCTGTGATCTGAAATGGCTCACTACTCAATAAAAGCTACTGCATTCAAAACCTATATTCGTGGTTTTCCTGCTCACCATCCAGGCTAGATGGTAAGTGCAGATAGCTTGTGTAGTAGTGCGCACATCTAGTTTTCAGCGGTTGTCGCAGCAATCTCAATTCTTTATATGTCAAGGCGATATAGTATTTGTAGTTTCTAGTAGTTTGTACGCTGCTACACTGCAAGGTGAGACTATCTACATACTCAAGGTCTATTCGTTTTATCTAAATATTAAGTATACATTATCACTAAACACCTGATTCAAATGTGTTCACAAAATCTTTCTAATGAGCATAAATAGTGATGAATGGTGACAATTGTATTGGTGTTCTCTCAGCAAATCACGGCAGTTGAAGCTCCATATAAAATGGCTATGAAAAACTTTGATTAATTAGATTACCAAATATCATACACGTGACAGGTGAATGTAAATAAAATGAATTGTACATTACAGAGTGAGTGCACTACAGCTATGCACAAACATCTGTAAGCTATATCTGTTGTTTTCCAGTTAAATTTGTTTCTGAGATTAAAGCTACAGCTTTGTTGAGCAGCTAAACTGTCGTATCATTCTTAGGTGGCTTTTTTGATATAACATGAAGTGAAAATTGGAAACTCCAAGTAGTGTAGTCCAAAAACAGGAAAAACGTTATAAGTGGAGATTGAAGGTCAGTTCAATTTGGTTAGACAATACATTGTTCATACCCAACTATTTGACTTAACAAGTTATCCTGTTAGTGATAGTATCTTGTATCTACTCGAAAAGAACATTGGGTTTTGGTCTGGGAATGACAGACCTTCAATATTTCTTTTGTTAAAGAAGATTGAGAATTCGCAATTACAAGCGCCCTGAGAAAATGGAAATTACTTGTTTGTGTTTAACACCATGACTACTGAATTTATATATATATATATATATATATATATATATATCACTTGTTAACATCTTGATTCTATTTTGCGGTCTGTTACTAAGGTGTCTGAGTGCTAGAACTTATTCAGTACTGTAATGTCTCTCTGTTATTTAATTACCTACAGCATTGTTGAACGGTATTTTTACCTCCTGACAAAAGTATAATATTAGTTGTTACACCGAATCATGAAACTTAGCTGTAACTCTAAAATGCGTGTGCAATATTACGCCAATTTGCCATCCATCTATTTTCCTTATCACTACTACTATTCCTTTTTTCGAAGCAAAAATTAAGTGAATCAAGTCTGAATACCACTGTAACCATAGATAAGTCATTAGATGGTAACCAGTGTAATTATCTAATGTGCTGGTTTAATAAGATAAGTAATGTTGACGTTAGGCGTAGAGTGTTGGGCAAAGAGGGAAAATCAATCGACGAGGCTATGAAATTACATAGACTAAGATGGCTAGGTCACGTGCTGCGCATGCCTAACCACCGCCTCCCCCGACGGGCATTGCTAGCTGATATAGGTGAAGGTTGGAAAAGAGCCAGTGGTGGCCAAACAAAAATATGGCCTCATCAATCCATGAAATCCTTGACAGTTAAACTGAGTCAGGTAGGGAGATGCAGACTCCCGGGTTGGGGCCCTTGGGACTCTAGGAATCAATGGCTGGAGACAATACGTGACATGGCTCAAAATCGTTGTCAATGGCCAGCGCAGATGTATTCAGTCTCTGTAATCTTTCATATTCCTTTCTACCATTACCCATTCTGTTTCACTCTTATACTTGTCAAACTCTATTGATTCTCTTCACTCATCTTCTTGTTTACCTCTGTGTGCCATTTGGAACGTGGCAACTCGAACTGCTGCACTTCGGTGCCAAGTTCTATGTTGAATCCAGACAGACAGACAGACATCTAATGTGCTGACGAAAATTCAGCTGTGTAATCATTAAGCTAGGCAGGGCGCACTACAGTACACCTTAGAGGCATGAGCCTCTTAGTGTGACATCTTTAAAGCGATTTGATTTTGCTCAACTGTGCTGATGCGCTTTACTGATGTAAGTCAAAACTAAACAATTCAGGCAAATGCAAGTCGGTTGACTGAAGTAATTGAATTAGTGACTCTTTGTGACGTGGCTGAAATCACCCTCAATCGCGAAGATGTATTTATTTTTAACCAGCTTCAAAATTCAAAACATCGGCATTTCAGTATTCTTCCTTCCACACTAATTTTTGTTCATGTCTTTTAGCTAAGTTGCTGTAAAGTATGGAAGACTTAACAGTTGGTTGCTTGTGTAAAGGTTGACGATGACATGTCTATTTTGCTTCTGTGGTTTTAAAAGGCAATTTCATGGTAGACGCATAAGTATTATGAAAAAATACTCAAGCTTAAAAAACACCTTACTGCTCTTCACAGAAGTCAAAAAGCAATTAAGATTGACGTCATTCGATATCGCTAGCTTTTACTATCTGGTCATGAATGATGTGTTCAACCCACGTTTACCATGATGCATAATCCTGGCTGAAGTAAGGTTTTACTAGAGTAAAGCTAAACAAACTGAACTCGGGTGTCCTAAAATTCATGGAAGTAAACAATATTGACTGTATGCAGTGGTGTAGGTTAGTTAATTGGAGTCTTTAAGATGAAAAGAAGCAGTATTCAATCAAATGGTTGCGAATCGAGGTCGAAATATATTCAGTCATAATGTTTATTTTGTCTCAATAGTCTCGAACTATATACACCTTTCCATATCCTTACCGTTCATTGTTCTGTTATCATTTCATTTCTGTAAATTGTTTAGTATTTCTGTAAAGTGCGAAACATCGGGCTGGTATTCTTTTGTGAAGGATTCTAACCTGATATGTCTGCTTTTATATAACTTTTTGTTCTAATGTTAATTAATTTTACAAAATCTTATAAACATTAATTTTCTTCAAAATAGCTAAGCCATTCTTATGTTTTAAAACGTACGTTTAGTGTTTAAGACGTAATGGAGTTTATTTCCTGTTATGGCTGCAATTCGATTTCACGATAATCATCTTTCTCACTGCGAGATAATATTTCGAAAACTATCGTATGAAACATGGATTTACTGGTTTTGCTTTTTCTTTGCTAATTACCTGTTAATTTTTTCTGCAATCTTGTATTACAGAAGAGGAGAATTACATTTCTAACCTAACCTGTTCTACCGTGAAACTTTGAGATCACAGCGAGACCGTCGTCATTTTATCCGTAGTATGAGGTAAGTTTCGTTTGGCGTTGTGTATTGGTTAGAGATATATACCCTAGTTTGGGAATCATCGGCAGTAAGCACCCACTGAGGTTCGAACCTAGGACCCTCTGATCACAAGGCAAGCTCGTATACCATTCAGCCACTGGCTGAGGTCGCGCTAAATCACGAATTGGTAGAACTTAGAATTCATGGGCCATTGAATCGGATCCCAGTGGCTTAATGGTATACGAGCTTGCCTTGTAACCGAGAGGTCCTGGGTTCGAACCCGAGTGGGTGCGTACCGCCGATGATTCCCAAACTAAGATGAAACAGCTGTCCAGTACTCTCTGGTTTTAATGGTTTTCTAACTGATATCAATTCGTGATCAACTCGTGAAAATCCTTTTTTCATTTAACGGGGTACAGTTATTTCTTAAAATTTTTGCACAGTATAATGTTAAGTAAAAAGAAAAAACATTAGAAATTAACTTTTATATGTACGTTTGTGCATCGATCATACGTTCATCATACTTCAACAGCTTAAATCTTTATATTGTCAGTAGTTTTCTGTTGATTTGAACACATGAAACGTTATCATTAAAATATGAACTTGATTTGGAAATGTCTACTGTATCATTAGATCAAAAAAGCTAAAGTTAGCCAGTACAAAGAATGGCGCTTTTGTCAGAGGTGTATGTGATAAAATTGTACAATTTATTACTCAATCCAATTTGTCCAAATAATATCCCCACTGTTTGGCTAAGGTAAGTTGTCCTGTCTATGTTAACTCTCCCTCATGTCTTCTGTACTTATTCCTGCTATTCGTTTTGTTTCTTTGAATATAATATCTACTGATTAAATATCAAATCTCTTTCCATTGCCTAGACACTGTAGTGCATGCTACTTATGTGTATCCTTGTCAGTAGTAGACGTGAAACTAGTGGTTTAATTTCTATGTTTGAAATTTCACTAATTAAATTCTTTATGACTGCTTACTGTTACAATTTACGAGTTTTTCACCTGATAAATAAGTTTCGTATAGATATTACTTTCACGTATGGAGGCTTTAGCAGTAGATTACTTGTGTTTATATTATTGCTTTCTACAGAGATATTTATACACCTTCCCCTGGGCTTCCTCAAGACTTATCATGTCGGAAAAAATGTGTTACGCTAAAATGTGATTCACAGAAGCTATTGGTTATTCAAGAGGATTTAGAGGCCTGTTTACCTCCAATTGCTACTTTTAGTCATCATGTAAGTTTACATGGCATATGACTTTCCTTTCACATATTATTTATTTTCCATATTTTGCTCTGCTAATAAAGACGCTGAGTTGTCTAGTGTTCATTATCAGCTATTGGTTAGGTACACTAGTCCTAAAGTAACCATATGATGTGTATTTCACTTTGGTGACATTTAGATTGTCGTTTTAAAAGCTGGATTAGCAACTCTGATAAAAATTTTAAAAACATTTCAATGAGGGGAACGAAATTTACAAGTTCAGTTTCGATAAGAATCGAAAGTGGAAAATGACTAATCGATTTCAGTTTTACTAGAGGTTAGCATGAACAGTTACCGTGTTCAGTAAATGCCTTCAGCTTTTGCTTGTATACATACTTGCTCGTATTTTAAGTGATGCAGAGAATAAATTATTCTGAAGACCACCAGTTTGTGCGTCAGTGGTTCAGTGGTTGAATACTCACCAAACACACATATAGCCCGAGTTGGATTCCTAGCAGACGTTTTCTGAATCTTTGTCTAATTCACTAGCTGATAGAAAACCCAGAAGAGAGGGGATATTGGGCGTAAGGCTGTGGTGAGAGCTGGCTGCCAGCCAAAATTGGTAGACGGTAATTTACGTCAATGTTTACGTCCCCAATATTGGTCGTGAGGGAAATGAGAGCAAAGACTGATTGAACAACTATTCACAGCAGATTTTGCGTATGCGTATGTAAAATCTAGTGACTGGTTAGTAGCTTACTTGTATTGAGTTTAACCTCTGCCAGAGGGCTGACGGTAAACGACATGTTGCTAAGTTATTCAATATGTATATAGGATAATAAGTGAACTAGTATTTGAACACATTTAATCTAGTGTGTGAGTAGCGTAACAACATTTCAGTAACTTTCAGTCCTACCAGAGTTGTGAGTATGCTCTAGTGAAGACTCTCAAGCCGGCAGTAAACAGATGTTGTGTAATCCTTAGTTCTCAATGGTTTCTTCACTAATATTAGAGCATGATGAAATCTATGCCTTAACTTTTTTTAGATTTAATTTAAGTTGCGCTTTCTGGATTTATTTTGTATTCCAGATTTATTTTGAGAATGTTATTTCCACGTGTTTCAGACAAGTACAGAAAGTATTAGTAGTTAGGGTGTATAGTGTATGATGCGTAGGTAGTTCAGCAGTAAAACGCTCGCCAACCACGCAGGGGGGTCCAAAGTTTGGTCCTCGGCTGGCGCACTCCTAAACCTCTCTAAACCGGTAGTAAGGTCGGTGGTAAAGAGGAAAAGTCGGTATTGAGGCTAGCAACCCTACCCCGTAAAAATAAAACTATTGCTACCGATACTTCAAAGCTCTCGCTTGAAGCCGTATGTTCCACTGGGAACGTAAAGGAATAAAATAATAAATATGTGGTATATGCATGTGTGCTATAAGGGCTCTAAATACACAGCAAAAGCTGCAGATTCCTCCGATATATATATATAATCGTTTTTTCTTAAATTTTCGCAAGTACTTTGATCATTTTTCGTTCTTTTTTTCATTATTGTTTTTTATTTCAGCGTGAAAGTCGTACTAATCTTTGTTCTACATCTGTTAATAAATCAGTAAATTTGAATTGTAAGAAGCGTTCAAAGCAAACAAAACATAACAACACTGAAAATATAGTTTACTGTGATTTGCCTCAATGCCCAAGTTTCATAAATAGAAAACCCTCTAAGCAAAGGTAATTTTTCCATACTGGAGCTTTTTTCTTTAAATCTTTAAATTATTATCATCATCATATAGTAGAATGTAAATCCTTTGGTTCTTTTGTAGTCATTTTCTTTTCTTAAATGTTATATTTGCAGTTATTATATTTTAACATATGATCATATAAAGCTTGTTAAGGAAATTTATAACAAGTTAGCTGATGTCGTGTCAATCTCCAAATTGCTAACTTTTCTCCTCTATAAGGAGTGAAGTAATTAAAACTACCAGTTACTTTAGTTTCTTAGAGGGGTTCTGCACTGACCTGGATGCAAAAGACCTATTCTACACCTTAAGTTTGTGTTATTCCTGATACCTACGAGATACACGGCTATCTATTATTAATGATCAAGTTCACCTATACCAATCACGAGTGAGTTACATTCACTAAAAGGTACAGTCATAATGACAAGTATCCCCTTAGCATAACTTGCTTTTCGTGGAACAACATGGTGAGTAATGAATTTAGAGATAGAGTACTCAAATAAAAAAGTTAGTTCAGTCAATAAAGATGTAATTCTTCATCTACTGACGTGATTAGATGTTCCGCTTACGCATAGTCACTACTCTTGAACATGAGTTTATTAAACTAAAACAGATTACATGTAACTAAACCAAAGCCTAGTAACAGCCTTCTTGATTTCATGAAGTCATTAGTAAGTATTACTATATAACACTGTGAAACTTTATCAAAATAAAATTTCCTCCATAATAGAATTCATAACTGTTATTTTGCACCACAAGGGAGGTGTAAATCTTCCTGTTGAGATATTACCAAATGTTAAAATTCAAGAACTAGTAACTCTCCAAGTCACAGATATATTCACTCTTTTTACCATCAAGAGTTTGAGCATTATCAGCAATCTGTATTTCATTGTTCTCTCTCTCTTCGCATTACCCTTGTTTGTCCTTTGCAGCTGTGTTATATTTTGTGTTTCCACTGTTTGACGTTTTGAAAAGTGCCAACTTAAGCTGATAAATTTGTAAAAGTCATCACTTAAATATATAATCTTTTATGAATCTTACTAACCAAACAATATTGTTAAAATCAAAAGTTTTGTATATATTCTGTTGTGTAGCAAATTTATCAACTTTTTTAATCGAACAAACTGATGATACTTTATTCAAGTTGTTGTGATAACTGTGACTTTTTATCTCTCCATATTTTTGTATGTAATACCTTTATGTGTCGTCTAAGTACACGGAGCATTGCACAAAGTTGAAAGGACCAATGTTACATTGCTCCATATAATTGTCGCTACATATTTCTCATTATCGAAAATCAATAGTTTCAGTATGTTTTATATTCAGTAGTTTACTTTTCATAGAGAGTGGTAGGAAATATTTTAAGTTGGGTATAATCTAATTAACCAGTGATTAATTAACTCTATCAGATATAATTTTTATGTAGGGCATACATTTCAAGATTAAATGTCTACACAGTTTTTAGACTTATGATAAGTATTTCCACTTCTTTAGTATCAGTTTTACCTTTGAAAAATAATTCTAACCATTCAGGGATTGATTTTCTTTGACAACATAAGATTTGTCATGTAAAATGTTCTTCCCAAATATGTTGGAATTCTACTGTTAATGGATATCATAGTTTTGGTCAACCTTGAAATCAAGGTTCATGTAAAGGTTCTTTTTTGAATAAATAATGTCTCATTTCTCTGAACTTTCGGTTTGATGTTCTTGTCAACAGATCTTGTTGAATATTCATTTTAGATGAAGATTTCTCTTTCAGAAGGTCTAATTCTTCTTCTGTACAGTTGAAAATGATCAACAGTTGATTTAAATGGCCCATTTTCGATGCTTGATATAAAATAGTCTACTAGCAAGGAATCTAAGGGAGTTCCCATTACGATCCTAACCGTTTGTTTGTAAAGTATATCTCTGATTTGGAGTTGCAGGTTAAGGGTACACCTCAGCAAAAGTTTCACTAAACATGGCGTTGGTGTTCGGGTTTTCAGCTTGTTCTCATCTACACATTTACCTATAGAACAGATGGTTTCCGTAAGCGAGACGTTGATGATAAGTGATTCGATGTCGGGAGGTAGGATACTTTTGGTAGAGAAATTCATATCTTGTATGCAATAGACAAATTGAAAAGTGTTACAAATCGAGCGGATGCTTATCTATTTCCTTACGGGTTCTAGAATATCAGCTAACTATTTTGTAACTGAATGTTGGGGGGGGGGATCTGGACAGATCCAGAATTAGATGAAGTGGGAGACTGGCTTCGTGTTTCTTTGACAAACCATAAAGCCTTGGTGTTATTGAACCTGTTGGTCGAATGCCTTTATAAATATCATGATTAATTAACTGGTTGAATTTCTTTCCTTCTAAACCATCCGTAAGCTGTTCTTCAATATCGTCTGTTTGATTTCCTCCGTTGGGAAATTGCGAAAACTTATTCTCTGATAGTATGTTGCCTATTGGCTTTTTGATGCATAAGAACTAAACATTTATCACCGCTTGTGATTGTCAGACCTTTGTTACACCTCAGCTATTGTTCTCGGTATTGCTTCGTTAGATGATTACAGATTTTTGTGAGTTATCTTTCGATGATACAGTGATATCGTGGAAAATATCTTCTTTGTTGAACTACTTGCTTTTTACGTTATTACTTTGATGGGGATTATTCATAAACATACAATTTGAGCATTGATCACTCCTTAGGTATAGTCACTTGGTTTTGTTTAACATGATGAGTTATATGGTCTATCTACTGATGATTTCACTTCATTGTTATTTTATTCTGACTCATTGATCCTAGTGCCTTAACTTTCGAAGACTGGGTCGTGAATTCGAATTGTGATCCATTGTGAATCTAAAGAGCATTATCAACCCTAACACGGATGTAAGGCTTCATAACCAGGTGTTTAATAACTTCAGTCTATGCACCTGTATCAAATGAGTTTTTATCATAGGATTTTTTAATAACTAATATTTGAATAAAATCCCCTTCCTAATTGCATTAGCTTATTATCTTATTTTCAGAACTCATTTAAAACATCATTCACTTTTGCAAAAGAATCATCTATCATTATCATGTTCACAGTGTGGAAAAAGTTTCAGTTCAAAAGAAAATTTAAGAAGGCATATGAATATGCATTTAGGTATGTTAGTATATTATACACTTGTTCGCATTTTATTATTATTATTATTCGTTCTTTGGGTTTCTAGTGTAATATAGGGCTTCAGTCAGCACATTGTCACTTACGTCTGTTCTCTGCAGCCTTTTTTTTTTAAAACTGACTCCACAACTGCCCGTAAGCTTTTTATTTCCTCTTCATCATATTATCTCCTCAGTGCCACCCTCGGACACCTAACTCGTCATTTCCCATTCGCGTTCCATCTGAGGGCCTGGTATACGATGTTACTTGAAGGTCACCTCAGCGCGTGTCCACTTCATTTCCTCCTAAATATTTATTGGACAATCGGTTTTTGGTGGGTATGTTGCGAGAGTTCCCTGTTGCTTATCCTTTCTGATTGGCCATCCTATCTTCAGTATCAAGCGAAGGTAACACCAGGCTATTGAAATGAGCCATGTAGAAGCGCACTTATGTACGTATTGTCCATTTATTGTGTATTATCAACTATCAGCTACAGTTAATAATCGTATAGCGTAAAGTAAATCATGATATGGTGCCAAAAAGTGATATTGTTGATGATCTTTTCCTACATATAATTCACATCATTCCCTTTTGTTCCAGTGCACTGATATTATTTCCCATTAACTCACCTATTAGATGAGATTAATAAATTATTTTCTCCTGTATTGTCAGTCCTCTGGCACTTCGAGTGTACAAAAAGTTGTTTCTTATCTCGATAATCCTCCTAAAAGGTTAGTTTAAATCACTGGGTATCTGCTCTAAGTCTTACTACAGACAGTCAGAAATAAGCTGATGTTGTTAATAGGATACATAGAGCATTGGGGGATAGTAATTTAAAGAAAGTTTCTGTGTCCTCTAGACTTATAGGCTGATTTGTGTATTATCACATTTTTGTCACCCAGTTTAATTTGTGCAGGATTTTAATAAAAAGCTAACATGGGGACAATACTTTGCTTTATCTAATTCTAAACGTATTTGATTATTTAATTTGTATATACCATCGAATCATTAGTGATCAACTTCACACTAATTACAAAAAACGTCAGGAGTAAATCTGTAATAGTTTGATTTATCGGCTTTATATGTCTGTTCAGTGGGCTTTGAAGAATGTAATTCTGTAAAGTTTTGCTTCTCTTAAAATGAGCGATTAGTTTGGTAGACGATGGTTTTATCAATACTTGGTATAATGTTATTATTTATTCCTTTACGTTCCGAGTGTAATGTTAGGCTTCAAGCTTGGGGTTTAGAGTTTCAATAGCAGTTGTTTTATTTTACAGGGTGGGGTTGCTAGCCACATGTTCAGCCTTCCCTCTTTACAGGGTTTACTACTGGCTTAGTGAGGTTCAGGTGTGCATCAGCTGGGAGTCGAACCCAGAAACTTATGTGTGGTTGGTATGCATTCTACCTCTGGATCATCAACGCTTACCATACCATTACTTAATATCCTGAAAAATTGCTTGATTTGCTAATTCTCATTGTATTATAAGTGTTATACAATTTACAATGTAGAGCTGATAATTCATTCCAAATGTTTAGGTTTAAAACCATATATCTGTCAAATTTGTCATCGAGCCTACTCTCGAACCTCAGAAAGATCTCAATGTATGAAAAAGCATCGTCATAAAGAAACTAACGCTGAACAAGTTGAACAGTCTTCACGTGAAGATGTTTATAATGATTGGAGTTCTTCTGGTTTATCTGCTTTACAAATTGAAGACAAGATTAATCAATCTCGTCCAAGACCATATGTATGCCAAATCTGTGATGATCATAGAGCTTATACTGATCCAAGTTCACTTCGTAAACATATGCGTTCTTTTCATGCTGATCTTAAAAATGAAAAACAAACAAAAGACAATCATCCTGTTGGCGAAATTTTACCAAAGCCGATAACGCCTGTAAGTTTGAAATTCTATTGGTCAAAAACAAGGTCATATTTTCTTTGTCTTTACATCTATGTAGTGTTGTGTGCTTTCCTTTTGCATACAGCATATATATATATATAATTAAATGTTCGGCGTTCAGACACTGAATTAAGAAACTGTGCTACTATTTTCCCACTGTTTAATCATTTGTGCAAAGCTTCTGTGTAGACAAGTTTCAGCTAGATACTCCACAATATTGATTGGTATGACAAAATTTAATGACTTTCAATCTTTGCTACAATGGAGATGAGATTTTTCTTCAAGATAAAGGCTTAATTTTCAAATACACTTTTATTTCCTGTTGTTAGCAATTGGTGTGTAGGTCAATCATTGACATTTCACTCCACTTGCCAAAATTTGGACAACAAGGTGGTGGTATTATCAATCTTTATGCAGTCTATCGATTTCGTAGGGTTGCGCATGGACTTGTCTGGGGTTTGTGATCCGCTTTTATCTTCCTTACCTTATTAGATTAGAGTACATTAGTATGAATTATCATTTTCCTTGTTTTAACGTTGATAGAACTAAACTGATTAATCTGTACAGATATTGTAACGACAGAAGGCAAGAGTCAGGCAACAGATTGTTTATTAAGGAAATCAACACGTATTTATATATTTTCATGTACATTATTATAGATTATTGTTAGCAGATAGACACAGTCTTCTGATTGGTTGTTTCTCACAGAAAGTTGACCTTGCATCTCATTGTGACTGTTTCTTGAATGTCAGTTCATCTATATGTTAACTGTACCTGCCTACGCAAAGTCTGCTGTGGCTGTTTGTTGAACCAGTCTTTGTTCATATTTTCTCACGACCAATATTTGGGACATAAACATTGACGTAAATAATTGTCTACCAATTTGGCTAGCAGCCTGTTTTCACCACAATATATAAGCTGTTTGTACAAATATTACTTGTAGTAAGATTTTGATTGGTTTGTGACTATAAAATCCAAGTGGTACGTTTGATCCTATTCAAGAGTTGTCAGTCGGATATACTAGTGCCCTCCATCTCCCTCCAATAAGTGTTAGTCTTTTAACTGTGCGTTGAATCCACTGGTCATCATTATAATGCTACAGAGCACTATCTGCCGTATAATCAAGATGTTTTAAAAGAATTTCATGTATCACTACTGACTGACTAATCCAGTTTTATCGATCAGTAGCAGAGAGGTCATAAATTCTACCGATGAATGAGTTGCTACTGCTACTATTTTGGCACTTCTGTTAGTGCATACCAAATGTGTGTACCAATGAGGCCAAAAACAGCTACACCCACCTATTGAATTCTATCGACCAAAGGGCAGGTGTACTGCTCATCATTCCACTCCGTTCTCCTTTAATGGCTGTGAGACCTGGCCATTGAGAGTGGAAGACATGAAAAGATTAGCTGTCTTTGATCATAGGTACCTGCGTCCTATTTCCCGTGTGAAGTGGTATAATAAGGTGAGCATCGGTCGATTGCTAGGTAAGGAAGGGAAAACAATGGGTGAGGCTATGAAATTACATCGACTGAAATGGTTAGGACATATGTTACGTATGCCTGGTCATCGCCTTCCTCGACGGTCAATGTTAGCTGACATAGAATTGGTCAGGCTGGAAAAGAGCTAGCGGAGGTCAAACAAAAACATGTCACCAGTCAATGAAATCTATAACAGTTAGTTTAAGCCACGTAGGAAAGTGCAGACTTCCTGGTTTGGGTCCTCGGGATGGTAAAAATCTATGGTTGAAAACAATTGGTGATATGGCTCTAAGTGATCGTTCTCAATGGCTGGCGCAGATGCATCCACTCCTTGTGACTTATGATTTCCAATGAAACTGTTTTGTTCTTCGTTATTACTCTTCCTTTGTCTCACGCCTCTATTAACTGTCTCTATTATGCATTTCTTCTACCTTCTTCTCTTGCTTTGTGTGGTACATGGAGTGTGGCTACTTGAACTGCCGTACATATGTGCAAAGTTCTATGTCGAAAACAGACAAACAGACAGATTGAATTCTGAGTAGAAAGAAAAGTGCGTCTTGAATTTTGCTATTTACCACTTATAAATAAATAATTAAGGTAAAAGTTTATTTGACCTTCGTGATAACTGTATTTTGGTGGCATTTAAATATTGAAGACAGTACCGTCCTCAAAACTACATATATTGTATTTAGCACCACAAATATTTAGTTTTGGTTCGCAATACTCTGATATGTTATTTAATACGTGTGGATTATGTCACCTTTCTACACTACACTTTCTTTAAAGTAGGGAACCTCCTAAATGCCGTCTTAAATAGGTGTGAGCATTTTAAAAACAAACAGTATATTCAAAAACTGCATTAAAAGTATATCTTTGCATTCTTGAAAAACAACCCATGTGGTGGCTTACGCCATGTTTTTTTTGTATTCATGATATTATTTAGTGGATAACATGTACCTTTGGAATCCAGAATGCTCACTTCGTCCTATATAGGAACTCATCATCTGAATGTACCCTCAGTCCTCACTGAGTGATAGCACTTGTACTAAGACTCGAAACCAGCACGATAATCATAACAACTTATACCCTCTGCATAAGTGGCAGTTCTAGTGGATAGCGCTTTACCGTTTGAGAAACGATAGGTGTTGCGTTTGAGTCTCAATGGGGACACTATCACTCATTGGGAATTGCAGCAACATACAGTTAACGAGTGTCAAGTGGGACTAAATATGCATCTTGGACTCAACTGCCAGTCATCATCCGTCAAGTAGTGAAATTTTAATCCTCAGACACCGTCGAAACATCTGTGATAGGAGCTGACATTTCAACAGCGACTAAACATTTCGTCCCAAGTTAATCAATAAAAAGGGGATTACAAAGTTAAACAAAAATGAATTGAGTTTAAGTTTGACTAGTATTAGATTTTTCTTGATTTTACTGACATGTGTAGGCTTAAACTTAATTATTCACTTACTCATCTAACTTCAATTTATCATAATATATCAGAAAGTAGTATTTTAAATGTCGTTTCACTAATATTTACTTATATTTTGAGTTTATTGGTAATACTATGCAGGGGGCAACTCAGGTTATAATGATAAGCTTGTCTAGTGTTCGTCATGATTTCTGTATGCAAATACCGTTGGTTTAAAGATCAAAATTTTTTCTTTTGTATCTTACTATGGGCTGTACATGTATAGATGTATCATGTTGTGCTTATACCTTCTACTTTTTGGTGCATGTCACTACAGCATTTTTGGTCAATATTACAAAAGTTGTAATTCATCTGTCTTTTTGTAGATTACAGTTCAACAGAAAATTATCAAATTGTTTTCTTTTTTTTCCGATTTAGCCTATTCCTCAATGTGATGAACCTATAAGTCTTGTGCTAGAAACCTCGACTGTTGATACCAATCCAGTGGATGTATTACAACCATCTTCTGAAAATGTTTCGACTTTAGAGACTACCACCTCATTTGTTGAAGTTGATCCAGTTTATACGAATTCTATTACTCCATCATCATATTATAATGTTGTAATAACTACAATGGCTTCAGATACACCTATCAAAAATATTATGATTACAAATTCTAATGATTCTCAAGGATATCCTTTGGCAATTGGATCATCTTTTCATCCTCATTATACTGTTGCATTAACAGACTCTCTGTTGCCTTTGATGCCTGTCAAATCGACGCTATCAATGACTCCAGTAGCAGTAGCGGAAGCCGCAGGGGAAGTATCAACAACAACTACGTTAAAAAGTGAATATGACAATGAGGCTGCTGTAGATCTATGCAATTCAGCATTGTGCTTACAAGTTTACTCAGGCAAAGTATGTACAAAGTTCAAATATTTCTGAAATGTTAATTCACTTGCCAATGGTTTATTGTGTTCTTAATCACTTTTAGCTTTTTATCCATTAATATCATACCTAACTGTTTGTATATTGTATAGCGGCTGAAACATTTGTGAGTCAGTGATAGTGTTTGCCAACCACACACATGGTCCCTGTTCGATTCCCAGTTGACGCATTCATAAAAGGTGCCTGGCTCGTGGTAAGATCGGTAAAGAGGGAAAGTTGGACGTGTAAGGCTAGCAATCTCATCCAGTGAAAACAACACTTTTTTTTCCTTCACGTTCCCAGTGGAACATAGGGCCTCAAGCTAGTGGCTTGAAGTTTCTGTAGCAGTGTTTATTTTTACAGAATGGGGTTGCTAGCCTCATGTCCAACCATTCCGCTTTACCAGCATTATTTCTGGCTTAGCGAAGTAAAGGAGTGCGTTGGCTGGGGATCGAACTCAGGACCACGTGCATGGTCGGCGAGCGTCCTAACCGCTATGTTACCGACGCACCAGAAAAAACACTACCACTACTGAAACTTCAAACCTCAAGTTTGAAGCTCTATATTCCACTCTTAATGCGAAGGATCGAGAAAAAACAACAGATTTTCTGTCAAATAAACTTGAGAAATCAATCAGAATAACAGCATGATTAAAAGACACTGTTGAATAGAAAAATATATTTCAGACAAACAAGTGAATTAAATTTAATTTAATCACTTTCTTGATCTTTAAAACGCTTTAAAAATTTAGGTCTCATAAAATGACTACTAAACATTATAATAACTCCTGAATTCTTATCTAACCTTCAATAATCACTTAAGTCTAATCCTCATTCTAACTTAACCCTAACCTTAACTCTAGCTGTCATCTCAAACCCATCCCCTACCTAATATCAGTCTTAAACCTGACCTTAACTACACTTTTATCTTAATCTCAAACCAGTCGTAAACGTAACACTAATTAGAAAATAAATTGGTCATGAGAAATAGACTGGTTGTTTAGGTAGGAATGATTTGATTAATTTTTCCAAATCAGTTCCTTTCGGTTGTTATTCTTTAACAGTTACCAATTTTATTGCTTATGATTTCTCAATTATCTGGAAACTCCCTACATTTAAGTTTAAGGTATAGTACTTTTCCTATCGTTACTATTATTTTGTGTACAATGGTGTATTTTATTTCTATTCCATATGGATGAAAATATTTAACACTGATAAGTAATTTTTACTTTTTATCGGTGAATTATGCTTTAAGGGTTAGTGTTCATATAAATTGTTTAAAGGAATTCAGTGTTATAACTATGATATGTTTTTCAAAAGGTAAGAATCGTCCATAGCATACTCTAATGGATTTGAACCATTTCGTTCGGTTCTACGCCAATGTTTTCACCTGGCTCCACACCTGCCTACATGCTTTTGTCCCCTCCATGTCAACCTCGCACTAACGACCAGCTCGCCGCTTCCCGTTTGGGTTCCGCTCGAGCAATGGCCTGGCGTGTGATGTCACTGGATGGTTTGTTTTCTCAGAGTATGGCCAATCCGCCTCCATTTCTTCCTGCTTATTTGTTGAGCAGTCGGTTCCTGGTTGGTTCGTTCCCAGAGACCCCTGTTGTTCGTCTTTTCTGACCACCTGATCTTGAGTATTGAGCTAAGACAGCTGTTGATGAAGGTGTGTAGTTTGTTCGAAGTGGCCTTCTTGACGCAGAGCGACGCCAATCTATGACCCGTATACAGTAGCACTGACTTCACGTTGGGGTTGAAAATCCGCATCATATTTTTCATACTGAGTAGTGCTGTTGATCTCCACACAGACTTGAGAGTAGTGAAAGCCTGTCATGCTTTCCCGATCCTTGCTTTGATATCCTCATCAGTTCCGTCCTCATGTAGTTGAGACAATGCTTGCTAGGTATGTCAAGGAGGTTGCTTCTTTCAGATTTCTCCCATTTATGTTGGTTGATTGTTGTCTGTTGCTGTTGGCCAGGAATCTTCATCACCTCGAAGCTTGAAGGTCCTTTACTCTAAATTCATGGGCTTCTTCGTGGATCCAGTTGAAGAGTATTGAAATAGGATAAAACAATACTTAAAATTACTTCAAGCCTTTTGCTCTTTGTTATTATGATACTTCTAGTTATCAGCGATGATTAAATGTCACGTTATGAAAAATTGAATTATGTAAAAATAAAAATCTAGGTACATTTTTTTTCCATGTTATTTTTTACGAAACTGTTAATTTGTTGATCTAGTCCTATACTGATCACTTTACGACTTTTTCTGATTACATTTTTTGTAGACTCATTCTTCTATACCATCAACAGTAATGGAAAGAGTCGATGCTTCATCTCTCCCGTTATCTACATCAAATCTGTCTAGTATGGTGGTACCACAGTATGTTACACAAACTAATCAAATTGTTAACAATGGATCAATATCTAAACGTTTATTCTATTCTAATTCTGGTCTTGATCTTACTGACACACAATACTTTACACTGACAGGAACATCAAAAGCAATTGATTTATCCGCCGATCCTTCTGTTGATATAATTACTATGAATCCAATTGACTTGAGCGCACCTCATCAGTGTACAATGTTTTTTGATTCAACAAATGATTGTTCTGATAATTCATTCTTCACATCACATACAATATGGGATCCTGAACCAGGATTTAGTTTTACTGACCTATTACTTACTAATAATGATAGTGATGATTGTGTTGTTGAAGGTGATATGTCTGTAGAGTTCCCAGAAGTTATAATGTATCCTGAAAATAGTATTTCTACAGATTATCGTCCCGGTGAAGTGAATATCACTCATAACCCATCATCGTATGATGAAACAGTTATTAATAGTGAATGCAGTATGTCAGATGTGTTCATTTCATCGTGTAATAATTATTTCATCCCATCTAATATAATAACAGTAACGACAAAAATGATGACGCCGACGGTGATTACATCATCATCAGCAGCAGCAGCAGTAGTTCCAAAAACAGTCCAACCACCACCTCTAGATTTACGACTGATACAAAGCAATTTCTATTCTTAAAAATTTAAATAAACACTGTCTCTTTCATATGTATATATAGACATAAACCTGTACTCTTATCCTCTTGTCTCCTCTTTTTCTATATTCTTTTTTAGTTTTATTTAATTCATTTTTTTCATTTAGAAAAATTGCTTATTTACTGTATGCTACAACAGATGTTTAATATTTTTGGGTAATACATATATATCTTTAGAAGTGCATTAGTTTTGTTTTATACATAGACACTATTTATTTTCTGATTGCACATTTGTTCTCTCTAATGCAACTATTTGATGTAGAGTTAAGCGCACATATCTTTGCTTGTTGTAACCCGGAGATAATTAAATACGACAAGACAGGGTTATTTAGTTGTTTAATATTTGCCATTTTGTCGTAGTCAGCCATAAGTCTGCTTCTATTGTTAATGTAGGCAGTCTGGAGACTTGTTGCTCAGGTGAAATGCTATAGCTGTTTAATGTCCTATTAATTTTGATAGTTAACAGTTTTTTCCCATTCCTTTGCGTTCCGAGTGGAACATATGGCTTCAAGCTCTAAGCTTGGAAGTTTCAGTAGCTCCTGTATTGTTTTTGTGGAGAGGGGGGTCGCCAGTCTAACGCCAAACTTTTCCTCTTTCTCAGGCTTGCTGCCAAGTATGTGAGGTTTAGGATTGTATAGAGCGGAAATCGAGCTGGCTAGCATTCTACCTCCGAATCACTGACGTGTGGCTAGTATTCAAACACGTATTCGTTTTGCCTGAATAAATAAATGACTTCAAAGACTAGAATCTCTGCAGTTGTCTTGGTATTCTATTCATTCTAAACAAATATTACTGACCTGTAAATCTAGGCCCAAAGTTAGGCTTGTTCTACAGTCATGGTTTTAAAAACCTCTGTTTAGTTTCATTAGGTTTGAAGTTTTGTGGTAATGTTAGTGATTCTGGAATTCTCTTATGTATCGTAGGAAACATCAAGAAGTGCATAGAATGAAGATACACACCATCCATTGAGGTTTTCAGCAATTATGTAGGTTTTCATCAATCTGTATACATGAATATAAGGAGTAGCGTCTGTACAGTGTGTGTGTGTGTAAGTTAGTTGAATGGACTCAGTATATAAATAACTTAGAGGAAAACTAATAGCACAATGCGTCGGTGGTTCACTGATAGAATACTCGCCAATCGCACACATGTTGTAGGGTTCGACCCCCCGCCCCCCCCCTGCCGACGCAATTGTTAGCCTTACCCAGCTAATAGTAAGTCTGGTAAAGAGATATGGTATGATGGGAGTCTAGCGATCCCACCCTGCAAAAAAATACACCACTGCTACTACGACCTCAAAGCCTGGAGCTGTATGTTCCAATTGGAACTCAAAGGAATTAAAAGAAAACTAATTTCACAGAATTTGGAGACATGAATTTAAAATAAACAATTTCGCTCTATTTTACCACTGTCTATTTAATTATTTATTTTGAAGAATGAATTATATTTTCATTAGTAGGTATCTTCCCTGTGTGAATAATGTTCCTGCTGATGGACGATAACATTAATAGAAACACTACATGAGACCTAATTGGTAATTAATTGGCAAAAAATAAAAGCCTTGTAGGTTTCAACTTACTTACGTAGACTTTAGTTTATTTGATAAACACTTATTAAAGGACAGATTATAAATGATCTACATCATGATAGGGTACTTTTACACCTTTAAAAATTATAAATATAAATGGTTTATCAATATCTTAAGAATTGTTTGTTTTGCGAAGATCAACGACAGTTTCATTGTCAGCTCTTTGATTATTATCTGAGAATATGAAGATATATCCTCTAAATGTTCTTGAAATCTACTGATAAACACCTGCTCAGTTAAAAAAAGTGTGTTTTCAAAGCTTTGAAGTATGTTATTGGAGAACATCATGAATTGAATTGTGCTGAAATCAGATGTAATTAAAGATTGTGCTGTCACTGTTGAATATCGTTTGTTCACTCTCCATAACTGAAATAACTTAGATGATGAGTTCTTCCAGCGCCTATGACGACGTTATATCATAAAATACTTTATAAAATTTGTGATAAAAAAGGGTTCATTTATATTAGTCTAAACCAGTTTTCTGATCGTTAATAATTTTGCTAATTAAGCTTACATATTGATCCTAATCGAGCAACATTTTGTTATTTATCTTAAATCACTAAATATTTTTCCATTTTTCTTGATTATATTCTCAGTCAGATTCATTATTCAGTAAAGATTCAATATCAAATTATTCGGAATGTATAAACTTAACTCCATTTGGTGAATTTCTCGTATGGTCTGCTGAAGGTTAGTGAAATTTTACTGTTTACCTGAATAATAAATAAGTATTTTTTTTTAATCCTGTTAGTCAGTTAAATATATCACGATATTTTCATTATTTAAATGTGGAGCTGTAGTCCATTGGTCTACGCACTTTACCTCCGACTAGTGAGTCAGGTTCAAACCTTACCCCACCTATCGAGGTTTAGGTAGTTAGGTAGTATTGTGGTGAGAGCTGGCTGCTAGCCAAATTGGTATATGGTAATTTACGTCAATGTTTACGTCCTCAGTATTGGTCGTGAGAAAATATGAACAAAGACTGATTCAGCAACCAACCAAAACAGACTTTGCGTAGGCAGGTACAGTTAACACATAGATGAGCTGACATTCAAGAAACAGTCACAATGAGATGCAAGGTCAACTTTCTGTGAGAAACAACCAATCAGAAGACTGTGTCTATCTGCTAACAATAATCTATAATAATGTACATGAAAACCTATAAATATGTGTTGACTTACTTAATAAACGATCTGTTGCCTGGCCCTTGTCTTCTGTTGTTATAGTATTACTAGCTCTCACACAACAGATGTGGCTCATTGTCAAGTGCATGGAATTTCAACTGTTTGTTGAATACTATTTTATTTTCATTCATTCTCTGAATAAAAGCATAATAGCCGCCGAAATGTTACATTTCGACCGATTAGTAATTAAGACTATCTTAGGTATAATTATCTTTAGAGTTTTGTTTGTTCCTTTACGTTCCCAGCTGGAACATAAGGGCTACAAGCTAGAGCTTTGAAGCTTCTGTAGCAGCAGTGTTTATTTTTACAAGACGGCGTTGCTAGCCTCATACCTAACTTCCCATCTTTACCCGTCTTACTACTGGTGTAGTAAGGGAAAGGAGTGCGTTGACTGCGGATCGAACCCCGGACCACATGCGTGGTTGGAAAGCATTTAACCGCTGTAACACTGACGCACTATCTTTAGAGTGCAGATCTTGAATTATAAACTTGCTAAAAAATCATGTTATTCTGTAATGATATGTAATGATATCTGGATTGTAATCACAATAGATAACTGTCTAGTCGGTATTTGTACTAAGAGATGACGTATCAACATAGACGGAGGCATTTTAATCCAGTATATAATCAGTCAACGGGAAATAGAAATTAATTCCAACGTGTAATGCTTCACTATGAGTTAGTAAAATCAGCGTTTTGCTTTTCCACATGGGTGTGCCGTATAAAAAAAGTTTAAAAAAACATACATGCGTTTCTGTGTCATTCAAAAACAAAGATAATCCAATATTCGTCATATATATATATATATGCCTATATTTTAATCTCGCTTTTTTTTAGTTATCGTGACCAATATATATTGATCACTAATAAATTAGTTTTTCACAAGAGGTCCCTTCAAAGCAATATCAATTTTAATTTATGCTTATATCCAACTTTTGTTTACATTTTGACAAATATATATATATATGTTTTTCTTTCGCTAATGTAAAACTCGTTATTTAACTTTTTTTTTACTGTATTTCTGTAATGTATTTTGTATTAAACGTCTTGTTTTTTCGGCGAAACAATGTGTGTGATTATTTCTCATTTAATTAAAAAGTAGTAAGTAGTAAAATAAAAATCAATAAAAGGCCTGGATTATGGGTTTTTGTAGGGATTAGAACTAATCCCAGTGCAGTCACCTACGAACACCAGTTAGAGATTATTAAAATTAATCCAAATACTTACAAAATTGCATAATCTAAGTATAAATCTTCAGGTCATTGATGACTACTAAGTGGATGTCCAAATGCTGCCCTGAGAAGTTCGCACTAGTTGATTCCACCACGTCAAGGTGAAGTGGATGCTTATGGAAGACATTAATTAGTTGAGGTTAGCTCTATGTCATAAACTGACAGAAATAAGAATCCATGGGTCATTGAACTCCAACTCGAATGGCCGCAAAGCCTGGCCTCATGACCTGAAGGTCGCATGTCCGCTCCTTAACGGAGCCGTGTGTTTGCACTGCCGAATAGTCCCAAACCTGGTGAAAGCAGCTGCCCAGTGCTCCCTGGTTTCCAATGATCTCTAACTAGTGTTGTTTCTTGACGAAATCTGCATCAAATTGTAGGGCAGCCATAGTAAATGAGTGTTGATCAACCAGCAATGTCTTTCAGGGATGACCATTGTCTCCATTTCTGTTTAATTTCATCATAGATGTACTAATGGACTTAACCCTAATTGACTTTAGTGACTCATGGTATAATCTCGTTGACTTAGAATAAACAGATGATATAGTCCTTCTAGGTGAAGATGCTGACAAAATACAGAGCCTTCTGAACACCTCGAAGCGCAGCAATCTTCAAATGTTTGGCATGCGATTCTCTCCTGTCAAATGTAAGATGATGCTACAAGACTGGACTACATTGACCCCTAGCTGAGAGATAGGGAGTGAAGTAGTGTAGCATGTCGATCACTTCACTTATTTAGGAAGTTGCATCAACCAGTGTCAATGGAGTTGATTGTTGACGAAATCTCAGCATGGATACAGAAGGCTCGTTTGACAACTGCCAGTTTACGCCGTTTCTGACGTAGACGTGATATCTGACTGTCAACCAAAGGACATGTATACTGCTCACCAGTTCGCTCCGTTCTCCTTTATGACTGTGAACGAGACATGGCCACTAAAAGTGGAAGGCATAAACAGTCTGGTTAGCTGTCTTTGGTCATATGTGCCTGTGTTCTATCCCTAGTGTTAGATGGCATAATATGGTGAGCAATATTGAGGTTAGGCGTCGCGTACTAGGTAAGGAGTAGAAATTAATCGTTGTGGAGTTACACTGCTTAGGATGGTTAGAGCATGTGTTACGCATGCATGCCTAGCCATCGCCTTCCTCAATGATGGGCAATCTTACCTGATATAGGATGGATCAGGTTGGAAAAGAGTTGGCTAGTAGTGGTCAAATCAAAACATGACTTCATCAGTCAATGAAATCTACATCAGTTAGTTTAGGTCGGTCATGTAGGGAGGTGTAGACTTCTTGACTGTTTGGTGTCCTTGAGATGGTAATAACCAATGAGGGTTGGAGACAATTGGTGATATGGCTCAAAGTCGTTGTCAGTGGCTAGCACAGATGCATTCATTTTTATGACTTTTCATATCCAGTGAAATTCTATTGTTCTTCCATACTACTGTTCTTTTTGCCTAATATTTCTGTTCATTATTTCTCTTAACTCTGTTCTCTTGCTGTGTGTGCAACAAGGAGGAGTGTGGCAACTTGAACTGCCGCACATTCTTGCGAAGTTCCACATTGATACCGGTTAGTCAATTAGTCAATTGATCAATTCATAATGGAAATAAGGATACAGTATATTTTACGGTTGTATTTCTGGACGTATATAAGGCTATATATATATATATATATATATATATATATATATATATATATATGATTTCTTCATTTATCACACTGTTTTGATTCATTATATACTCCCAGTTCCCTTTGAATGTAACCAGGGTAACTGTTTATGTAATATTTGCATTGTCATGATGTTTTTAGTACTATCTAAGTGTTGAAATCTGTCAACTATTGCTGCTCATTTCTCTTGTCTCATTCGATTTTAATAAAGCTGTACTGTGGTTGCGTCGTACCTACAGAATTATTGGTCGTGCTTCATATGCCGTAGAATCATGTAAAAAGCTTCATAATCAATCGAAGAAACCAGATCGATTACCAGTTCGTTTAAATTTTGAAGAAGTTGTCTTATTACTCTCTAAAGGTTTTATCAATGGCCTGTTGTGTAGTAGACCAGTATTATCTGTGGCTAAACCATCAGAGGAAACTATCAAAGAATATAATAATGCTCTTTTGAAGAATGCTGAAGAAATGGTATTGTTCATGACTATCGTTTTTCATTTCTCTTTGATTTTTTTCTCCTTTGAAATACTAAACATTTATGATATTAATTCTCATTATGTATTTTTCATAATTGGTTGTTAATTTTTCATTTTTTTTCCTTCACGTTCCCCAGTGGAACAAAGGGCTTCAAGCTTGAAGTTTCTGTAGCAGTGTTTATTTTACAGGATTGGGCTGCTAGCCTCATACCCAACCTTTCCTCTTTACCAGCATTATTTCTGGCTCAACGAGGTAAAGGAGTGCGCCGGCCGGGGATTGAACGCCGGACCACGTGCATGGTCGGCAAGCGTCCTAACCGCTATACCACCGACGCACGGATTTTTCAATAACTGTGATTTATCTAAGCAGATAGATAATGAGCTTTGAATAGTGTTTACTATGTTCATTCACTTGAAAAGCTGAGATGTAGTTCACAGGTGTTTGTCTCTGGTTTATGTTTCTCAATCATTACGCCATGGTAAACTTGTATCGGATTGGGTCCATAACAGTTAAATTTTTAAGATAGCTTATTACCACTGAAGAAGCTTTGGGTTGGAATCCAATAACCTACAGTTTTTAATCCCAATTATTAATTTATGACATGGCTCTAGCAGTGTTCATCATTACTCGTGCATAAGTGTTCTCATACCCTACACGACACAACATTTGACAAAAACTTGCTCAAACTGTTAAAACTAGTCACTAGAGGTAACAGCTGGGTGATACAAGGAATTATTCATGTAAGAGTAGATTTCGGACATTGTGGTAGAATGTGATTTCCATATTAGATACGTTTATTTGATAAATAATGCTTAGAAATACAGTATTAACAGTTGGATGACGTTTTGAGTACAATTTATTGCTCTAAGTCATGTCGATGAACAAACAGTCTCTCTGATTAACCTCGCTCATGGAATCAACACCAGACACCTGTGGTTGGAGTTATGCTACACCCATCCCCGAAATATGGAAGATGGCAATAAAAAAACAGAAGAGAGTAAAGACATACAAACCAAATTATCAACTCCTGTAAATACCTTGATATGATTATGAGCAACAAATGATGCTCGAAATGTTATCTGGTTACTGTATCAGATAAACTTATGTAATATAGATTTAGATAAAATAATCTAGTTGGTTCTATTTCAGGAATTTTCGACTGTTTGTCATTCGGATGTGAAATGTGTTTATTTTTATAGTTTTAATGTTATCCTTTATCTACAACACTTGTTCAGAAAAATATTTTTAAACCCAAACATTTCAACGTATGCTTGAACAGTGGATATTTTATTTTCATCAATAACAATGGTAGAGTGCTCTCCAGCCAGCCATGCAAGTTGTTCGAGGTTCGACTCCCGACCGATACACTCCTTTAACTCGCCCAGCTTACTAATCGATAGTTAGCTCGGAAAAGAGGAAAGGTTCGACATGTGAGACTAGGAACCCTACTCTGGAAAAATAACATCACTATCGCTACTGAAACTTGAAAACTTGAAGCCCTACGCTCCACTTTGAATATCAAAAGAAAAACTTAATATATGAAAGATTAGTTAGTTTTTGATAGTTTATTTGAAGGTGGTAATCATGGAATATACATATTGGATCATAAGGATTATCAAAAAGACGGTTACACAGAAGAAAATTTTATTTTCGACGAAGTGATCAACTAGGCTGTGCATTCTTGCATTTGTAGTAAATGCATGAGAAATTTCCAGAATTGTCTCCGGTCAAGTATTGGTTTGTAGGGATTCTTTTTTGTTTATTCGGAGGATTTCATCGTGAGCTGACATGGTTGAGAGAACCATTGGAAAACCTAGGAGTACTGGACAGTTGTTTCATCCTGATTTGCGACTCTTCATCAGTGCGCTCTCACCAATAGGGTTCGAACCCAGGACCTTCTGGTTACAAGGCCCGTAAACCATTAAGCCGCTGGGACTCGATTCAATGGCCAGACCATGAATTCCAATTTCTGCCAATGCGCGACATAGCACGACCACTTCGCAATGTCTTCTTCGTTAAGTAACTGTCCTCACCTTCACGGTTTGAACCTTGGCGGTGGGTACGTACTGCTGAAGAGTCCTAAACTAGGTCGACGAAATTGATGTCCAGTACTCCCAGGTTTTCCAAAGGTTAGATTAATTAATAAAACTACAGAGTGTAATAAACAGGAAGATCGAATACAGAACTTAGTATGACATATAGGCAGTACTACTACTCCAGAAATATTTCAGGTCAAAGGTCAGATCGACAAAATTGCAAAGTAATAAAAACATAAGAGATCACACCTACTGAAAACTTGACCGTTTGTACAAATTACGGATTACGGACGTAGTAATAACAAAATGGGTAGAGAGTGTGGACACATAAAAATTAAAAAAACAGCAACGAAATCTAGTAATGCAGATAGGAATTTAAAATGTACAAATAACAGAAATAAACAGGAAGGTTGGATAAGTAAGGTAATAGGATAATCATTATTGATGGGACTGACTTTTCATGACAGCCCTGGTAGGAGCAACGGTTGAACGTATTTCTTTTGACCACATAGCGTGCGCTTGAATTTTTGGACCGTCAGTGTCTCAGCGACGTATTTCTTTTGATAATCAATAAAACACGCGAAATTTCAACTTTCTCTCTGTTTTTTTATCATCGAAAAAATACTTCACATTTTCTAGTCATGCACAATATGGTATTTTAGTGAATAACCAGTGGCGAATGATTTTCTTTACTGTTAATGATATCAATGACTGATATTTCAAGGATGAATGTGGTTGATAAACTACTAAGATATGTAAACGAGTTATATTATTAATTTTAGAGTTTTCTAACGATTAATCTCTTGGTTTAATCATTCAATGTTTTTATTGGTAGCTAATCTGATTTCATAATCTCTTCGTTTTTCATAAGTTCTTTCAGCTCCTTATAGTGCCTCTTCGTCAAAATGGACCTTCCGTTGGGTTTGGTATTTATAAACTTGTGACAACTCGTCCATTTTGACGAAGAGGCACTATAAGTAGCTGAAAGAACTTATGAAAAACGAAGAGATTATGATATTACGTCCTGATAAAGGCGGAGGAATCATTATCATGAATCGTAAGGACTATATCAGTAAGATGCTGACTGTACTATCCGATGAATGTAAATTCACAAAACCGGTCAACGAGAAAAACATGACTAATCTGATTTCAGTTGAAGTTATCAAGTATTGTGTTGTAGTAAGGCTGTGAAATTGTTTTCAATCAATAATCATATATTGGAAGTTAACTTCACCAGTTATGTAATGTATTCTTGGATAGTAAGGTTATGTGTGTGTGCTATAGGTATACTATACTTTGAGACCATTGTTGAGAATTAATGCAAACCAAGAATGAGGTTGCATATCTCTGATTTAAATAATCGAAGCAGTTAGTAAGTTTTCAAGTGTTAATTTGTGAGGATTTGATTGGTCTCAAGTTTGATCAAGGATTGAAATTGGTTGAAGAACCATTGAAAGTCAAGGAGTAGTAGTAGTGGCTGGGACATTTTGGCAGTGGCGCTAAGAATCGTAAATTGACAAAAGTTGGAATTCATGGGCCACTGGTTGAATGACCAATTAGCTCTCCCCGTACCCTAAAGGTCCTGAATCCGTACTGCCAAAAAGCTACAAACTCGGATAAAACAGCTGTCCAGTACTCCAGCTAGTTTTCACTGGTTCCCTAACTAATACCAATCCGTGATCGAACTTTATACCAATTACTAAGTATCCAATTTCACTTAAAAATGTGCTTGACGTAGGTAAATGGCGGACAAAGACAAATAAAATAAAGAGTATTGACTATCATAAAAGACGATGTGATACGAAAAAATGTAATATTCCAGATCTGTTTATATCATCGACTGAATTATTCACGAAATATCCGTTGCTGAAGCTGCACACAGGTGATTCTAGCATGTTACACCTGAGAATTCTCAACTCATGACTTAAGAAATCGCTATGTGTGTATATCACTTGAAGAACTTCAATAACACGGAAAAAGTTATTTGTAATTCATGTTCCTTGGTTGATGGTTGTTAAGCTGATAAAAAATTGCAGTAAAAATGCATGCAAACCAAAATGTACAAAGTTTTTAAATAATTCCATATCGTAAATGTAATCTACCTTTTATCTCAAACGAACTGTTTAGATTGTATCGATAATAACTGCTATTGACTGCATGTTAGCAATGAAGCTCTGTTAAACACATTCTAAGTTTTATTTAAGATTTTGTCGTATTAAGCGCTGCCTGCTTTGTTACATGACAGTTTAGAAAAACCGAACACCAAGGTAGGAACACTTTTGTTTGTTGATTTATTTCTTTGCTTACCGAGTGGAACACAAGGCTTAAAGGTTTCAGTCCCAGTGTTCCTTTCATGAATAGTGGGGTTGCCTAACCTTCGCTCTTTTCTGAGCGTATTACCGGCTGATAAAGTAGATGGGGTTTTGGAGTGGGCCAACTGGCAATCTAATCTGAACCTCTTGCATGGCTGACGAACATTCTACCATTAACCGACCCATCGAAGTACCAGACTGACACATAGCTTCAAGTAACTCCATGTGTTACTTCTAAGTTGTTCACCGTCATGTTCAACTTTTAATACTCCCACTTCTTCGTGTTATTCGCATCTCAAGATTGGTATATTCAAAACGCAAAGACGATTAAAATTAGTCGGTCATTATGGTCAACTAGTGAATGGTATGAAATTACGTCAACAACGTAAACTAATGGCTCAAGCATGTCATACAGAAGTATCCAAGGCAACAATTCCCTGTACAGATGATACAAAAGATATTTACAAATCGCAATTGTGTAAGCGGGAGACGTTTTGTTTTGGTAAATTAGCTTTGTAATAGTCACTGTAATGCCTCCTATCTGTGTGTTTGTTTATTTTTCAATGATGTAACCGAATGTTAGAAGTTGTTAATCTCCTGCATACTACTTAAAGTAGTATAATTTGTAAGACTGAATTTGTTTTTACAAGATATCGGCATTCTTGAAATACTACTCATTGCTGGTGATTACTTTATATACATGTACTATATACTATATCTGGTTGAAACCTTATAATGCTTTATCCCTACTAAAAATTATATGTACACGCATCTATCATAATGTAGCTCAATATGTTGGGTTTTATTTTCATGCCACAAGTTTGAACCCTTGAGTAGACATCAGTTATTTCGAGTGCGAAATAGTATGAGACGCAGGTCCAGCATTTTTGGATTACACATACAGAAATGGCTTAATACTGTTTTCTATTATATGTTTATGGGTTTGTAAAACAACAAGTAAACTAGTCGTTTAAATGTTTTATTTAATGTAATTGAATAAAACATCGGTGGAGGAAATCTTTCGTCAGCCTGGAATATTGGTTTGGCTTGTCTAATTAATCTGCTTAATTTCCATGATTGTGATTTAGAATAGACATTGCTTGAATACTTCCCAACCATACTTTGTTATACAAGTTAGCACTCTCCTTTGGAAACTCTTAAAGTTTGTTTTTAGGAAAGTTCTCTTAGATATAAACAGTATAATCTACTGTATTATTATTATTGTAGCCTTTAATTCCTAGAGGAATATAGGGCTTCAGTTGCGCGTCTCCATTCCCTTCGGTTTTCTGCCAACTTTTTCACCCCACTCCAAGTCTGCCCACATGCTTTCATCTCCTCTTCACATGACCTCCTCCAAGTCACCTCACCCTTGCACTGACGACCGACTCGCCGCTTCCCTTTCGGGTTCCACTCGAGCGATGGCCTGGCGTATGATGTCACTTGGTGGTTTCCTCTGCGTATGGCCAGCCAATCCATCTCCATTTCCTCGTGCCTATTTGTTTCACAGTCGGTTCCTGGTGGGTTGGTTCGCTCATTGCCAGAGATCCCTGTTGCTGATATTTTCTGGTCGGCCATCTGATCTTGAGTATTGAGCTAAGACAACTGTTAATGAAGGTCTGAAGTTTGTTTGAGATGCGCTTTATGACTCGCAGTGCAAGTCTCTGATCCGTATAGTGAGTACCACTGACTGACTTCACATTGGAGTTGAAAATCCGGATCTTATTTTCATTTCTATGCTGAGTGCTGTTGACCTCTACACAGACTTGAGAGTAATGAAAGCTTGTCTTGCTTTTCCGATTCTAGCTTTGATATCCTCGTCAGCTCCGCCTGTAGTTGAAACGATGCTTCCCAGGTGGATAGGTAAAAGAGGTTGTTTCTTCCAGGTTCCTCCCATTTATGCTGGCTGATTGTTGTCTGTTGTTGTTGTTGCTGTTGGTGTTGGCCAGGAATCTTCATCACCTCTGTTTTATCTATGTTCACCTGAAGTCCTATCCTTGATGCTTCTTCTGCCAGCTTGTTGCTTTTCACTTGTATATCTTCCTGTTTGTGGGAAATCAGACATATGTGTTATCGGCGAAGTCCAGATCCTCGAAGTTTTTTGTGTGAGTCCATTTTATGCCTGTTTCCTCATTGCCCGTTGTCTGTCTTTCTCATTATCCAATCTACTGCAATCAGGAAGATTATTGGCGATAGTAGAACAATCTACGGTATATTTGCCTAATTTCAAACTGTATTCAAAAGTAGCTGAAATGCAACTGGAGTCCACGAATGATATTCCTCACCTAATAAACATTCATAACAAATAAGCGTCAAAGTACTCTGCATGTGTATCGTATTCTAATTTAACTTCTGTCATAGAAAACATTGATTTGTGCCTGAAGTTCACTCATTCATCTATGTCAGTGCAGTGAACTACTTGACTGTCGCCTTTTTGAACTTTTAATAACTTCACCTCTAATGTACGGTAGTCTAATGTACAACTACAAGTCATGAGTTTTTTTTTAGTTATGTTCGCACACTTCATACCTGAATTACAGGTGTCAAAGTTATATTTCAAGTTTGATGGCAAACTGACTTAAGTTGGAGAACCATTGAAAATCAGTGAATATTGAACTAATGTTTCTTTCTGTTTCTGAACTCCTCGGCAGTACACAGTCATGAAAGCAGCAGCATCTTCATGGTACGAGGCGAGCCCGTGGATCAATTGTCCACTGGGACCGATTAAATCATCCCATGAATTCAATATGTGATTTATAGGAAACCGTCAGCCAACATTATCGACAAGTGTCTGTGCTCATACCCAACTTGGTGGTTCCCGCCGGTCAAGACTTTTCACTCGAACCCCAGACAACTTCATCCAATATTCCGTCGCTAGTTTTATTTAATACAGCTAGTTGGTGAATAAGTAACTGTTTTAATAAAAACAGATTGTTGAAAGTTTCAGATATGGAAAAATGAACAAGATGTCTAACCACAATCAACAAAATAATTGATACACTGAAATGCTGTATTTTATAAAGGAAAGCAAGATATTGAGGAAGTGAGAAAAGGTTGAAATCCATGATTACTGAAAGGGTGGAAAGTAGTAGAGGTGAATGGTGAATTCTAATGCATGAAAGTTCTTTGTCGATGTCAATCTTTTAGCTCTGCCACAACGTATGAAGCTGTTACTTATAAAAATCAGTTGATATAGTTGAAAATTAGGTGGTAGAAAGAGCTGATCGTTAGTAAACCCTACAATTAGGTATCATGCTTGATTGTCTTCAGTGAAAAATGTATTTGCAAGTTAATCCTGAATTAGTACATTCGTGATCAAATCATTTCGATCACAAGTGAGCTTCAGCTTGAAGAAGCATGCGAATAAGCCAACATATATTCAGAAGAATGTAATCGTTTAGCCGTAAGTTTGTTGATTGTAGTCTCTCAAACACATGTGTAATAGGTTCAGTAAGATTAATGACACAACTTTGCTATCCCTTGTGATAAACTGTAACTTTTTAAATTATATATCATGTGTAAAATGGTGGAAAGTGTAAACCTGATGTGCAGATAGGTGTGCAGCAATACACTTAGCAATAGGCAGCTACTAGGGTTAATAAACACCGACGTATTCTTAAATGTTAAAAATTCTTTTGAGTTTATTTGTTTAAAATAAAAGTTTGGTGCGTTTTTGTCAACCAACACACCATTTAATATGAAAATGTAATTCATCTAAAACTTTGTTATTCATGTTTTTACTCATTATTTCAGCTTCTTCAAAGTTATCCACTCGTAAACGACGTTATGAGCGACGTATGTTACAGAAACAGTTAAAAAAGAAAAGGAACATGATGGACTCTTCGATTCACTTTGATATTAATGATGATGACAACGATAATGATGATGAATATGATTGGTACAATGATAATCAAGACTCTCCTGAAATGACTGATTCACCAATTACTTTAGATGATATAATTTCTGAACAGACTACACATCAAGGAGCATCAAAGTCATCTGTGATATTGAATGAGAAACTTGAAGAATCTCTACCTTATATACCACAACACTTACCGCGTCCTACTCCTATTGAATGGCGACGTCCTGGTGAATATATTTTTGTTAGTTTACCAGAAACTGTGCCATCTGAAGATCTTTATTCAGGTAAGTCAATATTTTCTGTAACAGGCTTCAGGAATTACTTATATTGCTATAGAGGGCATCTATTTAACAGTTAAACATATCCATAAAAAATAATCAGAAGTAGTAGACAGATCTGGTCTGGAAATCTCTGCTAACTGACTCACTTGCAAATGTATAACTTTGCAGAAAAAAGCGTCATTTCGTGTTTCCCAACTTTGGCGAATTAGCCATAAGCGTAGACAAAGAAAACCGAATGAAACTAAAAATGTATACAGGGGAAAGATTAATTAAATTAAGACTAGTGAACATTGTCACTGTCTGAGAGTCGGTTATTACAAGCCACATCACACAGTCTCCAACCATTGATCTGTAGCACCAGGAGGACCCAAGCATTTGCTTGTTGGTTGGATCCACATACGATGGTGTAGACTGTATGACTTGGGTCCTCTGTTTTCTAAGAATCACGGTTGAATACTGTTGGTCACACGGCCCAGAACTGTTTTTGATCACCTGTACTGAAAATCCTCATTGTTCTTTGGTTAAGTACCCCTTATCTCATAGAGTTCTCTTTATTTCGGTTTCATTGCATTTCGTTTCTCTGCCTTCACTGTTCATTGCCTTTATGAATAGTAACAACTTGAACTATTTCACTCTTTTGAAAAGTTCCCCTCTGATACTTCAGTTCAGTTAAGTCCCCCTACGATTCCCTGTGAGACTCACAACAGTCAGCAAACTTGATGGACTCGTGTCTAATCACCTCTAGCCATTTCCCAATTTAGTGAGATTCATCACTTGCAAACTTCGCAGTTCGAGAGGAAATCTAAAATATGCAAATGACAATAAGTGGTGGCAGAAACTTCATCAAAAAGGAGAACACACTCAAAACTGAACCTGCTATTGATTAGTATGTAACAACAGAAGACAAGGGCCAGGCAACAGAAATCAGCACGTATTTATATAAATTTCACGTACATTATTATAGCCTAGTCAAGTAGACAAACGCAGTCTTCTGACTGGTTGTTTTCGAGTTCCTCGAAAAGTGGAGCCATCTATCTGCGAATCATATTTCCCGACGTTTAAGTTTGCTGTGATTGGTTGGTGGAACAGCCTTGTTCATATTTTCTCACGGCCCGTATTAATAATCTAGACATTGACGTAGATTAATGTCAACCAATTGGCTAGCAGGCTGCTCTCACCACAAGTATAGGTAGTTAGAAAATACTTATGTCAGCCAGTAGTACTTTCTAACCAGATCGATATAATCTAAACATCTCATGGTTCTTTCACTAGTTTAGAACTGAATTCTTCAGTGATGTGCACTTTTATATGCCGGCATATTCTAGTTTTTTTTTCATTTGGACGTTGTAAACTATAGGTTTATTTGATATGATAAAATCCTGTTAGAATAGTTAGAAGCATTATTCCTCGATGGTTAACTCATCGCTGATGTCAGCTCAGGGTGAAATCGTCGAACCAGTCAGAGAAAATCCCTACAAAACCAATCCTTGATAATTTATCTGATGCTCACTAGTGACTGGCCATAGTTATTCTAGTGGGAAGCCGTGACCAGCAGGGTACAGCCGGTCGAAGGTGTGGACAGTTACTCATCGAAGAAGACATTGAGAAGTGGTCGCACCATATCATGAATTGGCAGAAGTTAGAATTCATGGACCATTGGATTGGGTCCCAGTGGTTGATGGTCTACGAGCCGGATCGCCCTGCAATCAGAAGGTTCTGGGTTCGAACCCTGTTGGTGGGTGCGTACTGATGAAGAGTCTCAAACTAGACTGACGAAGCAGTTGTTCAGTACTTCAATGTGGCTTTCCAATGGTTCTCCAACTGATGTCATCTCATGATCAAATTGTTCAACCGAGAAAATCTCCACAAAACCAATACTTGAAAAGTAATCGAATTGTAAAACAAATAGAATAATTAGATAACTTGACGATAGTATTCACTATCTGTGCTGTTGATTTCGACTTGACTTTATGTAGGATTTTAATTGGAATTGGTAATTTTCAAAACATTTACGTAAAATTATGAACAATTTCCAATTTCACCTCCCTAATTTATTTGATGTATGATAGTGTTACCAGTTTTAAAAAAAAAGACGTATGATCTGTCCATATTGCAACACAATGAATTACTCTGTTTGGAAGGATCGTGATAATGTCTTTGTCTGTTATTTTTTTTTAATATTCTTACCTTTAACTCTGTGTATTATGCATCCTTGAAACCTCCATTTTCACAATAAATAGTTGACAACTGAAGCAAAATAAAATGGTTTTCAAAACTCTCTAGGAGTGCTAAAAGTGTTAATTTATTTATAATGTTGAGAACTAGGTAGATAAACTCATTACTTCTAAGTTAGAAATCGAAGATCAAAGGGTTCGTCCTGCAATCTGAATGTCCTGAAATCCCTGACATGTACTTCTAAAGTATCCCTTCTGTCCAATACTCCAGGGTTTTCAATGATTTTTTAACTAATATCTGTGATTGATGAGATCTGCAATGAATCTTAAAATATTTAATATAATGTCTGAGGAGAAGCAGCTCACTGTGCAACAGAATGTGTTTGAATTTTTGTGGTCCTCATTTCCATAATTTCATAGTTATTTTACCTGAAAAAAAATGTTTTATGAAACAAACTTTATCCAATGTTGGGATACTTCGCTTTTTCTTTCTAGTCTACTCATGTTCCCAGTGTTGAAGTAAGGTACACACCTTTTCCATCACCTTTATCGATTTAATGAAAAAAAAGCACGAATTGTTAGAAGTTAGAGTTCATGGGCCATTGCTGGATTCTGTCCTAGTGTCTGAATGGTCAACGAGCTCACCTCGTAACCTGAAGGTCTTAGGTTCCATCCTTGTCATCGCAGTTATGGATGCGTACTGGTGAAGAGTCCAAAATTAAGACGAAACATCTATCCAGTACTCTCTGTTTCCCAATGCTCTTCTAACTGATATTAATCAGTGATCAAACCTAATGAAAACTGTAAGGAATTTTATGTTGTTTTTTATAACTTTTTAGTTGTTCTTTGGTTGACTGAGTTAATTCAACAACAACGACGCCAACAACATCAGTTTAAATCACTTGATGACTCTGACAGTAATGTTAATGGTTGCATTGCAGAAACTTCACTTACACAACGCTTACAGTGTTGCTTTGTATATAAAGATTTATGGGATAAAGGTTATTATATTAGTACATCTAGTGCTAAAATGGGTGGAGATTTTCTTTTATATCAAGGTGAGTAAATCTGAGTTTTTTTTTCTCATTTAACCTCTTCCATTTCATCAGTTTTATTTCCAGTATCATGTTAAATATATGTTTATGGGGTTATTGATTGACGTTGTGTAGATATTAGATATTAGCTTAACACTTCAGTGATCAAGTGCTTCTACTCTGTTTTTGTAACAAAAGAATGAAGTGATGGCACTCTTGTTGCCATTGTTTAGTTGCACTAATGACTACAACATTAAATAAAGTTTCTGATATAGATTTGTGTAAACAGTCTAGCTGTACTGCGTTCAGAAGATAGTCAGAACAAATACTATAAACTGTTTCAGTAGCTTGTATTTGCATTTATGTCTTTTTCAATAAAAACCTTAGAATGATTTTATCTTTATACTGTAGGTGTACACCTTTTTCTGTTTTAATTAGTTAGCTGACACTCATTTACCTGAGATATATTATTTATGTACCAGGTTATAAGCCACATCTTCTATGAGAGGGATACTTAGTTGCCCAAAGTGAAGTGGGTCAGGTGGGATTTAAAGTCGAAATCTATTGGTTGGAATCGAAGTACTTACGTCGATTAGCTACATATGTACCATGATTTTAAAAAGTATGATGTGTTTCATCTAGTGATTTCTTTCAGTTTGAATAAAGTTTATCAAGGAAACGGTCGGCATTCTAGGTTTGTGTTTCTAACTACCCAGCTGAAAATGTGTATTTATATTATAAAAGGACTATACAAATTACATGTGTGTAAGCTCTATTCTGGATAATAATTCTGTTTATAGTATGGAATTTTCAACTAAGATATCATTTTTATTGATAAACAATATATTCATATGATGTATTCTTTAAAATAAAGTAAGCTTTAATCGCGTACAATATCTTCATTTTATCTTCGAAAACTATGCAAAGAATGTATTATATTGCAAACTGTAGTAATAGTTATCATGGCTGTCCATCAGTAGTCAATCTGGGTTTGTCCTCCAGCGTTGGCATCCGGTTTTGTGTGTGAATGTTCCACTGGTAGAATGCTCGTTAACTACGCACGTGGTCTTGGGGTTGGATTCCCAATCGACTCATTCATAAATCTAGTCTGGAAAAGAGGGAAGGTTGGGCAACCCTACCACTCCCCACCCCCATAAAAATAAGACCACCACCACTGAAACTTTAAAGCTTGAAACCCTATGTTCCACTCAGATCACAGATTGGATTGGATTGAAACGGTATGATTGATTTGCTACTGTTAATGTTTTTATGAGCAGACACAATATTTTGTGTCCGGCAGTGTAAGGTGTACAATCATTCCATCTCTTTGTCTCTTTCTTATATACTGTGCTAAAGAATTCATAAGGGGTTAGTAGTAATAAAATCCGAGTTCTTGTGTAGGTTTGTTTGTCTATTTTTGACTTCTTCATTTTTGATTGGTTGGAGGATTTCGTCATAAGCTGACATTGGTTAGAGAACCATTGGAAAGTCTGGGAGTAAATAAGAAGACAGTTGCAGCGAAGAAAATTTTCTTTTCGACGAAAATTTTCTCCGCTGCAACAGTCTGGGAGTACTGGACAGTTGTTTCATCAGCCTAGTTTGGAACTCCCCATAAGCAGGCACCCACCGGGGTTCAAGCCCAGCGCCTTCTGGTTACAAGGCGAGCTAGCTTGTAGACCATTAAACCACTGGGACTCGATCCATTGACCAGACCATGAATTCTAGCTTCTGCTAATTCATAACATAGCGCGACCAGTTCTCAATGTCTTCTTCGATGAGTAACTGTCCACACCTTCGACCTTCTGTACTCTGCTGGTCACGGCTTCCCACTAGAAAAACTACGGCCAGTCACTAGTGAGCATCAGATTAATTTTCTTAAACTAATTTTAACCAATCTAGGTAAGAATACATTCACTGAATTAATATGTTATTCTGGAATTTTAATCTCTGTAATTCATATATTACTTTACCTTTTTCATTATTCTTAACAGGTGATCCACTCTTGTATCATGGCAGTCATATTGTTACAGTGTGTAATCCAAAAGATATATTTCTTAATTCACAGTTATTAGTTAAATTACGCATTGCAAATAGTTTGAAAAAGGTACTAGTACTAGCTACAGTACCTAGTATAGATAAATTTACCAAGAATTGTACACAAGAAACAGATGAAGTTGAAAATGGTAGCGACACGGTTATCGTCTCCGATGTTAACGCCATTAGGAACAATAGTACTAATAACAACAGCAAGAATGACAACAATTGGGATGTCATTTATTTGTCTTTGCAGTACATGTCTACGCACTCTAATAATAATAATAATAATCCGATGTCTCCTAGATCATCATTACAACGATCAAAATTATCCCAATCTTAATTAATGTGATTTTGTAAACAATATTTGGAAATAAATATATTTATACTGAAATTCTCATTTTTTCTTATTTCCCTCAGTGTTTTTGATAAAAAAAATTTTTAATGAATTGTTAGTTTGTATTGAATGTTATGACTCTTACAGCTGCTATCAAGAGCAGTCATTGATGTTAGAGATAGACAGGCAAAGAAATCCACTCAGTAGTGGATATATGCCTTATTAGCTTGAGAATTCGAATTTCATCCAATAGGTCTAGGGTTCAAGTCCTAATCCACGTACTTCAGCCTCAGCAACCAGATAGTTCGTCAGCCCTCGCACTATAAGTATGACTAGACGTGATTCCGTGTAGTTGAGTTCAAACAACCAGTCTTTGAATCTTCACTTACTGTTGTAATCAAAAGATGTTTTTGATGTAGGTGTGTTCTCTGGGTTGGATTGTTTATTTGTGAAGCTTTCATTGCCCTACTAGGCAACATCTTCAGCGCATACTTCAATTTAAAGTGAGCTTTAAGATTTCTCCACGAGTTTAGTAGTCATCCCTTCTGGTAACCCTGAACGTGACTGGTTGTTTTGGTATGTTTTCACTGATTGTTTTCTTTACCTGAAGTTTGACCCTTTGTATGTGAGATTTCCTTCTTACCGATTGGTAAATTTTGCCCATGTCCACGTATCTATTAACTAACAATTCACTGGAATACCAGGCTTCTAAAAATTCTATACCATTCGTAGTGTTTCCTCTGTCTAATATTTGAACGTTGTCCCAGTTGGATTGATGTCCGTGGTTATCTGTATGCAGCGATATGAGGGAGTGGATGTCATGTCTTTTGACGGCTGGTTTATGATCACGGATACAAAGACGAAGAAGACGTCTACTTCGTCCAATGTAGTGTTTTTCGCAGTTGTTACTATTTATTTTGTAGATTATGTTGGTTTTATCTTCTTTGATTGACACACAGCTGAGTGATTTTGTTGGTTTGTGTGAGACATCAATTCCTAAAGGTTTGAAGAGTTTTGCAGTGATTTCTGAGATGTCTTTTATACATGGCAGCGCGATTTCCTCTGTGTTTTCCTTGGGGGCCTTTGATTTGGTAGGTTGGCTTGGGTGTAGATGCCTCTTAATGAAATTCCGTGGATATCCATTCTTTTGGAAGACGTCCATGAGATATTTTTCTTGAGTTAGAAGTGCTTCAATGAATCCTGGCTCTGTTGAATATTGTTTGTATACAACTCCTTTCTTGTGTTACTGGGTTGTTGATGTTGTCACTGAGTATTTGGTCTGTGTGAGTTGATTTTCTATAGACTTGAGTTTCTGATTTTCCTGTGGTTGTTCGTTTAACTAAGACGTCCAAAATTTGGATTTTTTTCCTCAGATTCCTCTTTTCTTGTGGATTTTATGTCGTTGAAGATGTTGGTTATTAATCTGTGAGTTTTATCCAACTCGTTCCTTTTGATTATTACGAATTTGTCATCTACGTAACGTATCCAAAGTTTGAGTTTGATCTTTGGTAGGATTATATTTTGGAGTCGTTGCATCACAGCTTCTGCAATCAAACCTGATATGGGCTATCCCATGGATGTTTCTTTTATTAGTTCATATATTTGGCCTTTGAACTGGAAGCACTTTGTTAGGCGTAGGTTTATGCATTCCACCCAACTTATGTGTTACATTTTTTGATTGTTGTGGGAGGTGTTCATCGTTGCTGAGTAATCGCTTCATGGTCTCTTTTGCTAGTTTCTGTCCAAATGAGGTATATAATGCTGTGACATCGAAAGATACCATTGTTTCTTGATCATTTATTTGAATGCCTTTGATTTTCTCTGGAAATTAGATTGCCGATTTGATTGAATGATTGTAAGTGTTTCAATTTCCTGTATATTTCTCTGAACGAAATGTATGTTGGGGATCCTGGGAGTAATAAAATTGATCGTAACGGGTTATTCGGTTTGTGTATTTCAGGTCTGCTGTGGAATCGGAGTAGAACTGGTCCATTGAATTTAATTCGCTATTGCTCTTGTTTTGTGATCTGACTTGCTTTGGTGAGCTTGTTTAGGGTTCTTTGGATGCGCTTGTCTAATGTTTGTATGGGAATTGTTGTAAGCTGTTGATACACATCTTCACCTCTAAGTAGTTCTTCCGGTTTCTTCTTCTTCTTCTTCTTCTTATTATTATTATTATTATTATATCCTTTAATTCCTAGAGGAATATAGGGCTTCAGCTGCGCGTCTCCATTGCCTTCGGTTTTCTGCCAACTTTTTCACCCCGCTCCAAGTCTGCCCACATGCTTTCATCTCCTCTTCACATGACCTCCTCCAAGTCACCTCACCCTTGCACTGACGACCGACTCGCCGCTTCCCTTTCGGGTTCCACTCGAGCAATGGCTTGTCTAGTGATGTCACTTGATGGTTTCCTCTGCGTATGGCCAGCCAATCCATCTCCATTTCCTCGTGCCTATTTGTTTCACAATCGGTTCCTGCTGGGTTGGTTCGCTCATTGCCAGAGATCAGTCCCTGTTGCTGATATTTTCTAGTCGGCCATCTGATCTTGAGTATTGAGCTAAGACAGCTGTTAATGAAGGTCTGAAGTTTGTTTGAGATGCTCTTTATGACTCGCAGTGCAAGTCTCTGATCCGTATAGTGAAGTAGCACTGACTGACTTCACATTGGAGTTGAAAATCCGGATTTTATTTTCATTTCTATGCTGAGAAGTGCTGTTGACCTCCACACAGACTTAAGAGTAATGAAAGCTTGTCTTGCTTTTCTGATTCTTGCTTTGATATCCTCGTCAGCTCCGCCTGTAGTTGAAACGATGCTTTCCAGGTGGATAGGTAAAGGAGGTTGTTTCTTTCAGGTTCCTCCCATTTATGCTGGCTGATTGTTGTCTGTTGTTGTTGTTTGGCTGTTGGTGTTGGCCAGGAATCTTCATCACCTCTGTTTTATCTATGTTCACCTGAAGTCCTATCCTTGATGCTTCTTCTGCCAGCTTGTTGCTTTTCACTTGTATATCTTCCTGTTTGTGGGAAATCAGACATATGTGTTATCGGCGAAGTCCAGATCCTCCAAGTCTTTTGTGTCAGTCCATTTTATGCCTGTTTTCTCATTGCCTGTTGTCTGCCTCATTATCCAATCTACTGCAATGAGGAAAATCATTGGCGATAATAGACAGCCTTGTCTCACTCCCGTCCTCACTTCGAAGGATTCCGTAAGTTTCCCGTTGTGGATTACTTGGCATGCAGCATTGTGGTATAACTGTTGGTTGAGATGTATAATCGTCGATGGGACCCCGTAATAGCGAAGTAGTTGCCAAATCACCTCTCGATCGACGCTGTCGAAGGCCTTTTCAAAGTCAATTTCTTGATGTATTCTTATTTGTCCATGACTACTGCGGTTATATAATCAGAAATCTATAATAGAACAAGCTTATTTAGTAGTTATGGTAAACAATTCATGCATCCTCACTAACCCTTTCATGTAATCAGACAAAACTATTTGAATATGACGTGCAAGAACAATGAAGCCTTGATCTTGTCATTTGTTTCACTAACCTTCATTTTATTTCAAAGCTCAGCGAAGTCTTCAAAGCTTTGTACAATCATCCCGTGAATGAACTATGGTTAAAAATAAAAGGTATAGCGGCTGGTAAAGTTGTGAATTATTAGTGATCTTGTTAGTGAATGCAAGTCTAAGCCAAAGTTGTTTCGATTTTTGTGCACCTTAAATTGGGGCTAGATGTAACACTACTCAGTGTGACACTCTTAACACTTGCGACATTACTGGATTCAGTTATTAGTGTTGTTAATGGTTTGAAATTTCATCAAAAACATGTCTTATTCATCCATTTTTTTAACTAAGCTGGATACTATCACATGATTGAATTATCTTCCTAGCCTACTAACTTTATGATTCAAGAATCCTTTCAAATTATCTGTTGAATCAGTTGAAGAAGGGACCAGAAGTGATTGGTATTCGCGGATTATATTCTAGCTTTAAACCAAGAGAAGGTTTCAATTCTCTGTAGTTTGAAATGTTGACTAACCCAGGCGTTAACATGGAAGAAATTTCTCTTTAGACGTATGATAAATGAATAATCCTAATTATGATATTCCTTGAATAACAGACAAAAGTGTCTCATGCTCAAACTACAACATGAACATCTAATAGCTTACATTAATATGATTCATTGTGATTGTTGTTTTGTCAGGTCGACAGTTTATTTCCTGAAATATTACATCAAATTTATTATCCTCTATATTATTGAATTCGACTAAGGTGTTCTGTTCAACTGCTGACTGAAATTTTTTCCACTTGTTGCTGCTTCAAACTTTCCATGAATACAAATTTTGTTTCACTGAAATATTGTTGTTGTTTTTTATCCTTCGTGCAATTATACCTCACCTCCACACAAATGCATAAGCGTTAGTTGTCTAATTTATGGATCAACACCGATGTAATCTCCTTATATAAATGACATCGTTAATTGTTGCCAATGTGATGTTTAGTCTACAGTTAGTATCCTGAAATTAATGCTGATTAAAACGTCATACTCATTATAAGAAATATGTAAGAAAACTGGGAAGTACTGGATAGCTGTTTCATTCTAGTCTGGGACTCATCTACAGTACGCACCCATAAGCCATTGAATCGCGTCTCAGTGTCTGAATGGTATACCTGCTTGCCTTGTAACCGGAAGGTCCTTGGTTCGAACCCTTTTGGTGGGTGCGTAATGCCGATGAGTCGCAACCTAGGACGAAACAGCTGTCCAGTACTCCCTTCTGGTTATCAATGGTGCTCTAACTGATATCAATGCGTGGTCAAACTCGAAAAACAAATCAACTCTTAAAGCTATTCAAGAAGTTTAAATTTTGAATCCAATGAGTTGATTCATATGTGTATTGTCGTTTTTTCAAATTTCTTTTATTTGGAAGTAAGGCTATATTCGAGATATATGTTTCGCCTGTTAAATCCCCTTTTACTATAGTTCTCTTTAGTTTCTTTTTCCTCTCCCTTTACTACCTCTGTGCACTACATGACGTTTAACATCTTGAACCGCTGCACGTCTGTGTAAAGTCTTACGTTGAAAGAGCTTAGTCAGTCAGTACTTCGTTTGTCTTTTATGCTATACTGTCGATTCAATTGATATAATTGAAATCTGATTTTGATTTTTGTTCGTAACAGTAGAGTATTTGAGACGTCGTGGCGAGTAGTCATTAACTGTCACTGAAAACCATATGTTGCATTCCATACGCTGTCATGACACTTTTATCTGCTGCGTAAAGTTCTCCTCCAAGATTGTGTAACAGAACATTCTGAAACATTAAACTTACTATGTAAAGAATTTAGGGTACTGTTTGTATAGGGTAAGTAGTAATATAACTTTTAATCTCATGGAATGATTACGCTAATCGTATTGTTAACTTTCCTAGATTACTCTGATAGTAATGATAGTAAACTAAATCTCTTTTTTTTTGCTATTTGCTTTTAGACTCTAAATACTATTCGTATTTGATTTAAAGAAGCTATCTGCGTCCAGGAAATCCCCCAATCTTCATTTAGTCGGATATTTCTAATACCTGTGATGTTGATTTCATTAAGTTAAAAATGATGGATGAATTAGAAGATTGGTATATGGATGAAGATGTTGATGTTGGAGAAGAGGATATTGGACCTTTTCAACATCATTTGGATCGAGATATTGAAGAAATGGATATGATTGATTATGATGATACCTTAGGAGAAAATGCAATATCAGTGAAATTGTTAACTAATGAAATGTTGACCTGTTCTTTACCAGTATTAAAACAAGTTAATTCACTTCTTATTCTAATACTTATTTCATGCTTATTTTGGCATATTGTAAACATTATTCTCAAAAGAAGCTTTCATTTCACTGGTATGTACCAATTGTTTTCATAATATTATTCATGTGTCTGCGTACACTGCTAGAGAATGATAAAGGTTTAGTATACTGCGTTGAAAGTTTTCAAATGTCAGTTTGCAAGGATCCGGTTGATTTCACGATTAATCTTGAAATGAATTCGGTTAGAGAACCATCGGAAACCAGAAAGTACTTGACAACTATTTAGTCCTTGTTCGAAACTATTCAGCAGTACACACACAAGACTCAATTAGGAATCGAACCCAGGATCTTCAGGTTATAAGGCAACCTTGTATGCTATTCAGCCATTTGGGATGGAGTTTCATGACCCATCAATTCCAACTTCTGCCAATTCTGTCAATTATTGACCAGTCATGAAATCTAGATTGTGCTCATTCTAAACTTAATAAGTAACATACAATTGGTGGATGGTGGCTAGCAGTGGAATCCAGGATAAAGCGCATTTCGTCCTATTTGGGACTCGTCTCTGGATGTACCTGCATTTCTCAGTGAGTGATGATGTTCCCACCGAGGCTCGAACCCAGTACCCATAGTTTCAAACGCCAAAGCGTTATCCACTAGACCACTTGGGCCACGAGAGCCACCTCTTGTGCAACGGGTCATATTAATTATTGAATTGAAGCCGACATGTCAACCTGAGACCGAGCACTTCGGTCCAATCAATCGACGGGAAAATCAAAAATTCAATTCAATAATTGATAAGTAACAATTCATGAAGGTCTGTCAAATTACCTTAACTGACTAAACTGCAGTCTGTAATGTAAAGCTGTGTATTTTTAGGCGTTATGTGGGGGAAAATCTTATGCGTCTGTAAATTCGCTACCAGACTATGTAGCTGTATATAGGGCCACTATATATATATATATATATATATATATGTACATAATACCGACAATTCACAGTGCACCGTAATGACGAGCCACTTAGCATGGTGGCCACATTGCAAGCTTGACTGATAGAATTCAGTCTGCAGTGAAGATAGAAGTAGACTAGACACATTACAGTAGTTACTGACTAGTGTGCAATCAAAAATATCCAATACATTCCTACAGGAGGTCAATTGCGAGCCCGAATAGCTCATTGGTAACGTGACGCAGGTTCGATTCTCAGAAGGAACATGAGTTCCTTCAAGGTTGCAGATACACCTTGCTGATGAGTGCCAACTAGCACGAAACCTAGGTCTAGGCAAGGCTTCCTGCCGATTGCCTCCAACCATCTAATACCAATATATGTACGTAGATATTTCATTATGAAAAAAGTTTTGTCACAATATGTTGATTTCCCACATGTGTGCCATGAAATGACTGCAATGATGCAGCAAGTTAATAAGTAAAACTTCAATATTTGTACACAGAGCCTGTTAGCTCAAGGTAAAATGACTTTTCTGTTGATGCAGTTTAGGTTTTGCAACAAAAATAAGAATGTTATTGATGTGGTAGCTGTAAAGTATACACTGACACTCCACATAAATATCCACTTCTGTACTCTGAATTCTTATAGAATACTTAACTTTCTCCTCAATTTACTTCAAAGGAAGTACAGTTTGATCAAAAAGCATCTTTACAGTAACCTTTAACAATCTGTTTGAACTTTATCTATTCAGCGTTTTTGTAAAAAGTGATTTCTTCTGTTCGTTGCTAAAAATATGCATTTTTTTATTTGACTACAGGGAAAATTTATCATACATTTGTCACTATAGTTCTGCATACCCTTTCTGTTTCTCTCGGTGAGTATTTATTTTTAAATTTGCTATTCAATTTACTCGTTAGCTTGTTGAGTGTAGCGGTATCGTGAAGTCCTCTCACGGTTACTACTAGGATTCAACTCCCAACCGGCATATGGCAATGGCCAAGCTTTGTTTTCCAATGCATTCAGTGACGTGTAATCACATATTAAGGTAAAATACCGTAGAAAGTATTAAAAAGTAATATATTTAAGTGGTGAGATCCTATATGTAGATTAGAGGAGTAATGTAAAGATTTACAATAATGTAAATAATAAGGAATTCCAATTCTCGATATTGTCATAAACATCAGAGGCCTTACGTAAGATCCTGAATAAGCGTGGAATACAAAGACAAGGATTGATATCAGTTAGAGAACCATTGAAAACCAGGGAGTACTGCATTAGTTGGGGAATCATCGGCAGTACGCACCCACTGGGTTTCGAGCTCAGGACCTTCCGGTTACAAGGCGAGTTCGTATACCATTCAGCCACTGGAAACCGATTCAATGGATCCATCATTTCGAATCGACAGTTGTATACATTAATTGTATTGTTTTCATGGCCAATAGTGAACAACTGTTTGTCGACGAATTATGTTGAATATTTACGCTGTACAAATGCATTTAAGTTAACTCCATGTTTGCAATAACCCGTGGACTTCGATGGAATGTAGAGGAAACACAGGTGATGAAGATACCCAACCTACAACAACAACAAACACCAATCACCACCAATGGAAGAAAATGTAAGGAGGTCGTCTCTCTCTCACTCACCTGACCTAGATATCATTGTTTGAACTACAAACAACATGGATGCGGATGTCATAGTCGGTCGGGGTCGGATTGCCAAAGGAAGGCAGGTGTTCATTACTCTGTAATCAACGAGGAGATATACTGCACTTAGCATGAGGTTCACGATCCGAATTCTCAAAGCTATTATCAAATCAGTCACTGTTTCTATATAACTCAGGCACTCGCCTCACCTGTCACCAAAAACATTTCTAATAGCCTGGTGCAGATATCATCTACAGCTGCGTTCGCTAGCTACTGAATATCAGATGAGTGGCTAGCAAAGGTAAGCAAGTGACAATGAACTTTGGCAGAGAACCTGTCAAGAATCTACTGCTCGAAAAATTTGCCGAAGGAGTTGGAGGTAGATTAAGTACACGTGGAGGTGATTGTTGAATAGCATCATCTTCCAGGCTCTGAAGTGTAAACTGGATAAGAGGTGACTATTTGGGAGTCTGAGAATGACATGGAGAAGGTCATGTGATAAGGAATTAAAGCTTGTGAGCAGTCGTAGAACCAGCTAAAATGGGTTACAAAACAGAATCGCATGAAAATGTGGGATCAATCAATTAGTGATCATAACGTTCTACTACATTTGCCTATATATGTATCTTCACAATTATCTGTGTACCTGTAGATACAGTGAGAGATAAGGACATTGCAACTTACATGCACTAGAATAAAAGAAATACTTGTAAGTTTGAAAATTTATCGAGTTCGTTTTTTAGGTTGGGAATTCATGAATTCTGGTTGAATAGCCAAGTGGACGACTTAATTCCTCTTGTAGCCGTATCACAGAACTACTGAAAGGTCCCAAACAAGAGTTTAGAGTGTTATACAGAGCTTATCAGTTCGGATTGGTTCCCTAGCTGTTGTCATTTTCTGATAAAATCCACTTCAAATTAATGAAGGTGACTTGTAGCTTGCTCAGGTGGATATTTTTTAAATACAGTTATATTCTATAAGCTAGATAGTTTAATTGCAAAGCTTTCATTATCCATCTAGACAGCATATTCAACTGTTCGTATATCACAAGAGTCATCACTTGTGCAATGCCTGTTATCTGTTTTTATATAACTGTATAATTATTGAGTCCAGTAAAGGTAAAAAAAACTAACTCTCCATAAACCATTAATTGTATTTGTTTTGTTCTTTTTTTTTAATTTCTGCAAATTTAAGGATTATTCATTTTACATCGTGCTGTTTATGAATTATGGTGGATAATAATTGGATTAACAGTGAGCCTGGCTATTGTCTTCATCTCTGATATTAATTCTCATTTTCGTCATTCTGATAAACAGAGTGTAAACTGGGAATCATTTATTGTCCTAGGAATATGTTCATCTGTTCAACTATACTGGTAATTCAATAGAATTTTATAAGTAATTCATTCAACTGATATTAAAATGTTTTTTCATGTAAACTGTATTGTTTACGGGTGTATTATTTAGATTTACTGACATTTTATCTAAAATAAAATTTGTGAAAATATGTGTACTGATGCATATCGATTCAACAAAGTCTTGTCTAACTGTTTAATTGATAAGCGTCTTTTAGGCTCTGTCACAAATAACATCTTTTATAGAATGACAACTTTCACCTACTTCATAATGAAGTCCTGCATAATACGTATAGAAATATGCAGAGACATATGTATTCCGAGTTTCACCACGGATTGATATCAGTTAGAGGCACCATTGAAAACCAACATGGAGTACTGGACAGCTGTTTCATCCTAGTTTTGGAATCATAGCCAGTACGCATCCACCAACAAGGCTCGAACCGAGGACCTTCCGATTAGAAGGCAAGCTCGTATACCATTTAGTCACTGGGACCCGATTCAATGGCCAGCCTATGAATTATAATTTATACCTGTTCGTGATTTTAGCGCGACCATCAACCAATGTTATCGGCAGAAACTCCATCCTCACTCCCGACTGGGTGAATCTGACTGCTTATGACGTCACACTAGAACTGCAGGAAACTCCGTCCTGTAGGATTTCACTAGCAAGCATTAGATGAGTGCCAAACTAAGACGAAACAGTTGTCCAGTAAGTACTCTGTGGTCTTCAACGGTTGTCTAACTGATATCAATCCGTGGTCAAACACGAAAAACAATTCAAATCTTTACAAATCCACTCTCGAAAATATATGTATTCAACTTAAAGCTTTATGAATTAGACTTGCTTAAACTTTGCTCAAAGGAATGACTCACTATTGTTGAAAAGTACGTGTATGATAGTAGATATCCTTATTCTCAATTTGGTGTCATTCCTTCATTTCTGCTTACGAAGAATAAAACAATTCAGGGCGCAAAGATTGAGCAAAGAATATTCTTTCTCATAATTTCCTCATCTATCTCTACAGTTATGTATGCACACAATACTTAAAGAGTAATCGTTATTGACAACATTGATGTTTTTTTTTAAATAATATTGGAAATAATATCTTAGAATAAATAGATTACAGTTCAACAGTATATATCCGTGATAATATGCATAAATATGCTATCCTAAATTGAATACCAGATAGAAATGAGGAAGAACATTAATGTAACGGTGAAGGATAGTTAAAACAATAATAACTTGTAAAAGGCTTGAAGGGAAGGGAATATTATTACAGTCAAGTGGGGGTGACCAAGATATGAAAAGTATCTGAACGAACTTCTTCGGAACATATAAGTTAGGCTTCTTCAGGTGGATTCCAGCTGCCTTAGCTATATGTAAAAGAAGAACTTATAAGTCAGAAAAGAATTGTATAAGATATTGCTGTTGTTACTTGCTTCGTAAGTTAATGTCCACTTATATCAATAATTTCCACTAGGCCTGTCAACGTTAGATCGAAGTGTTATTTTAAGGAGAGTTTTTTTCTTAGACTTAACCTTTAATTTTATATCAGTGTTTAAATATTTTCGTTTTCTATCTTATGTATATAACTAGTTAGGCATAAAAGATAGTTTTTGCTTCTGTTTTATGATTCTTTTCTATAGTGAACTATATGTGAACCCTGTCCAATGGCATCAAATTCGAGGTAAGGTATATGTTGTCTTTTATCGAAGAAATATTTGCTTCTGGTCATTCGATTATTTGAGGGTTACAGAGAAGCTGTATCAGTTGAGATGGATAGGGCACGTGTTGCACATACCAAACCAACTTCCCTCTAGTCGAACAATGGTTAGTTGAAAAAGAATAAGAGGTGACCGAAACAAAACATGGAATCAGTTATGAAGTCCTTGACTGTTGGTGTGGGTCATGTAAAACTGGTGTAGACTGCCTCATTGAGGTCCTCGGGATTCTAAGATCCAGTGACTTGAAATTGTTGCGGATATGACTCAAGAAAACCGTTCCCGATGGTGTGGGGGGTGGGGGCGAGCAGATGCATTCACTCTTTGTAATCTCCGAGACCAATTAAATCCTCGTGGTTTTCCATGTGGCTAGTCCTACTACGATACATTACTTGTCATAATTGTTCTTTTGAATTGTTTCATTTTCTATAACTTTGTGTGGTGTATTTAGAGTGTAGCAACTTGAACTGATGCACTTCTATGTGCACTTGTCTCAGTCAGACAATTGAAACAGTGTATACATATCTTGTTCTGTAAATATATGTATCTTCTAAAAGCCTATTTTATTGTCACGAGATAACTACAATGTAGTGTTAAAGTAGCTTAAGGAATTCCCAAAAATTCATATAAAAAAGGGGATGTTTTTGCAAAGCTTTACTCATCCCGGTGATAACGTTTGTTTCCCTTTTTCAAGATACTTCTTATAAGGGATAATTTTAATGGATAAGCGTAGAATAAAATCAAAACTTTGGCTTAGATTTTGAGGACAAGTAAAGCCAGCATTTTTGAACAGTTCAAACAACGATATTTCTCATGACTGTAATTTATTTTCTTATCTACAATACCTCCGTCTATCTTACATATTGTATAGTGTTAGTCATCAGTTTGCAGTCAATCTTGGGTTATTTCTTGATCTGGATATCCCCGATGTCTGGTACTCATTGGAAGGCGAATCTTTAGGTTTAAGGAAGCTTGTGACTTCTCCGACATAAAAATTTTTGTCACTTAGTAGGGATAAATTTCCCTCAACTCAAAGGATGGGATGGCCACATTGATCCCTATATATCATAGTATCTCTTCCCTCCCCCTCTCTGGACTGGTCCGATCAATCAGTGATTTTTAATGTGAAATATATTATACTCTTACCGTCTTCAAAAGTGTAATTATAAACTTCAAACAGTTGTTAAAAATTTCTTTTGGAATAAAATAGGATGAAACACCTTTTTTTGATTTTCTAATGTACTAATTTGAAACCAAGAATTATTTTGACCCCTATCCAGTTGTTCACTAACTTCTGTACTCATCTTTTGTTATTGTCTTGATTAACATCTTTCTAGGAAGTATTATGATCATTATTATGAAATCGATATCTTTTTCAATGGAACAAAAAACCTTTTATAGTAACCATGTCAACAGTCAACCGTGTATACTATTGTGGACACCATTATATCGTGGATTAGTTTGGTTATCATATTGTTTGTGTCCAGCTAGTCTATTGTTTGGTCCATGGTTTAGTCCATTGAAATATGAAGAAATGATTAGAAGTGATTATAGTAGTACAAGATTTTCTATAAAAAATGTAAGTTGTGTGCATATTCAATGTTATTACACTTATCTAAAATATGAATATACATTGTCATCATTATTATTTCCTTGGGTTCCTCGTGGAACAAAGGGCTTCAGCAATACATCACTATTCCACTCTGTTCTCCGCAGTTGTTTTAGATAGCTCCACAATTATCCGTAAGCTTTCATTTACTCCTCATACGATCTCCAACGCAACCTACCCATTGTTTCCCATTTGGATTATGTAGAAGGGCCCGCCTGGCGTGTGATTTTGGTTAACAGTCTCCTTCTGTATATTTGTTGGGCGATAAGTTCTTGGTTAGTTCGTTGCCAGAGTTCCTTGTTACTTATCTTTTCTGTCTGTCGACTCGATCTTCCAACTAGAGCAAAGGCAATTGCTGATAAAAGTTTGCAATCTGTTATAAATGCTTGTAGTAACGCGAGCTCCAATTCTCAGAACCATACAGAAGCAGCAGTTTTGAAGATCGTTAGATTTCCGCACTGATTTCATAGCAATGAACATCTGCATTGTTTCGCGGCCTGTAGGTGAAACGATGCTATTTATGTAGGTGAAAGAAGGTGACTTGCTTGAGATTTCTCCCGTTGATGGTAACTGGTGTTTATAAATGTATAACTGTAGTCTCGATGACTACTTTTTTGAACTTATAATTTCATTTGAAAAGGGTACCAAAACTAAGGCTCACAAATATTTAGAATTTCGGTAACTGCTGAAAGGCAATATGAATCTTGTAAGGCTTTTTCCTGTGTGTCTCCATTAATTATTATTGATGAACACGTTATATCGGAACCAATGAAATTTTATCTATTAGTTTTATCATCTTTTAATTAACTATCACTGGACTGTAATATTACTAAGTGTGTTTGCGTAAGCAAAAACTACCTTCTGTTATAAAGTCCATCAGTAGTTCAATGCCCACTGACCACGCACGTTGGTCCGGGTTCTGTTCCTTGCACACACACACACACACACTCCTAAACCTTGCCTAGTTGACTAGCCAACACTAATCGCGGATAAAAGGAATGGTTCAGCATGAGACTAGCAACCCCTTTGTGGAAATGTGACTCATTTGTCTAGGTGCTTGACTTCCAACCAAGTTGGTCACGGGTTCGAATCGCGCAACAGTTAGCGAGGTTTGAGCAAACGGTTAGTATAGGCATAGCTCATTGCCAACTGCATGGAATGTCAAGGGGGCGTCAACCTGCGTTTCACTTCATAAAAGCCCCGCTCCTACTGAAACTTCACAGGCATAAAGCCTTGTGTTCCACTTGGAATAAAGACTAAAAAGAACAAAAAGACCCTTTACATAAAAGTGGAATTCTTTCATGATGTCATACAGTTACACAAAGTGATTAATTTCTGAGCATGAATTCAATCGTCGTACTTTTCTAATCTTGTTTAAACACAACTGGGTTTTTACATATTATTCCACATGCCTATCAATTTTAGAAAGACTTTCATTTATATACTATGTTGAGAAGCTTATGAAAGCCACTGTAATTTTTGTGGGAAACGTCACATTTCAGGGGTTGTACAGTTTTTAAACTTCTTAAAAGTATTTAATAAACTTTTCGTGTAAAGTACTGTTCATTGATCTACATAGTTTGACTGCCAATACGATTGAATCACCACTTTAAATTCACTTTTTCTGCTGTTTTGACAATCCACCATTATGTTAAGCCATCATACATTGCATATACCGTACAGAATAATACACTAGGTTTGTAGTAGGTCAATGTATTGCCAACAAACTTTTTACTATTTGCGACCTATAAATACTAGAAACTCAGCTTGATTCAAGTCACAGTCATAGTGTTGGTGTGAGGTTTGATTATACTACCCAGTCTGAAATAAGCGGAGCATGATTCGAACACAGAATCCACTGGGTTAATGATGACTGCTTAGGCCGAAAATCCACATCATCAGGATGGTTGTTGCTATGTAAACAGGTAGATAGTAGTTGAATATCACTCATACAATTATGAATTCATATGGTATCCGTAGATCTGATTTGTTTTCCGATTCAATCTACAGTAAGTTAAATTTTTTTATTATGACTACTCATTTTTTGCTTCCCTATTTGAACACAAAGTGTCAACTGCACAGCTTTACTGCACTGAGTCCGCTGCTATCAGTTTCAACCGACTCTATGACTGCCCATCAGCTCTTATTTCCTCCTCACGTGGCCTTTTTGGTGTCATCCTCTGACGCATTCCATTCGGGTTCTGCCTGGCGTGTGAAATCACTCAACGGTCTCCTTAGTGTATGTCTAATTTATCTAAGCTGGCCCTCTGCCAGAGTCCCTTGTTTCTCATCATTTCCCACCGGCTATCCGATTTCTGAAGGTAGCTGTAAGTGAAGGTCTTTCGAAATGTTTTTAATGAAGCTTGAATCAAGTCTCTGAACAATATAGAAGCATTGACCGACCTGACATTAGTATTGAAAATTTGAATCTTGTTCGTCATGGTAAGTCCTGTAGACCTCCGTAGGGCCTTTATCGTAATGAAGGTTTGTTTTGTTCTACTGATCCTGGCTTTAACTATCCTTTTGTGAAGTACCACCTTTATTCTTATCGTTTGTGTTGATTTTAATGAATCCAATTACCCATGTGCTGTTAATATGCTTTAATATTTTACGTTACAGATTATCTTATCATTGTTGCATTCAGTTAAATTATTTGGAACATCTTTAGTGTGTTTAATTTATTCAACTTGTTCTACGTATACATTACTTTCTAAATTAACATTTCAACCGTAAGTCAATGATATAATTTGTCAGTCATCATTGTCACCACCAATCATATGTTGTGTAATTATTCCTCTGATACCTTTTTTATTACTAAGGTATTACTGAACATATATAAATATCGATGTTAGCTTGAGGTAACTAAGTGTTGGACCTGGGTCTCATGCCTATTGGCTCTCGTCAGGATGGTGTATCTGCAACCCCAGACGAATTGAACCACTCCCCCTCTAAGATTCGAAACCGTGGCACTCAGATGAACCTTAGCATATTATCAAGCTATATTTTGTTAGATGCGATTCTGAAATTTCGTTAAGCTGAAGATTTCGTAATCATATCTTTATTATTATTATTATTTGGTAGATACGGCAGTTTCTATTCGTATTGTTCCATTTATTTATACCAATAATTTAATCAGTTGGCGATGAAAATAATGAAAACACTGAGAAGATTCATCAAATTATGAGCTTAATAATACTAAGGATGTAATAAGTGAATAGTCAAAGTCTAGTCAGTCGTAATCGATACATAAAAAAGGGGAAAGGTTCTTATGGGAATGTCATCTGCTAAATTCACTGTAAAAATGAGATAAACAGATACGGAGTAAACCTTTTTCAAATACAAGGACTAGATTTCCATTCTCAAACTTTTCAAGCTTCAGATTTGCATGAAAGGTGATATATGGCTCATTGATTTAGGCACTCGACTTGTAACCGATGCGTTCAGAGTTCGAATCTCGCTCCATCTACTTCAACCTGAGCCACTGTATGGCATTGTTAACCTTCACACAATAAATGTTTTGATAGGTATTGTATAACAGAGTTCTAGGTGGCTAACTAAACGGTGTGTTCGAATCCCATTGAACAGCCTCGGTAGAATACAATAAATAACCATGAATTCGTTGGCTTTCTCCGCTGTTCAACCGCTATCGGTATTTTCTGCACTAGGAAACTAAGTACTTACCAGTGAATCGTCTATTCATTTCCACCATTGAAGAAACCAAGTTTATTGCACAGACAGGTAATTAATCTTTCCAATAAAAAATACTGTTAGACTGACATAGTTCCTTAAAAATGGTCGCTTGATATATCTTTTTATAATTGCTCTGCAAAAATGTTATCATGACAACTACTTGTTCTTTTTTAACAATTGTTTCAATCAGTATTTAATAATACCCTAATAAATCCCTTCTTTTTCTGCTTTTTCTTTCTTTATTTCTGTCAGTTGGCTGTATGCTTATTTCTCCTCTCAGAGTTTTCGTTTCAGTCATTATTTTGTATGCATTTCAAGTGAATCTTTTATGAATGCCTTGGGATACTGTGATAAATATTCAGTTAAGTCTAAAGAAAAATTAGATGATGATAATAATAAAGAAAAAGAAAAAAGCACGATTGAAGTGTACAAGTATGTTTTCTGTTCCTAAATTTATTTAATAATTCGTATGTTCGTATATACGTCTGAATGATTGTATGTTGTCGAGTTGGACAGGCGTGTAAGGCTAATAAACGTATTTTTCGTTGGGATTAGAGTGACGGAATGACGCAGGCATGTGGAAGCCTTCGGGAAGCCAGTCAGCTAATGCACCTCCTTTCTATGAAAGCTAAAATAATCATGGAAACAGTGAGTGTTCACAAGATGAACAAAGCTAGGAAGGCTGCTAAGGTTGCTGAAGAAGTTAGATATGTCACAGAAGTGCTAGGAATTTGTAAAAGCATGCGAAATAGGTGTGAACTCCCAGATTATCAATTGGAGAGTCAATAATTTAGCCCGGTCATCCAGACGACAACCACGAGCACACTGAAGGAGTGGTTATTATGATGTTGCCATTTACAGCCAAAGCTGTTATTCAGTGGGAATCAATCTCAAAAACATTCTGAGCGTAACATGGACATTGTCTGCGGAAGAAATGGAAAAATCGCAGTCAAGAAGCCAGTTTAAAAAGACTGCAGAGAACATAGTGAAATGATGGTATGGTGCCAAAGTCCTATGTTCCACTTGGAACCCAACGGAATAAATAATAATAATACGCAATTTAATCCACATCTTCCCATATGACTCTAATTAGCTGTCAAGACCTTTATGGGTCGATGCCATTTTTGGTTTTACCACCCCTAACTCGTTTCCAAGCTAATTCTATGTCAGTTAACATTGCTTGACGTGGAAGGTGGTGGTACGACCATTCATAAGTTGTATATTTGTTAAAGGAATAAATACCACTATAAATTTATATAATAATTTAAGTGTCCAACCCTACCTGTTCCTTGATGTGTTTTAAATTGAGGCGACTATTTAAACCCAGATACGGTTCACGAAACCATCACTTCACTTGATACCACGCTAGTCGAGTGTGTTTCATTAGAAATTTCTTCTACAGCTCAGTTCTAAAATACGTAATGATTTTATAACTTCTTTCACAATACGATTATGTACTGTAAACATTTCTAATCAAAACAACATAGTGACTAACTTTCATCTAACTTCTCATTAACCCCATAGATATAAAAGTGTGTATACAAATCAAAGTATTAATCTTTTTGTGATGAGTTATTATTTGATATCTGTTTCATTAGTACTTAATCATTGACGTTGATTTTCATTTGTTTCTCTCTAGACCATATGTTGTAACACGTCCATGGTCTATTGAATTTCCTCGATCCTTAGTTGAAGTTGTAATTCACTGGAATTTACCGATGCATACTTGGTTAAAACAATGTAAGTAATAATGAAAATTCGTCAACAAGTCTATCCTGCCAAGTTTGGTTTATCACACCGACACAACTATAAAATATGGTTCAGATTATGGGATTAATTCCAGTCGTTATATTTAATTATGAACCAACATCAGTTGGAGGTCATTGAAAGCCAGGGAATACTAGACATCTGTTTCCTTTGAGTGGTCAACGACCGTGGTCTCGTAACCTGAAGGTCTGAGGTTTGAGCACAAAAGCTGTCCAGTACTCTCTAGTTTTCAATGATCTCTAAATGGATCTGGTTCTTGACGAAATCTAACAATTGAAGATGAAATGTATTCATTAACTCCCTCGTAATAGCGTGGATTTTAGCTGTTATCACTTTGCAGAAAAACGAAATTAAAAAGTAGAAGGTATTTCTGGAAAATGGAATCTATTCTGAAAACAAGAACATAGTCTTTTACCTAAGACACCCATTCTGATCCTCGTAATTAAGCTACTGTGGTTATTTACTCTTCTTTTAAAATGTTTATTGTTCACTGGTTTAAACTTATTAAGTTTCGCCTACATCGACATATAAATGATACTTGGGCAGTGACCAGCACTGGAAAACAGGATGTACTTTCAATAATCTTTGGAACTTCTAAGTTAATTATTCGTGCACTGCAATAAATGGTGACATTTTCACCGACCTCTGACCTGAATATCCATCACTTCAAACACCGGTGGACTGACAATGAGAAAACTCAAAATTTCCTGTAATCATTCACTATATTCACTTGTTGAAAACTGAAATTAACTGAATTCAAATTATAATAGGGAATATATAGTTGTATTATCCCAGACAATTAGTTAATGTCATACGATTATCTGGTTCTCTCTTCGATATGCTTGTCGATATATGTTCCTAAACTGTGGAATGAATGTTACTTGCTTAATGGTAGCTAGCATCGGAATCCATGGCGTTTGTTTCGTCTTTTTCGAGACTCTTCAAGTACATGTACTTGCTATGCAGTGAGTCGTGATTTTCCCACTGTGACTTGAATCCAACACGTCGTTTCAAACGTCGAAACGTTGTCCACCAAGCTACTGAACCACGACAACCACCTTTTATGCAATCAGTCTGTGTTGAAATAGAATGGAACACGCATTATGGATTCTACTGCTAATCACAACCAAACAAGTGTCTTCTCTTTAATGATTATGTTAATAACAAGCCATCCGTTCAAGTTGCCCACATGCTAGAATCAGACTGATCAATGTGGTCAAAAATAATCAATAAGGAGTCGCAAGTATGAATAAGGAATGGCTGCTTTTTTCAAATGTAATTTTTCTTCTCAAAATCCTTATAACTAGATGTTTACAAACCATTACGTGCATATGGACATATTTATGCTATCGTGGGAACGTATGCAGCTAGCTCACTATTACACGTAAGTATTAAAACATTAATATATGTGAATGTTCAATGGGCTTTGTTGAAATTTTTTAATTAATTGGATCTTAATTAATCAGGAGTTTAGTAATCCTGATTTGTAACTGTTTGCAAATGTTAAAATAGATAAATTTCATCATATTTATTTTAAATATTGTTATACCATGATGGTATGTACTGAGTAGTCTGTAAGCAGTCACGTCAAGAAGTAGTTCTTGTTAGTCAAACTCCTCCTTTGAGGGCAGTCTCATCATCGGTGTAGCTGAACTAAATCAGATCGAGTGGAACATAAAGCTTCGATAGTACATCTCAGTTCACTTCTGTTCTCTGTAGTCCCCTTTAGCTAGATCCACGAGTGCCAATGAGCTCTCATCTTCGGCTCACACGATCTCCATGTGGCCGTTGGCAGCCCAACTCGTCGTCCCTCATTCGAGTTCCACTCGAGGGTGTGGCGGGTGACGTCACTCAACGGTCTTCTTAGTGTTTGTCCGGTCCATACCAATAGATACTTGGTGGGTCCCTTCCAATAGTTACTGCTTCTTTTTGGCCATTCGACCTTCAGTATGGAGTCAGCGAAGGCAGTTGTTGGAAATGCTTTTCCTGATGCATCAAGTCTCTGAACCATAAGGAAATGATTCGACATTAATGTTCCAAATGAGAATCTTATTCTTCATGCTTAGTGTAGTAGGTTTTCAGACTGATTTCATATTAACAAAGGTCTGTCTTGGCTTTCCTCATCTGTGCTGTCAGTAATTGGAACGATGCCTCTCGCCAGGTAAATGAAAGAGGTGGTCGCCTTCAAATGTCTTCTGTTGATAGTAATTGATGCTTGTTGTTCTTGGTTAGATATCTTCATCACCTCTGTCTTCTCCATGACCACTTGAAGTCCTGTCTTCACTGTTTCTTCTGTCAACTTGTTGGTCTTTGCCTGTAGGTCCTCACATTTCTGACATCGGGTATAGATTGTTTGAGAAGTCCATATCTTTTAGAGTCTTCTTGTTGATCCACCTTATGCCTGTCATCTCGAACCCGACGGTCTACCTCACCATCCATTCCGCTATAATCAGCAATATCTTCGGTGATAATGTAGAAATCATAACTGATGAGGATATAGAGACACTGTCCTCTTGAACACAATGCCATGATCGTTTATAAAATACTAAATCTTGCATTCGGTCCACTTTGGACAAAGAATATCAGCACTTTGTGTTCTTTGAGTATCTCTAGTATTTGTTATCAATAATGCACATCACACCAGGAATGTATCTAAAACTGATTTTTTTTCTCTTTTGTAATTACCATAACGTAATAGTTGATTATAACAGTCAAGAGTTTAGAATAGTTCTTCACTTTGTTAACTTTTTTCTTGTTGTTAAACAGCACACTGAATAAAGCATAAGATGAAATAATCTTCAAAGTCTTTTTACATATCTAGACAACCATTCATATATTATTTCTCCATCATCCTTTCCTTTGTACTTGGTTCACTCGCCCATATTACGAGATTTCTTCCAACAAAACGTATAAAAACAAAACTCATAGTTCACTTTTAAACACAAACTATGACTTTTTTCTAAAGAGAATGAGCTGTCTCTGTTACTTATTCATTGCAAAGTTGTAACTGGAGTCAGTACTTGGGTGCTTCTATTGATCAAGTGTCTTTTTTATTCAAAACAAGCCTTGTTGTAATGCAGAAAAGCTGCTCAGCTCTTGATAACTGAATTTCTTGAGTTATGCGAAATAACAAAAGTGTAAATATCTCAAGATAGAACTATCCTTTAACTTGTACTATTGTTTACCTTAAGTCTCTAGATTTCAAGACTGCGTTTCACATACTTTAATATGACCCAATAAGACTGAAAGATTTGTCTCTTTAAATAGGAATTACGTAGATTTTACCTCTTTTAATATTCTTTTTTCAGTTTGTTTTCATTCCTATGAGTTCCGAGTGGAAAATAGGTTTTCAAACTTCGAAGTTTCAATAGCTGTGAGGTTGTTTCTGTTGGGTGAGGTTGCTAGCCTCACGTCAAACTTCCCCTCTCTCCCAGAGTTACTACCGGCTAAGCGAGGTTCAAGAGTCCATCGGCCGGCAATTGGACCCCTGACAACGTGAGGCACCGTTGACTAGCACTCTCTCGTTGAACCAACAACGCACTCCTTTCCTAATAAAGCCAACAAATTTAGCCTTGATTTAAATTAACTGAATATTTAAAATTTACAAGATATTGCTATTCACTTTCTATGTATTTTCCTTTTCTGAAAAAATTTCACTTACAGGGTTTGAATTTTCAATTGAGCGCTGTTCTATTCTCCATTGGAATTTATGCATATATTGAATATGGTAAGCTGGATATTTTAGTTTACTGATTTAGTCACTGGTCATTGAAAATGGAAAGCATGAGAAGGCTAGCTATCTTTGATCATAGGTGTCGCCATTCTATCTCCCGTGTTAGGTGGTATAGGTGAGGCATCGGTCAAGTGCTAGGTAAGGAGGGGAAATCAGTAGACGAGGTTGTAAAGTTACACCGATTGAGATGGTTAAGACATGTGTTACGCACACCTAGCCTAGCCATCGCCTTCCTCGATAATGGGGAATGTTAGCTTGCTGACATAGGATGGATCAGGTTGGAAAAGATTTGGCTAGTGGGTGGTCAAACGAAAACATTGCTTTATCAGTCAATGAAATCCACAACAGTTAGTTTAGGTTAGATACATAAGGAGGAGTAGAATGGCTTCCTGACTGGTTGGGGTCCTCGGTATGGTAGAAACCAATAGCTGAGGAGAATCGGTGATATGGCTCAAAATCGTTGTCAGTGGCTGGCTCAGATGTATTCACTCTTTGTGATTTATCATATCCAATAAAACTCTTGTTCTTTTTCCCTCATATTTCTGGCTATCACCTCTCTTTTGAATCTCCCTTGACTGTCTTCTCTTGCTTTGTGTGCTACGATGAGAGAGTATGGCAGGTTGAACTGCTGCACATCTGTGCGAAGTTCTACGCTGAAACCAATCAGTCAGTCACTGGCTTTTGATTAATGCTGTAATATGCTGTTTTTTCTTCCATTCTTTATTCCTTGTTCTAATGGATTAGCATGCTGAAAAGGATTCCTTTAGCAGCTGGATCTTGTAGATCAGTTGCTTGAGCTTCTGACCGCTGATATGTATGCCGCCTCAACTCATATTTTCCTTTCATATAATCAACACCCTTTATATCGACGGGAGTCCGCCAACCTAACGGCACTGCAGTTACATGACGCTACATACTACTGAAAAATTGTGATGAGTAGCTTGACATTTATTTTATTCTGATTATAGCTTGAAACCACACAGTATTTTTGGTACAAGTATGGAATTTTCATCATGTGATATCGGTAGCCTAAATTTTGCAGGCCGACCATTGATATCAGCTGTGCGTCAGCAGGGGATCGAACCCTGGACCATGTGCATGGTCGGTGAGAGTCCTAACCGCTGTGCTACCGACACACCATTCACAGAAACCAGATCAAAGTGATCCAAATATCGGACGGTCGTTGCGCTTATCAGGGACTGAGTTCATCAGCCGTGTACCCGATTTGACTCATATCAGACACTCTGATCAGTTCAAACCACCCAGTGAATAAATCGTTTCGATCTGGTTATAAAGCAGTATCCAACTATACATCTCAATCATTTAGTAGTATATTCCATCGAAAATTTATGCTGTTTTTGCTTGATTACCATTTAATAGTATGAAGCAGATCGTCCTTTGTGATCTGAATAATTTCGGTTTCCAAAAGAAACCATAGTGAAATTGTACCTCGAACTACGTAAATTGCAAATGGCAAATTTTATCTATCGCAGGTAGTCTGACGGTTAAATGAAATGCACTAGGCGCAGACCACATTTTTGAAAATAAATTATCATTCAGTTAAGAATATGCCCTCCACTTACTAGATATACAATTACCGGGACTATGAGTATATACATGGCTTATTTTATACCGTAAAGTTCACAAATTAGTAGTATTGACTGGCTAAATAATAAAATTTAAGTATTGTATTTGATTGAGTGGTTACATGATTTCATCACCAGCTGATATAGGTTAAAGAACCACTGGAAAACCTGGGTTTGAACTCGGGTGGGTGCATGCTGATGAAGAATCCTAAGCTAGGACAAAACTACTGTCCAGTACCCACAGGCTTTCCAATGGTTCTCTAACCGATGCCAGCTCATGGTGAAATCGGTAATCCATCTTGAAATCAATATGTTATTTCCTCTTTTCAGACTAACCTGTCTCGTTGATTATTTTATTTTGCTTACCTATGACCCAGTTTATCTCTAAATTAGTGTTGTGCGTTATTTACCCCTATGTCTTTCTTCCATTTTTTTAGTTTTTCGAGAGAAATTAGCAACTATTCTAAATGCATGTGTAGCCAGTCGACGGTGTCCAGAAACCTGCTCTCATGTTAACAAGGTAAGAGGGAATATTCATCATAATAAATCATCATTCATAAGCACAATTATTTTATTCTCTTGAGTTTCGAGTAGAACATAGAGTTTCAAGCTTGAGCTCTAAAGCTTCGGTTACACTGGCGTTTATTTATTTTACAGGTTGCTATCCATATGTCCAATCATAAGTGCAATATGTGTGTAATATACATTGCACACTCTAAGTCATCTATTTTTACGGGTTCTGTTCCTGGTTGACCCGCTGTTAAATCTGGTTTAGGAGACCGTAAATCCAGTAAAGAGGAAATGTTGGGCGAGACATCAGCCACTCCACCCCGTGAAAAAGAACATCACGGCTACTGTAACTTCTGAGATCAAGCTTGTTTCTCTCGGAACGTGTAGGAATGAAGAAAGTTGGTGAATATCTTATTGTACTATAGTCGTTTCGAAGAGAATCAATTCTTTTAATCACGCACCCATCTTAGCCAAGTACTTATAGATGATAAAGGACACTTCTAAATGATGTTTTACTCACATCAAAGTGCTTTTGTTCGTTAGCCTAAGAGGCAAAAAGATGCGACTTCATTACATTTCTTTGTCAATCAGTTATAGGAAAAATGTCTTCAATTGTGATGTATATTTTTATTATTATTATTATTCCCTTGGATTTTGAGTGGATCATAGGGCTTCAAAAACACATCATCATATCACTATATTTTATGTAGTCCTTTTTTTACCTGTCTCTACGACTGCTGTGATTTACGCCTTACATGATCTCCTCGATGTCACCCTAAGTAGAAGACATTCAAGTTATCTTGGTGATTCTCTTATTTTTACAAGTTTGATTGTTTTCTTTATTAAAAGTTTCGTTCAGTCTACCGCTAAGGAATGAACTGAAGGTCATTCAATGTGTTGCTCTCAATGTTCTTTACGTGATTCCAACCGCCTGCATTGACTAAAAGTGATGTATGGGTGAAGGAATTCTTAGGAGATTTCTAACTTTCATCATGATTATTATTATTATTTATCTTTCAGAATTCTTCTTGGGTATATTGGTGGAATTTTGCTTTCAGTTGCCTAGCCATATTTCATCTGGCTTATTTGGCTGTGATGTTTGATACAAGTGAACAACAGTACCAGGTAAGGTTAATAATAAAGTGAATGTTAAGTTTAATTTTTGTGTCTCGATTTCTCAGTATTTTAATCCATGGTTCGGCGGTATGATTCTCACCAGCCATGCAAGTTGTCTTCGAGTCCGATTCCTGGCCGACTCACACCTTTACTTCCCTCACCCAGTTGTGGGCCCGGCTGAAGGTTGGGTGTGAGGCTTACATCCCCATCCCTTAAAAACATCACTGCTAACGAAACTTGGAGCTTTATATGCCACTCGGAACTCAGAAGGAATAAAGGCAATTGTAATTCATGAATACCATGAGTTTTAATTGTAAATTTTTGAATCTAGCTGGGTAGACCACCACTTTTGCTTCAATTTATTGTAGAAACTTTAAATCTGTATGGCATTTTGATTATTTTGAATGAGTTCAAGCTATGCTACATGTTATGGCAGCTTTTATATATAGGTGATGAGTAACTACAATATTGAGAAATCGCATTTGCTCAACTCATATTGCATAAAATGTGCTCCCTTTCTTCTTCTGATATACGCACATGCACTTTGATGACTGAACACAGCCTTGCATACATCTGCAAAGTACATTCAATGTGTAAACCTTCAGTGCTGTTAGGTTCTCAAAGTCATTGCAGATGGATTTAGATTTAAACTTTAAAATCGAATACCTCCTTAAATAAGCTAAGCTACAAGTGTTAACAAATAGATACAGTTAGCAATATCATGAATAAAAAGTTTGCTTTTTGTTTTATATTATAACTGATCCGTTAAACAGGATAGAAATCTCCTTCATTGATTGATTCAAATGAGTAGATGGATACCATCCACATCAACATGATCTAAACACTTGATGACCATTTGGGGTTGACCTCATCAGTGGTGTGCATTGTTTGACTAGGCTTAGACAGGCAAATTAGTTAAAATTATCCGAATCCTGGTTAACTACTTGGGAGAATAGAGTAATAAATAAAATTGGATACGCAGTTTGCAATTTACACAGTTCAAGCCTTAAATTTCACCACGATTTCCCTCTTAAAATTAAAATTATTCAGGTCACGATATGTGATCTGCCTGATGATACCATAAGTGCAGTTAGATACTAGATGGCTATTTCGGTTGTTTGGGGCCGACCTCATCAACTGTATATCCAGTCTGACTCTGCCCAAAGGGCTTAATAAAGCTAAAACAAATACTGATCAGTTAGAGGATTTCATCATAAGCTGACGTCAGTCGGAGAACCATTGGAAAACCTGGGAGTATTGATCGAATGCTCATAAGCGACTGGTCCTATTCAGGCAGTTACCTGGAGTTCTAGTGGGAAGACGTGACCAGTAGGGTATAACAGGTTGAAGGTAAGGACAGTTACTCATCGAAGAAGACATTGCGAAGTGTCGCACTATGTCATGAATTCGTAGAAGTTGGAATTCATGGACTGGACATTGGATTGGGTCTAAATGGCTTAATGGTCTAAGAGCTAGCTCATCTTGTGACCAGAAGGTCCTGGGTTGGAACCCTGTTGGTGGGTGCATACTGCCGAAGATTTCCAAACTAGGCTGACTAAACAGCTGTCCAGTGCTCCCAGGCTTTCCAATGGTTCTCTAACCGATGTCAGCTCATGACGAAATCCTCCAACCAATCAACCAAACCCCTACAAAACCAATACTTGAAAGTACTGATCAGGATACAAAACACCATACTGAGAACTATGCGTAATTTAATATTTTACTTTACATTCTCCATAGATTATTAATTTTCCCATCTATGAATAAAATTTTATTGAGCTTTATGTGTTTTTCTTTTCTTTTCGTTTTAATAGGGTTATAGTATGTGGCATGCTTTAAACAAATGGTATGGTTTAGGATTTCTCAGTCATATTGTCGCTTTTGCAACCTTTTTGTTTTATAAATATTTATAAGGAAGGTGCTTTTTATTCACGTACTTCTGTCCTCCATATTTTCGAATTTAACTCTGTCAGTATTGTTATTAGTTCTTTTTAACAGTGTTATTAATGGTATTCACATCTTGATGTATATTTTCCAACCTTCTTTTGTACAATGAAACACATTTATTACCGGTAGTTTGGTATTTTTGTTTCAACTGGATCACAAAAGTTAACTGTTTTATATTAAGCCTTCCTTCATCTAGGTGGTCGGTTTGTTTTCTCAATAAGTCTTCGTACGATAATTTTTTGTATCATTCACCATTGTACATGGTTCTTTTCTTCTTTTTTTCTATATCGTCTGTGTATACCGCTTTCTACCATGACATGGCATGAGTTTCTTTTTTATATTTTTAATAAAACTATAAATATCGTTCACATTTTTTTAATTAATAATTGTTCCTACTGTAGTACTAGTGTAACGAATGGTAGAAGATAGAACAACTCGATATAGAGATATAGGCAAAATGATGTCTACTATATAGTAGAATATGAATGACAATTGGCATATATCTTCGCTATTGTGCTGCTTTCTCTTCCGCATTGTTCTTCTTCGTCTATCTTGAGCATCTTTCTTAGTGCCATATTGTACCAAGTTTTTTATGCGTTTAAATAAATAAAATAAATCTTGAGCATCGTTCATTGAATCCATCTCTCCACCATTCGATATTCTTAACGCTAATATACACGTTTATATCCGCATGTATAATATACTACTGATAAATATTTTTTGTAGCACAAGCCACACTAGTAGTATTATTATTAGAGCATATATTCCAATCCATTGGAACAAATTATTATTGCTCACACATTAATTGGTTACTAGGGCTATGCTCCTCTTATTTTTATAGGCCTTTGTTTTAGTTGTGACTACAGTATTCTACGAGTTCCGAAGGTAGGTGACTCGGTACTTTAGTGTAGTCTGAATAGGTGTTGGGTGGTTTCAGGGAATTAGCAGGAAGCCCCCTAAATTTAGGTCTCCTGCCTGTTAGCACTTGTCAATTGGACGTGCCTACAATCACGAAAGAACTGATATCCCTTCCGTGATTCGAACCCGTGTCACGCAGTACTGCAGTCAGAGAGGTTAAGACTGAGCTAATTCAGGTTCATATTTTATTAACACTTTTTAAGTATTATTATTATTTTATCCTTTAATTCCTAGAGGAACATAGGGCTTCAGCTGCGCACCTCCATTGCCTTCTGTTTTCTGCCAACTTTTTCAACCCACTCCAAGTCTGCCCACATGCTTTCATCTCCTCCTCACATGACCTCCTCCAAGTCACCCTCGAACTGACAACCGACTCGCCGCTTCCCTTTCGGATTCCACTCGAGCGATGGCCTGGCGTGTGATGTCACTTGATGGTTTCCTCAGCGTATGGCCAGCCAATCCATCTCCATTTCTTCGTGCCTATTTGTTTCGCAATCGGTTCCTGGTTGGTTCGCTCATTGCCAGAGATCAGTCCCTGTTGCTGATCTTTTCTGGCCAGCCATCCGATCTTGAGTATTGAGCGAAGACAACTGTTAATGGAGATGCTCTTTATGACGCGCCAAGTCTCTGATCCCATTTTAAGTATGTATTTCACATTTTAGACTTTTACATGCAACAAGGTAGATAATAATGGCAATTGTAATGAAAATGGCCATCGGATAAATGTCTATGACTATAGTTTGTAAATCAACTTACATAATTTGATGCATTGCCGTATTCTGATGCATTTGTATAAAATATATTACATAAGTTAACAAAATACAAAGTATCCAGTCGAGCAGCAAATCACTTTGTCAGTATGCATCTATGTATAACTTTTTACTATTACTGATGTGAATCTTATAATTCATATTAGTAATGTATTTTGCTATTGACGAGGTCAGTAATTCTGCCCTCTGTGTCTATCAAAGTTGCAGAGTTTAATTGTTTTTCAAGCCATTTGGGGGTATATGTTCTACGACCCTCACATACAAAGTACAATTACTCCACGTATGTATTGTATCTATAGATGCATTTAAATTGGTAAACAATATAGGATGTCATATAGTTAATTGTGCACTGTTGTTGTTTGTAGCAGAGCGTATTTTCGGCTTTCTCTATAATTAAAAGCCGAGGTGCATAACAGTTTTCACGAATGACGATATTTAGTATTCGTTTTATTTAATTCACTGTTTTAAGATCATTTTATACAGACACCTATCTTTGGAAGAGAGTAAGCTTGTAGGCTTTGAAATTAGCTGCCCCAAAGGATATCTGTCTTCAACAAGTGTATCCTTCAGTATTTTTTTCTCGTCAGCTGTATGGATGCACTGAATCCTCTTTGATATATATTTAGTGAAGTCTCTTTTGTATTATAATGCACAGAAATTATGGAACTTCGAATACTTCTTTGTCCAAGTAGGCTTTCTATAAATCGTTGTATTAGGTCATCCTCTGTGACTCCAAATTACCTCTAAAAATGCAAGTAGTTTTCAACTGTCTTCCTCACATGTAACACTGATGTAATGTTGCACAAAGTTAAGTCTATGCTGTAGACAAGTCGCATTTTCATTCTTATTGCTTATTCAGATGATATCATGAACATATCTCCCATTAAATGGCGCCTTAGTGATGAAGTCACCAGCCAGATTTTCAACGTAAAACATCAACCAATTTTTTTTATTATAGCTTGATTCCACAGTTTATTTTTGGTTCAGGTATGGAATTTTCATCATGTGATATCGGTAGCCCAAATTTTGCAGGCCGACCATAGATATCAGGTGTGCGTCGGCAGGGGATCGAACCACGGACCATGTGCGTGGTTGGCGAGAGTCCTAACCGCTGTGCCACCGAGGCTCTAGTGAAATTCTCATAGCAAAGCCATCCATTTGTTGAAAGCGTTCACCTACTAAAGTCCAATGAACTTTGTCAGTACACACTAATAATAAGTCTTTAAAATATTTTGGGAGAGTAATGAATGAAAGACTACTAGAAGATATGTAATTACAAAGAATATTAACTGTCTTAATTATAGATACATTAGTAAATAAAGAGCTAATTTCAAAACAGTCCATTTTCTTGTCTTTTATACTCATATCAACAAGTTCAAAAGTATCTTTCATAATTCATTCATTGTATATAAGGTTTAAAATGTCAGCTAATAATTTCGTCAATCTACGTGTGAGAAAAGGACACGTTGACAGAATTAGACGTAGCGGATTAACAGTTTTATGTATCTTAAGTAATCCATAAAGGCGTAGGAATTCATATCCCATGGACTTTGGAGAATTAAACTCTTTATCAGTACTATTCATGGTACGCAGTTTTACTACATGAGATGTTTCATTTTAAAAAGCCAAGTGAAATGTGACTGATAAACTCAATAGTTAAGTTGAGCACCTACTGTGATGACGTACAATGAACAGTTACTTATTGTTCATTCACATTTTGACTACAGTTTAAATCACTATATTTGAAGTTCAGTTAGAATCTGATCATTATTATTACTATTGTTCCTTTAGTTCCTAGAGGAACATAGGGCTTCAGCTGCGCACCTCCATTGCCTTCGGTTTTCTGACAACTTTTTCACCCCGCTCCAAGTCTGCCCACATGCTTTCATCTCCTCCTCACATGACCTCCTCCAAGTCTGTCTGTTTTCGACATAGAACTTTGCACAAATGTGCGGAAGTTCAAGTCGCCACATTCCGTGTAGCACGCGAAGCAAGAGAAGAAAGTACAAGAAAAGCATAATAGAAACGGTGAGCAGAGGTGTGAGACAAAGGAGTAATAAAGAAATACAAAACAGTTTCATTGAAGATCATAAGTCACAGGGAGTGGATGCATCTGCGCCACTGAGAACGATTTTGAGCCATGTCACCAATTGTTTCCAACCATAGATTTTTACCGTCCCGAGGACCCCAACCAGTCAGGAAGTCTACACCTTCCTACGTGGCTTAGACCAACTGTTGTGGATTTCATTGAATGATGCCAAGTTTTTGTTTGACCGCCGCTACCTTTTTTCCAGCCTGACCCTATATCCGCTAACATAGCTCGTCGAGGGAGGCGATGGCTTGGCATACGTAACACATGTCCTAACCATCTCAGTCTTTGTAGCTTTACGACTTCGTCGATTGATTTCCCCTGTTTACCTAGAACTCTACGCCTAACCTCAATGTTGCTCACCTTATTATGCCACTTTACACGGGAAATAGAACGCAGGCACCTATGATCAAAGACAGCTAGTCTTTTCATGTCTTCCACTCTCAGTGGTCAGGTCTCACAACCATAAAGGAGGACGGAGCGGACTGATGAGCAGTACACTCGCCCTTTGGTCGATAGTCGAACATCTTGTCTACGCCAGAGTCGGCGTAAACTAACAAATGCGAAACGAGCCCCTTGTATTCGTGCTGAGATTTCGTCAGAGATCAACCCGTTGGCGTTGGCTGATGGTACTTCCCAAATAAGTGAAGCGATCAACGTGCTCTACCACTTCACTTCCTATTTTTAAACTAGGCGTCGATGTTGTCCAGTCCTGTAACATCATCTTGCATTTGGCGGGAGCGAATCGCATGCCAAACATTCGTAGATTGCGGCTCAAGGTGTTTAGAAGACTCTGCATTTCGTCAGCGTCTTCGCCTAGAAGGACTATATCGTCTGCATATTCTAAGTCAACGAGATTATTCCCTCCTCCAAGTCACCCTTGGACGACCAACTCGCCGCCTCCCTTTCGGGTTCCACTCGAGGGCTTGTCTAGTGATGTAACTTGATGGTTTCCTCAGCGTATGGCCAGCCAATCCATCTCCATTTCTTCCTGCCTATTTGTTTCACAATCGGTTCCTGATTGGTTCGCTCCCAGAGATCCCTGTTGCTGATCTTTTCTGGCCATCTGATCTTGAGTATTGAGCGAAGACAGCTGTTAATGAAGGTCTGAAGTTTGTTTGAGATGCTCTTTATGACGCGCTGGCCAAGTCTGTGATCCGTATAGTAGCACTGACTTTACATTGGAGTTGAAAATCCGGATCTTATTTTCATTTCTATGCTGAGTGCTGTTGACCTCCACACAGATTTGAGAGTAATGAAAGCTTGTCTTGCTTTTCCGATTCTGGCTTTGATATCCTCGTCAGTTCCGCCTGTAGTTGAGACGATGCTGATCATAAGTTGAGTCTTTTGTAGCTCAGTCAGCTGATTAAAGGAAATCCAAATCTTGCTAATTCTAATCATGTAATCCAGCTAATAAGTTCACCTTTAAACATCACTCATCGCATAATCTTACCTTATTATTATTACTACACTGGTTTTCGAGGGGAACATACGGCTTTAGTAGCACATCTCCATTTCACTCTGTTCTCTTCAGTTATTTTCCAGATGGCTACAAAACTGTCTTAGCTTTCATTTTCTCCTCCATGACATCCTTGGACCCACGCCCAACGCACTGCTTTTTGTTCGGGTTTCACTTGAGGACCTGGTGCGTGGTGTTACTCAACGGTCTTCTCAAGTGATGCTTACTAGATTGGTTGGAAGATTTCATCATGAGCTGACACCAGTTAAAGAACTGTTGGAAAACCTGCAGGGAGTACTGAGCAGCTGTCTCGTCCTAGTTTGGGACTCTTCATCAGCACGCACCCACCTACTACTTGAAAACTTTTGATGATAAAAATTTGAAAATGTAATATGGAGACAATGAAACAAGATCGGTCATTGTGAAGAAAATGCAAGTAATCCTTGCGGCTGGATTGAAATTCAGAGTAAATCTCACTTGAATAATCAACAAGACGGTTACCTTAATTACAATACATTCCCCAATGGAAAGTTCAGTATGAATAAGCCAAATAATACTGTCACGTAAAGCTATACTGACTGTATAATTTATTTCTACTAGTGGTATTTTCGTGGAATAATACTGGATTTGCTTTAAAAGCATTTGTCAAATCATACATTCGTCACTGCTTTTCAATTTACTGCAAAAATCATCGAAGTTTAGACAAATGGCCAACAATTAATTTCATTCTATGCCATCTTATCATCAGTCATTAATGTTGTAACTTAAGAAACTATTAACTGTAGAATGAAACAATTCACTGTTCAGTATTGAAACATTCTTTTACAAAGTTAGAATGTTCATATACGAAATATAACTTCTCATATAGCATTTTAACCATGAAAATTTTATAAGGAGATCTACTTTAATCGAGATTGGGTTATATCTTGTTTAAGCATTGCCTAACTAATACTGAAATATACTTGTATTGTGTGCATAATATTGATATAGAATACGGAGATGTAAGTTTTCTTGTTGGGTCTTTAAGATTCAAAGCAGAATATGAAGAAAACTATAGTTGTTTTATTGAAAGCCACCCTGGAAATGTCATTTTAGGAATTTAAAATGTTTTTTCGCAGACTTAAGTAAAATGGCCTATTTAGAACATGATGTGTTAGAGCTGGAGTAATTGACTCGATTAGTAGGCTAGGGTATCAAAACAATATTCTCTATGGTTGTATTGGTGCAAATAGTTCTCTCAAGAAGTTGATCGATAGGTATTTTAAAAAACCTCGGTGATAGGTCAGAAAAATTTCCTAGAAAGTAGTACATCAAGTCGTCATTCAACAGGGTTGGTGCTATTTCTGGCGTAGACGTGATATGAAAATTCTGGCTATCTGTCTTTGATCATAGGTGCCTCCGGTGCTAGGTGGTATAATAGGGTGATCAATATTGAGGTTAGTCGTCGAGTACTAGGTAAGAAGTGGAAATTAATCGATGAGGTTGTGAAGTTACATCGATTGACATGGTTAGAACATGTGTTACGCATGCACTGCTAGCCGTCGCCTTCCTCAATAATAGGCAATGTTATCTGACATAGGATGGATCAGGTTGGAAAAGAGTTGGCTAGTGGTGGTCATACCCAAACACAGATGCATCAGTTAATGAAATCCACAACAGTCATTTTAAGCCAGCCATGTCGAGAGGTGTAGACTTGCTTCCTGGTTGGGGTCCTCTGGATTGTAAAACCAAAGACGGTCGTAAACAATCGACGATATGGCTCAAAATGGTTCTCAACGGCTGCAGCAGATGCATTTACTATTTGTGATTTATAATATCCAATAAAATTCTATTATTCTTCCATATGACTATTACTGGCAATATATTGGGTTAAGGTAAATTAAGGGTAATAATAAGATGTCTCTGTGAACACACGATGTGCAGCTTACTTTTAAGTATGGCTATCGTTTCAAATTAATGCAGTAAGTTCCCTCGATGCTAATCTTGAAAGACATTTTGATATCAATCTTATGATTCATAACAACCATATTGACGAGGTTTGTAGTCAAGCCACCTGCTTTTACCAAGGTTTTACAGTCCACTTATATTATTAAGTTATGAATCGTCGCTTCAACTAAGCATTAATAACGGGACTTTTGTGTGGCTCCATCGGTAGTGATAAACACAACTGCAAGGGTTATATGGAAATTATAGACCCTTCCGATATCTAATGTCCACTGTACTTCACATATTTCTTTGTTAGAAATTATCAAGGAAATCACTTGTATGAAAGAAATCGTTCATCAAGACTTTCTTTGGACGATGTGTTAAGCTGTCAACAATTTCTGAAGATACGATTCCAAAAAGTTGTACGACAGGTCATTTACTCTGACTCTAATCATAATAATGATACTGGTAAAGGTTCCAAAATCACTAATCAACAAACTAGTATGCTGCTGAAGGAGCATCTATCATCCATCCACAATATCCCGTATAAACAACAAAACCTTATTCAGCCTAAAGTTTTCTTTGTAACATAACCTTTAACCTCATGTATTTTCCCTTATTTGCTCTGTTTTCTACCAACAGTATTCAAAAAAATAGAGCATTTTTCTTAGTTTAGAATTAATTAAACTTTTTCAAAGTTGAATGACCCATTTTAAATGTTTACGCTGCATTCTTTCGCATCAGTATTTTTTAAATTTGGATTATTGTTTGGCTTATAATAACGCCTCTTTTACATTCGACTGTCTTATACTTTCATGGAATTAGTTAACCTGATGAGATAACTGGTTTTGCGTTTGAGACAGCATCACATTCTTACAAATAACTATGTATACTATAGATGTTTATTTAACATGCGAAGTAATCTTTGCAAGATAGCTACCATGCACATAGATAGCTGTATCACTAGGACAGAGACAGTGGTATGTGCGTTTAATTAAACTTTCCGTCATTCGTTGAATCCAAGTTTCTACTACCACCTTATAATTAATATTTGTTAGAAGGTAGAATTCGTAGACCATTAGAATAGGTCCCATTGGTTGAATGATCAATGAGCTCGCCTTGAAGCTCCTTTGTTCGGCCTCTGGTGGGACCATGAATGCATACTGATGAAGAGTCCTGAACTATGACGAAACAATTGTCTAGTACTCCCTAGTATCTAATGGTTCGCAAACTGATGTCAATCCCTGATAGGATTTGAAGTCAATCAATTACCTGCAAACCAACACTTGAGAATTTAAATATACAATAATTTAAACACAGGTATCAGGTTGATGATCTACTGTTGTTATTATTATTATCTGTCCCTTTGATTCCGAGTAGAACATAGTGCCCTAGCAGCACGTCTCCACTCCACTCTACATTCTCTGCTGTCTGGCCTTATGATTATCCACAACCTTCATTTTACATAATGGAGAAAATCATGTTAACAGTGAATTATTTGCGTGTTCTTTAGATGTACACAAAATTTTATCTAATATTAGTCTGTGAGGTAAATATATCATAAGCAAATAGATAACTTCCTTTGATTTTATGCTGATAAAGGAGAATAAAGCTGGTTTATTTTGTTTGACTAACTTTTCAGAATGCTTCTTTTAGGTGCTCCCACCTATATATCCATTACAAATAACCTAAACAGTATGACATCAATGAAAGGTTCAGTCTACAAACATAACTCAATCAGTATAAACTTTTCTTTGTATTATGATGCTGGTTAAACTAATTATTACACCGCTAAGTTACTAAAGGGGATTGTATAAAACATGACTGGAACTTGAAGTAAAGTGATCAAGCCAACATGCTACTTATATGAGTTCATTCTGCATAGTTTCTCTGAAGTCAAGATCACCAACCCCCAGTAGATTTTTATTTCTAATCATCACTTAAAAATAAAATACCATGGAATTTTTTTTTAATGCATATTATGTTCACAGATGAAACGCCTAATTGTGGGGTAATGGATTACGCGGAAGATATTGCGTGCGGAACGAGAAGACAGGAATGCGTTAGACCGAAAAGAAGACTATAGAAGATCTGGACTTCGTGGACAATTTGTCTAATGTCACACAAACTCAAAGATCTACATGTGAAAACCAACAAGTGGGCAGAAGAAGCAGCAAAAACAGAACTTCTAGTGGACATAGAAAAGATGGAGATGATGAAGATAACCAACCAACGACAAGCACTCATCACTGGCAGCGGGAGAAATTTGAAAGTGGTTACTTCCTTCACTTATCTAGGAAGGTGTCAAAAGCAAAATTGGGAAAGTGAAGCAGACCTTCATCATTCTGAAATCAGTTTGGAAATCTGCTGCCCTAAGCACAGAGAACAAGATTCGGGTTTTCAACACCAGTGTTAAGCCATTCAATGCTTCTATATTGGTCAGAAACTCGGCGTGTCCTCAAAAGCATTTCCAACAGGTTGCAGACTTTCATCAACAGCTGCCTTCACTGGCTCCATATTGAATATCAAATGGCTAGAAAAGATCAGCAAAAAGAAACTCGGAATGAACCAAGCAAGAACCTACTGCTTAAAAAGATGAGGGAGAAAATGAAGACGAACAGGACACACGCTGAGGAGACCGTTGAGTGACATCGCATGCCAGGCCGTAGGGTGAAACCAGTATAGGATACAACGAGTTGAGCGTCATTCCGAGGGTGACATGGGGGACATTGTATGACAAGGCGATGAGAGCTTATGGATGACCGTGGAGCCAGCTAAAGAGAACTAGAGAGAACAAGATGAAATGGCGATATGCAAATGAAGCCCTACATTCCACTTGGAACCCAAGGGAATTATAATAATAAAATAATAATATTATGTTCATTTGTCTGTGTACAGTGTAAAAATAAAACAACTCAGAGAAATCTTGAATATCTTATTGTTGTTTTTTTTTGTATTACAGTAATTTATTTCTTCTCTCATTGTATAGGATAATTTTTGTATACATAGAGGATTTGTATCCCATACTTCATAAAATACGTCATATTTACTTCAGATCATAGTAATTAGATCTTCATATCCGTATCTGATAAGAATTCATTAAAATAGGATTCCTAAAAATTAGAGTTTAAAAGAGAAAAAACTAATTAGTGAACTTGTTATTTGAATAAGGTCGTTTTATTCATCAATCAACATTATTAATTAATACGATTATTGGAGTGCATCGCGGCTTAGTGGTAGAATGCCCACTAGCCACGCATTCAGGATGTCCAAGTTCGACTCTCCGCTCACGCGCTTCTAAACCTCGCTAAGTATACTAGACAACAGTAAGCCTAGTAAAGAGGGAAGGTTGGACGTGAGACTAGCAACTCCATCCCGTAAAAATCAACACCACCTCGACTGAAGTTTTGAAGCTAAAAGCCTTATGTTCCATCAGGAATGTAAGGAATGAAAGAAAAATAATTACTTAGATTCTTATTAGTTCCTTATTGCTGATTTATAAAAATGGATGAATCATTTTCTACGAATAGGATGATTGACTGTGAATGTCGGCTATTTATTTCATAGTAGGAATCAGTGAAATGCATTGCGTTTTGTTTTATATTCATCTACCAACACGTCAGTCATTACACACAAAATGTAAGTGCTTACATTTCAACACTCACTTATCAGCGTTTCGATAAACTAACAACGAATAACACTGAAAAAGCGATGGCTGTGGTAGCTTCGTATGGTATTGAACAACACTTTAGTGGTTAACACAACAGTGGATGTCAGATTCTTAGTTTAATATTGATCGCACACCTCCACGAAACCCGAATTGGATGAAATGTGTATCCTGGAATGTATGGTTAGTAATCATTTAGAAATCTTGTTTTGATGCAGCACTTATCTACCTTGAATTACTGGTTGTAGTCTGTGTCTGTCTTATTGTCAGGAAGAAAAGATTCACCCCGGAATGCTTATATTGCGAATTTGACCCAATGTACCAAACCTTCGCCCAAGAAGTTAATCAGAATTCAATTGGTTTGAACTAATTCGGCTGTCTGAGTTAATTCAAACCAGGTACACTGCTGATGAGCTCGGTCCCAAAACTATTGAAATGCGTTCGATGTTTAAATCATTTCCTTCTAGAAAGTAAGCACTAGTGGCTGTTGTGAGTAGTATCCAACTACTCACATCGATTAATCAGTAGTATGTAGAAGACTGAATATAAACATATAATGCCATGAATATCATTCTTTCTTATTTCGGCTAGAACAATAAATCATAGAGAAAACTAGTGAAGGATGAACGTGTATTCAGGCCTTTTCCTGAGATATTAGTAGAACCAGGTTAATTTGAAAAGATCGACTAACAGACATGAAACATAGTATTCAAGGAATCAGTTGTCTAGTCTTTAATTAACTAAATAAATTATTGTTGAATGATGATGTACAACTATGCTGATTAAATCACACTGATTAACTTATGTAGTTTTCTTCAAGTAAACGATATTTGTGGTTAATTTAGATTACACGTAATAGCTAATAATTTAGTATTTCACCATGATGTGGCGTCGGTTAGAGAACCATTTGAAAGCCTGGGGGTACTGGACAGTCGTTTCGTCCTAGTGTTGGTTCTAGGCTCAAACCCAGGTGGTTGCGTACTATGAAGAGTCCCGAACTAGGACGAAAAGACTGCCCAGTACTCCAAGGTTTTCCAGTGGTTCTCTAACCAACGTCAGCTGATGATGAAATCCTGAGGTCAATCAAATCCCTCCAAGCCAACACCTGAATAATAATTAAGTAGTCGGAAGATTTTTATATTTGTTCATTTAATAAGTATGCAACACACTGAAACGCAGTGTTCCGAGTGGAACACAGCGCTACAAACGTTTGAAGTTTCATTTTGGTGGCGCTCATTTTACGGGATGAGGTTGCTATATTTACTTCCAACCTTCCCTGTTTTTTTTTCTGAGTCTACTATCGCATTGTATGCCAGGCGAGGTTTAGGAATGCGTCGGCTGGGAATCGAAAGCAGACTACCCGCGTGACTGGCGAGAATTCTACCATCGAACCACCGTCATCCTCAAATAGTTCATCAGGATAAAACTATTTTACAGGAGACTTTAAGCTGTTCCAGACTTTAGGAAATGCCAACTCCTTAATCAACAGAAATGATTAAAAATGTCGACAATAATTACTGTAAAGTGTTTATCTACAAAACCCAAAACTCTAAACATGAGAAATTAAAGCAGAAGTCTTAACAGAGTGTGTTTATAATAAAAAGGGAAACACTTGTTTATTTTTAACGGTATATGAGTGTGTGTGTGTGTATGTAGGTAAAAAACACGGTGTAAAAATATAAATCACCTTTGAGATATTGAAGTAGTTAACGGTGAATTTGAAATACAGATCCATTTGTCTGTTGGATTTGTAAATGATGGTGTCACATAATCAGTTTTATTTCGAACCATATTTAAACGTATAACTTTATTGTATGTAGTTGCTTGTTGTCCTTTTGTTGCTGTTGCACAAGAACCAGGAGATATTTTTGGTAAAAGTGCTGGTAGATTCCTTTTAATTATCACATCAGTAGAACCTCGTAACTAAGTATTTTCAAAAGAAAAAATGTTTTTCCTTGGATTATTATACAATTCCATATAAGTTGCATTATCATATATATATATATATATATATATATATATATATATATATATATATATATATATATATATATATATATATATATATATATATTGGACGCTAGCAAGTGACTAGTATAATGTGTCTAGACCTTTTTTGGTGCAAACTGAATTCTGTCAGTCAGGTTGGTAATGTGGCCACCATTCTAGGTAGCTCGCCATCACGGTGCACATTGATTTGATGAGATTAGATAGTTGGAGGCAGTCGGCCACAGGAAGCCTTGGACCTAGGTTTCGTGCTAGTTGGCACTCACCAGTCAGCAAGGCGTACCTGCAACCTTGAAGGAATTCATCTCCCTTCTGAGATTCGAACCCGTGTCACCCACTTCTGCAATCAGAGACGTTACCACTGAGCTATTCTGGCTCGCGACTGAACTCCTGTAGGACCGTATCGGATACTTCAATTGACTTGGTTGGTAAAATTTAGTCTACACCAAACAAAGGATTAAACATATTACACTAATTACTAACTAGTGTCCAATCAAAAGTATCCAGCACAGTCCTACAGAAGGTCAATCGCGAGCCTGAATAGCTCAGTGGCAACATCTCTGAATGCAGCCCTGGGTGATGCAGGTTTGAATCCCAGAAGGGACATAAGTTCCTTCGAAGTAGTAGATACGCCTTGCTGACTGATGGGTTCCTACTAGTCCGAAACCTAGGTCCAAGGCTTCCTGTGGCCGATTGCCTCCAATCATTTAATTTCAATAATATATATATATACATATATATAACAACTTGGACGGTGAATAGCACTTAAGTTTGAAATGTTTAGTTCAAATAAAGCAATTCTGTAGCTTGATAATATGTGTGGCATTTATTCCGAAGGATGTGAAGCATTTAAATGGATCGTAACTTTTATATTAATCACCTTTATACATCTTTTAGATGCCAGTGATTATTACTTCTTCGGGTTCAGAATGAAACATATGGCTGTAACACCACATCTCCATTTCACTCTGCTCCCTTCAGTCTTTTTCAGATGGCTCCATGACTGCCCATAAGCTCTCATTCCCCCCTTATAGGATCTCCTCCATGTCACCTAACTCGGTTAAGCTTTGTAACGCGAATTGTTAGTAGTTAGAATTTACAGGTCATTGGATTCTGTTCCAGTGGCTGACGCCTCAAAAGACTATCGTCATAACCTGAAGATCATGGGCTCGATCTGATGAAGAGCCCGGAAGTGGGATGAAACAGCTGTCCAGTGCTCCCCAGTTTTCAGTCGTTTTCTAACTGATGTTAGTTCACCATCCAACTATAAACAAAGGGTTTCGTGATTTTATATGAGGTATTAGTCTGACTAGATGATGAGACAATTAGAACTTACCCAGAGGAAATGCAAAGCACGAAAAAGTTTAGCTTGTAGAGAGCAAAATAAATGCGCACGCATATTTAATAGATAAATTCACCTAAGCAACCACATTCCTTTGTAACCGTTGTCTTATGTTTTTGGGGTGGATCAAGGCCGGTTGATATATGTAAATTAATCTAAGCAAGTTATCAAAGATTTTGCCCAATATTTCTCAGTTTAATACATTGGAACTAAACACAAGAATATTTATAATAACAAACAAACCATTAATTGGTACGTGAGCAATATAACAAGACAACACGTCTACATGAATTATTCATCTGTTGTGCATAAGTGTAGCTTCACAATTCGTGGTATAAATCAGAACTTATCTATCAAATGTTCTGTTCAGTTGCTTGTCAAACTTATTCAAAACTTTGTTTCAAGAGAGTGCTAGACAGTCGTTTTGTCCCACTGTACGACTCTTGGTCAGTATGCAAGAACCGTGGTTCGAACCCAGTACATTCCACTCACAAGTAAAGTCCGTGGACCACTCAACTGCTGGGACCCGTTCTTATGGCCGTGAAAACAAAACTACTGCATACTTTAATGCACTGTAATTTGTAATTAATCAGTGAGAAGACATGTATTTACAATATTGAGAAAACTATAGTTCTCTTTGAGATTTCAATCTACTTCACTCAGTATCAAAGTTAAAAACATTACTACCAAACTTTTCAGTCTATATAGCCTCGTATTAATTTAATACCATCAACAATTATTTTTGAATAAAGCGAGAACAACATTGATTTGTGCAGAATAACATGGTGCCATCATTTATTTCGTTGGCTTCTCGTCAGCTGCTTACAGCCTAAATAAATTTTCAGGTTTAAGTACAGAAACGTGTTAACATACTTGCAAATTTTACATGTTGTCAGTTGACAGAAAGTTTCACGATTAGTAAACAGTGCTCAGAAAATTGCGCTTATATAGGTTTTACACCGGCAGTTCAAGTTAAAGTTATTCTGCACAAATCAATGTTGTTCTCGCTTTATTCAAGTTTATCGAGGGGAATAAATGCATGAACAATTATTTTATTATGCACGAATCACTTACAAAACGTGAATAACGATCCAGCATAGTATTGATCTCATTTGTACAATATCCTTTTCTGAATGAAATACTTATACCCTATAATAAATAAATAATGAAGACTTCATTACGTTTTCTTTAATACAGCATATCTTACCTTCCAATGAATTCTTTCTAGTACATATGGTCTATGCGGTATAGGTATACCGATTTTCACCTTGATCAATTTATGATGATGACCACGATAAGCGTTAACAAAATCATTAATCAATGACGATAAACTCTAAAATAGGTAGAAGTATATGAATGTGATTGATTGATTGATTACTGGATAATTTAACGGTTTGTACATCAAATCTTCACGTCTACTTAAACCCAGTGCACCGAATACACTGTTAACTGAACATATTCCTAACACAACATGTCGGAAAATATTCCCATTGAATTCTGATACAAAGGATATAGTAAATCGTTTGAAATATTCTTGTCCTTGTGTAAGAAATCTTAAAAAGTTAAAATTATAATGTTGTAGACCGACTGACTGACTGACTGACTTACATAGATAATATAGTAGCTTCTAAACATTTAATTGGTAGTGCAGCTTTTATCATCACTTTTACAACTTCTCTAAGTCTATACAAGATGTAATATTAACAAAATATTTACATATTGAAATACAATTCAATTTGTCTACCTTTCAATTGGTGCATTTCGATTGATTTGAAAAAATTGCATACCAGTATAATTATATCTAAATATTTTTTAAATAAATGAAAATATTGAAAAGATAAGTTAGAAACATGTTTAAAAAATATATAAGTATAACAGTAAGTATGAATTCACTAGTTGAATCAAATTAACTTTATGAAGTGGCAGAGGGTGTCTATAAGTTAGAAAATTATTGTTAAAGTTAGCACATTCTCTAAAAATCATTAAAAATATCAATACATTTCGAACAGTTTGATCATACATTTACTTGTTATTCCAATTTATATCTTAAAAAATGATGAATTGAAGGGTAAATTAAAACAAATAAACTACTAACTGTCGATTGATTGGACTGAAGTCGGCTACTTGTGAAGATGCTTCGACGATGTCTGTTCACGTAACTTGAAGTCAGTTGGTTGATAGTGACTAGCAGTGGAATCTAGGGTGTGCATTTCGTCCCATTCGGGACTCGTCTACTAGGTATACCTGCATTTCTCAGTGAGTGACGGTGTTCCCATCGATAATTAATAAGACCCGTTGCACAAGAGGTAGGTCTCGTGGCCCAAGTGGTCTAGTGGATAACACTTTGGCATTTAAAACTATCGGTGGAAACATCATCACTCACTGGGGAGTGCAGGTACATCCAGATGGAGAGTCTCAAATAGGACAAATGCGCGTTGTCCTGGATTCCACTGCTAGTCGCCATCAGCCAATTGACTTCAAACTACTGCCAGCTGGTCTAAAAGTAGGGTGAATTAAAATGAAAGAATAATAAGTCAGATATGGCACTGTTGTTAGTAATATTAAAAAGTAGAACTTTTTTGTCGTATTTTAAGTTTGGTTACAAACTGATATAAGTTCGAAAGTCCCAGTTCGGTACTTTTCAGCAGTATGCACACACGGACCCATCGGGCATCGAACCCACGACCTCTTCACGTTACTAGGTGATTTCGTCTACCATTCATCATCAATAAGTATATGTCCACATACCCAACTTGAAGGACCCCACTGATCACAACTTCCCACTAGAACTTCAGACAACTTCTACCTGTGATCAGCTACTGATGAGCATTGGATTTATTTTTAAGTGTTAGTTTGCAGGGATTTGAAAGAAATTTGTATATTGCTTCATGTTCTTATTTGATCATACTACCGAGAGTAGTGTTGCAATTAAATTTCCATTTCTGTCCAATCATCCTTGTTACCCTTGAACTCTTCATTAGTTTATATGTTTTAAATACCTTTTTATTTCTTATTTTCTGTATAACTTGAGTTGGTAAGTTATTCTGTGATCAGATTGTTTGAAAAGTATGGGTGCAGTTTTTTAACAATCTCCGTTTTGTTCTCTTGAAATTTAAAAGTGAAACCTTTTAATTAAACTTAACTAGGTAACTAACTGTTAAAAACTAGACAGCTTGACTACTACACATAGGTTAAGTGCAAGTAACTAATATGAAAACATGACATCCAGTCGTCAGGCTACATTGGCACTGGTAAGAAGAAAATAATCCCCGAAAGAGTCTCTTTTCTTTCCTTATTAGTGTCAAAAATAAAACATTTAAACAAACCAACAAACTCACTGTCATGAAGCAAAAGATCTCCTCAACAAGTACAAACTGTGCACATATTAATGATTGAAACATTAATGTATAAAGTAAGCCCTCCATAGCAACATTGTCTTCCACTTTTCTTGACACTTTAACACATATTTGAAAACAAATGTCTTTATACCTCGTGATCTCCCTGAGATGATGATTCTTCTTAAGTGTCACATTGCAATATCTAAGCTAACTTTAAGTGGCGACTAGAGCTACTAATTGAAAGTTAACAAGGAACACAGATTCTGTCATCTGTTTAAGTTCTTAACTGCTCCTTATGTAGGTTTGCAAAGATCTGATGAATTTACAAACAGTAAAGTCACACTTAGTAATTAGTAAGAAATTCACTGGAAAGAAATTGTTACTGGACATCTTGATTTTGAATTCATCTGCAACTTTTAATTACAGTCTAAGGGAAAACATATATTTATTCATTCACTTCAGTGCATGGCTATTATTTTTGTGCGTTATTATTTATGTGCGTCGGTGGCACAGTGGTTAGGACTCTCGCCAACCATGCACATGGTCCGAGGTTCGATCCCCTGCCGACGCACACCTGATATCTATGGTTGGCCTGCGAAATTTGGGCTACCGATATCACATGCTGAAAATTCCATACTTGTACCAAAAACACAGTGTGGAATCAAGCTGTAATCAAAAAAAAATATAAAAAATAAAAAAATAAATGTAAGACTTCTTGGGTACTGTGGTAGAATGTAATTCCATATTAGATAAGTTTATTTGAAGTAACACACAGTGATTCAGTATTAGTAATTGGATGTACATATATCCTCTCCCCCTTGTTGTTTGTCGCCACTTTCCATATTTATGTGCATCATTTCGACTGCACATTTGCGGTTTTGAATCGATAAACAAAGATTCAGTGATTAACCTCTCTCGCCACCTAACTATATTACTTTTAATATTTTCACCCAAAAGAAAGCAAGAAACAACTTATCAAAAAAGAGACGGCAGCTCTAGAAAAGTCGAATAATAAAAGAAAAAGCATATTAAATGCCAGATTGTACAAGGTTAATACAACAGTAGTTATAGACAAAATAGATTATATCAGAGACGTCAATCAAAATTATGAAAGAGGCTCTTAATGAGGAAATTAAAAAACCCGTGAACATTATTATTATGAATAAGATCAAGAACTCTACAACTGATTTAGTACGTCATATAAAGTCATCTTTGGCGAGTCAAAATGGTTTATTCTAATACCTAAAACTAATAATCCAAGCTAATGTAAGACACTACTGAAATTCATAAGGTAAGATATTCCATCAGTTCAGTAGTTGACTTTTGGAACACTGAGACATATGAGTCATCTAAATATTAAGCATCAATATTATGCTTAATTAGAGATAGGTAAGATTCTAGGCTAACTAATTCTTAATTAATGAGACAGAATCCAGAGGAAGTTCAGAAAAGTAAGTGTTCCCTTAAAGTGGATATATCACGCCATATGACGAGGATCTTTTGATTGGACACTAGTTAATAACTATTGTAATCTGTCTAGTCCTTTTTCCGGTGCAGACTGAGTACCATCAGTCAAGTTTGCAATGTGATCACCATTCTAGGTGGCTTGCCATCACAATGCACTTTGAATTATTCATATTAGATGATTAGAGATAGTCGGCAGGAGGATCTTTGCCAATGTGCAAAACAGGATGCTTAGTCATCAGTACTGGATAGATTAACATTTTTGTGGTGTCAAAAGACTAAAGATTGACTGCTAAATACATAGGTCAGTCTGAATACGTAATGATTTTAGCCTTCCAATCTTCCAACGCAACTCATTAGCTTATGGAATTTAAAGATATTTATAGCGGTATCACTTCATTTTCACTTTGTCTGTTGTACATGTTTAAAGTGATAGCCAAATTTTATCTTAACGTTTTCTGAAATTGAGCTAATTGAGCTTTTCAGCTATTTTCGGATGTGAATTTGTGTAATAAAACGGAGGTGAGCGAATTTCCTATCATTTTAAAACTAGTTTTGAATATACTGGTGTGGTGAGAGCAGGCTGCTAGCCAATTGGTAGACATTAATCTACGTCAATGTCTATGTCACTAATATTAGCCATGAGAAAATATGAACAAGGCTGATTCAACAATCAATCACAGCAGACCTAAACGTGGGCAAATATGATTCGCAGATAGATGGCTCCACTTTCCGAGGTTACCCAAAACAACCAATCAGAATACTACGTTTGTCTGCTTAACTTCCGAGAAACAACCAATCAGAAGACTGCGTTCGTCTACTTGAATGAGCTATGATAATGTACATGAAATATATATAAATACGTGCTGATTTCCGTAATAAAATGATCTGTTGCCGGCCCTTGTCTTCTGTTGTTACACTGGAATATTCATACATAAATTTTAATACGATTACGGAAGTGTTCTAACGTTAATGCATACATTCACATGCCTCTCACAAACCTTGACAACCTTTGCATGAAACTTCACTATTAAATAAAAGATTTATTTCCAGATATGGAACAAAATGAAGGTGTTCATAGGATAAAATCTATGTATTCTAATGCTAGTTTATTGGTGTAAGCTGTGGACTATTGGAAATCAAACTAAAAAGGTATAAGCACCGCACTCAATATTCACTTTATAATTAAACAGAACCAAAGCTTTTGAAAAATTGTTCATTTATAGATCTGAACGCAAGTTACAGTTGATGTAAGATTAACTTTAACCCTGCTGAAACATTATTGAAAAGGCTTTTGTTCACACAATCAACAGTTTATCTAAAAATCTTTTCTTATTTCACTCACTTCAAACATAAATAATAGAACGCAGAGGAAAAACTAATTAACTTTATGCTGAACTCAGATTCTATTAAATTGTTGAAGATAGTTGATGCATTTTGGATTAAGATTCATAAAGTACAGTTGTGCTGTATTCTAGGGAGAAGGAAATAAATTTGTTGACAGTGTGGAAAGTAAGTTTTATGAAAATACTGCAACTGTGCAGTGAAATTATTGTTTTAGTTGTGCTGTTGTCTTCAGCAGCATTTCCTACTCAACAATCAAGAAAACAGGAAATTCGAAATAAAACTCATTAAGAAAAAAGATCTCTCTAGGTGAGATGCCCTTTAAATTGAAGATCATAAGCTGTCTCTTTTACTGACTGGATGAACAGTCAAAAGTCTTTGAATTCGATAAATTTGTTGGAATACTTAGAAGGACTTTATGGACTCTTAAACAAGAAAGCTTTCTAAATAAAGAAGCGTAAGATTCAGAATTTCTTAATATCGCCACTGAGTTTATCACTAAGCATTACACAAAATAAATAAAATCTGATAATATTAGATGGTTGGATGCAATCTGCAGGAAGTCTTGAACCTAAGACTCGTGCTAGCTGGCACTTACTAGTCTCCAAGGTGTATCTGCGACTTTGAAGGAAGTCACATCCCTTCTGAGATTTGAACTCGCGTCACCCAGTGCTGCAGTCAGAGACGTTACCACTGAGCTATTCGGGCTCGCGATTGACCTCCGGTAGGACTGTAGTGGATATTTTGATTGGACACTAGTAACTAGTATGATGGGTCTAGTCCTTACTTCGGTGCAGACTGAATTCTATCAATCAGGTTTGCAATGTGACCAGCATTCTATATAGCTCACTGTTATGTACTCGTCGCTAAATTATTGTTATGGACTGGTCGAGAATTTAATAGTCCTGACGCAAGAAGGCGGAAATCAGAAGACCACTAGGTTTGCGATGATACTTCTATTCTCCAAACACAAGGAGACGCAATAAGTGGTATCACACCACAGTAAGTAAAAGTGAAAGTCACAAGATTGTGAATGCGAAATATATATGAATGTTCCGGACAAAGCGTGGGAACAAATCATTAGACAGTCTTAACATGAATGGCTAATTATAATGGAGTGTCGATCCAAATATACATAGCGAATATAGCAGACATGTCAACAACCATATATGGATATATGTTACCAAGCAACGGACTGTCAACAAACACTCATATTATATATAATATAATATAAGGAGAATATACATTGTTAAAGGAGACAAGTTCATACAAGTGAAATGGTCACAGACTAAGAGAGCACACAGAAAAAGAGACCAACATACACACACACATAAATATATATGTGGATACATATCACTCACCATCACGTTGCACACTGATTTTATGATATTAGATGGTTGGAGGCAATTGGCAGGAAGCTTTAGACCTGGGTTTCGTAATAGTTGACACGTGTCAGCAACCATATAATATCATCAAATCAATATTCACCGTTTTGGCAAGCTACGTAGAATGGTGGCCACATTGCAAATTTGATTGATAGAATTCAGTCTGCACCAAACAAAGGACTAGACACGTCACACTAGTTACTAGAGTCCAATCAAAATAAATAAAATCTATTTGAGGCCGGTATACATATGTTTAATGCTTAAAATATAGAACAGCTTAGTCGCAAATAAAAAATTTAACATTTGTGGAGTGATTAAATAGCTGCAACCATTTATGTAACTGGAAAAAAGCTTTATATGTGGCGAAGAACTTTTTAGACATTTGAAACTACAAGCGTAGGCTTGGACACAGACCGGTAGGAGAATTTTTCAGACCTACGATGTGTGGATAAAAACATAAGCAGTTTTCCGTCCGAAAGTGAGCAAAGTAGGAAAAATTGGGCCACTTTCGAAAATGACATGGGCAAACTGGAAAAAAGGCCAACTTGTTACTGAAGTCATGTGTAATGTGGGAAAATATGGGAATAATGTTTTTGTAGTGCAGTCAAACTTACAATTTAACCGTATCAAGTAAAGAAAATTACAGCCAGATTATAATATAAACTAAATGTACCCACTGGGGACTTCTGTGAAGACAAAGTCAGACTATTTTATTTCACTCATTATGACACGCTTGCTTATGTCAAAGTGAACTTCAGAAACCGCAATTTCAAACACATCCTCGTGCATTCTTAGCGTGGTAAGTTAGTTAAGTGTTTATTGTGCAATGTCTTTTTTTAAGTTTATTATAATGGATACTGATAGTGAAGTATTACCAAGTGTTATTGATGGGAATTATCCTAGACGCCTTAGAAGTAGTATGTTCCTTTTAATATACATTTGTACTTCAGAATGGATAGAAAAAGAGACTTGTCATCGATCCACAGTTTACAGAAAAAAAATGGCTAAAGTTGGAAGTGCTTGGTGACCTTGCCAAGAGAATAGTTCCCGATTACACAGTCGAAACTGGTGAATGTAGATCAAACTCCCAGTAGTATGGAAAACACGCACGTTGACATGCAAATAACCTCACCAAGTAGGTTTCTTAACTGCAGTAGTTGACGATTTACAAGGTGATTCACCTAACGCTGCGGAGTCTAAAGATAAATCTTCCAATAGCACAACAAAAAGCAATTCAAAGGCGATCCTTAGGGCTACAGCCTTAAAGGTTATAATAGCCACTTATATGACAGACAATCGCAGTCAGTCCTCGAAATCAACTACTGTGTCTACTTAGAAATGACGATGAACGTAAGAATTGTTTGATATTTTACTTACTACCTAGTGGACCAAGAAACGACATTTTCGTTGATCACTATTATCCATCGGACCTGATGGATAAGCAGTGCCATGTTTTTGATGACCCAGATTATGCAGATCTGGATAATAATATAGAGGGTTATAAAAGGAATACAAATATGATACTTGTAAAACCCAACATAATTGTGAAGTAGTTTCAGTTTCATATCGCAAAGTAATCTGCAGTCATTGCTACTACAAGTTCCCCTATTACATAAGTTATATCAACCTTCATAGTCACTCTTTCTCAGATCACCCGAGGATACTGGTGCACTTCAGGAAATCTCTGATACCATGAAAGAGATAAAAGGTGCGTTTCTGTTTTATAGTTTTGTTTACTCTATAATTATCAAACAGCTTCTATGAACACAGCTCGTGGAGTGCAGACAAAAATACTTCAGCGTCTTAACTTCATGCACGAAACGACCAGGGAAGGAAGAATTGATGACTACAAACATAATGTTAACTACCGGTTAAATCATTGTCTGTGCTGCAGATTTTCGATCACGAACTGAAACACAGAAAGTATTCTGAACGAACAGTAAAAAATTTCAATCTAGTTTCCTTAATAACTACTTCTCAGATATTTCGATTTTCACTAGAAGTGCAAAATAACGCAACAATATCTACACGTCGTTTGCTGAGTGGTCCCTAATAAAAGCTTGGGAAGACTGTTGACTTACAAGAGTGCTGCGAAAGAGATTGGTGTGCGCGGCTACACATTTTCACAACTTATAATTGGCATATTGACTTTTAATAAACAGGACATTGGATAGTAACCACATATTTAGACGTCATCATTCGTAATTAGTTAGGAATTGAGTAAAAAGGGGAGGAATCAACAGAAATGATAGTCAGAGCGACCAAAAATTGGTGCCACGATCAACAACCTCGAAAAAAATTGATTGCTTGTCGGAAGATGTAGTTTTAATGAACAGGTGTTCAACTTTTTATGCACTTCATTGTTATTTCCCCACATTCAACTGTTTGCCTGATTCCTTTATTACAGATGCACGTCAACCTGGTCCAAGCCAATGGGAATAATTCAATGGATCTGCTAGATGATGGCGGTAGGGCGTAATGTGAAATTCACCAAACATTTAAAAAATAATCTACTTGTGTACATAATTTTTAATCCAACTGTGAAGTAATCCTAAACAATAATTTGGAGAAGGGTTGTTAAATTATTTTCTATTTACAATAAACAACTGAAATATAACTTTTTCATTACGAACCTGTATTTTAATGATGATGGTTCTACTCGCAGCCATCGCGTTTATTTTCACGACAATGCGCGCAACACTTAGAAGGCAACAGTAAGCAGGCTAACTCATTGGAGAAAAAGGGGTGATAACTGAGAATTTATTAGATAACAAGAGTGAAGTAAAGCGAAGAAGGGGAACTTATTCAACAATAAGGGCAAATACAGAGACAAATAAACATAATGATAACAGAAAGCGTATCAACTTATGCGAAAAGAAGAGACATGATTCGTAACCTGAGAAGAGGAGGTATTTAACGACAAAGTCTACTTTACTTCTCCGTTTTTATCCATTGAGCTTCCTAATTTTATCGCCATTTTTAACGCTCTATCCCCCTTATTTGTCCTATTGCTGCTGTCCCCAAAATAACTCACGAAGTTAATTGTGTAAACGTTTTCATTTGTAAGTATCTTTATGGAACATATATGATATGGAACCTATAAAACATTATATTCCCTAACTTCATTAATCTTATTTTATATCAATGAAATACGCAACTGTAGAGGAATTAGAATCTGGAGATTAAGTGCTGATGCTTGTAGCTGTGATGAGATTGATTTTATTATCAACTGTGCAGGGCAAAAGCGTGTAAGCAATTAATTAATTAAGCACCTGAAACGAGTTCGTTTTAAAACGTTTTCTGTCCACTCACCCAAGTTTATTTAGATAGCACTGAACCTTTTCCATAAGGTCTTCAGGTGTTTCAGTCTTATTTATTCTGAACAGGGGTAGCTTGAGAAATACAGAGAAGTAAATAATCATTTACAGGGACTTTTTGAAAATCATGACTCTGATAAGATTCCAACAAGTCGGCTATTTCCCTCTCACACTCTTTGTTTGTTCTGAGACAAAAGTCAAACATTGATTTCCACGTTTCAGCACTGATAGGAAGCCCATCTCTGTTTGTTAAAAAAGCAACATTTTCAGACATTTCAAATACTTGCGCATAATATAACCATGACCTGAAGAACTAAAACAAGCTTCTAATGTCCAACGTACCCCTGCTTAATGATGTTTGGAAACCTAATGTACTCGGATCACCTGTTTGTAGAAAAATGCCATTTAATGATAGTGGGCTTGATATTGATTTGTTCTAAAGATAAGTGTGTGATATTTCATGTGTCAGTACAGCCGCTGGTATCTGCAAATCTAGTGCTATAATATAATTGTCATTGTTCATTTCAAGAAAACAATAAGTTCCATTGCGAGATGACTGCAGAAACAAAGAATGAAAGAGGGTATACTAATTGTGTTCCCCTACTAACCAATTGTAATCCTACTCGTCAAGCAATGATCTGAAACAGAGAGCAAAGCGCACGTTAGCAGTGTGATCACACAAGTGTTGCGTGCTAGTAAGAACGAGGACTCAAGGTCAAGTATTATATTTACAACCAATCGCAATACAAGTAGATAAGAGGGAAGGGCACTCCTATTGGTCATCCGTTGCCTCGTCTTGGGTAACCAATCCCTGCATACTTCGCAGCCAACCTGAAAGTAGACAAGCATGGTTTGAACATTAGAAAACCGCCAAACTTACCATGCCTTACACTACCCCCTCTCCCATAGGAGCACTGTCCGCAGTGCTAGGTGACTGTTCCTGCGGGACTTGTCTGCTCTAAGGCCTGTTGTCGAAAAGGTTTTAGTCTATTGAAGTGTGTGACTAGACTATGAGAGGAATTCGGTTCCTGAATCCTACAGGTGCAGTCACTTAGTACCTCTACTACAGTGAATGGTCCTTCCCAGCGTTTATGGAATTTAAGAGCTTTCCCTTTAGGTGGTGCCTCCTTAAGTAGCATCACCTTGTCTCCTGGCTCGACTGGTGATCCATGTGCTTTCCTATCATAGTATTCTTTCTGGTACCTCTGGTTTGTTTGGAGTATATCCCTAGTCATCTGATGTACCTTGTTCAGGTTTCGTCGAAGTCTGATTACGTGTTCAGATGCAATCAGTGTATCCTCTCCTAGTGTGTTTGAAGTCAGATCGATTGGCAACCGGAGTTCTCTTCCAGTGACCATATAATGAGGCGTTTGACGCGTAGCTTTGTGAATGCTTGCTCTGTATGCCATTAAGCACTGTGAGAGTGATCGGTCCCATTCCCTGGGGTTGTTTTGATCTACAAATGCCTGCAAGAGGGCTTTAAGTGTCCGATTGGTGCGTTCAACCAAGCCATTTCCCTGTGGGTGGTACGCGGTAGTGCGTGTCTTCCGGATACCCATTATACGACAGAGTTCGCTGACAACGATACTTTCAAAGTTGGATCCTCGATCTGAATGCAGTTGAAGTGGTGCCCCCCAACGGCTGACCCAGTGGTCAAAAATTGACTCTGCGATGGTTACAGCATCAATCTGTGGGATCGCAATAGCCTCGCACCATTTGGTAAAATGGTCTACCATGACTAAAATATAGTTATTATTTCTGGAAGTTACTGGGAGAGGTCCAACCAAGTCTATTTGTACTAAGTCATTCGGATGGCCAGCTATAATGGGTTCTAAGGGTGCCTTATTATATTTGTGCGGAGCCTTAATAGTTTGGCATACCTCGCAGGAGTCACAGAAATCTATGATGTCTTTCCTCTGGTGAGGCCACCAATAACGTCTTTTAGCCGCTTCAATCATTTTCCCTGAGCCCGCGTGGCCTAACTGCTGGTGTAATGACAATAGTACTGTGGGTAGTGCCGACTGTGGAGCCACAACGCGACGAGTATAAGTGGGTCCATGTTGGTAGTAGAGGATGTCATCGACAATTTTCAGATTATCCCACAGAGACCATAAACACCGGGTTTCCCATCCAAGCTTACTTATTTCCTGGGTTGTCGGTCGTTCGCCTCCATTTCGAACACGTTCGTAAATCAAGGCCAGTTCAGGGTCTGAAGACTGAAGTTCAGGCCAACTATATGAAGTATGAGCCTCTAGTTGGAGCAGCGAAACTTGTGCTTCGGTGCATGATGGGCAGTCACCGTGATACCTAAGAGGTTTTCTTGACAACGCATCTGCATTTCCATGATTCTTACCCGGTCTATGCATGCATTCGAAGTCATACTCTTGTAGGTGTTCTTGCCATCTGGCAATCTGACCCTCAGCTTCTTTGAAGTTATGTAGCCAGCTAAGGGCTTTGTGATCAGTGCGTACAATGAAATGTCTACCGAGGAGATATGCCCTAAAGTGTTTAACAAAATTGACCAGTGCCAGCATTTCTTTCCGCGTGGTGCAGTAATTCTTCTCACTCTTGTTGAGTGCTCGACTTGCATAGGCTATCACCTTTTCTACTCCATCTGCGTCTTTTTGAGACAAAACTGCCCCGATACCAGAGTCGCTAGCATCTGTATCTAGGATGAATGGACCTGCCTGGTCAGAAACATTGGGATACGCTAGGATAGGGGGGCTACATAAACAGTTTTTTAGTCTTTCGAAGGCTTCCGTCGCTGATGCTGTCCAATTGTAGTCTTTCTTCTTAAGAATGTCGAATAGAGGAGCTGCAAGGAAAGAGAAGTTAAGTACAAAACGTCGATAATACGAGGCTAACCCTAAAAAACTATGTAACTCGGGGGCTGAGTTTGGGAGCGGCCAGTCTTTGACTTCCTGAACTTTTGCTGGATCACATTTAATGCCTTCGGCTGAAACAATGTGACCTAAGAAACACACTTCTTTCCTGAAGAATTGACATTTCGATGGGTTCAGTTTTAACCCAACGGTCTGCATCCGTTCTAATACTTCGGAAATATCACTTAAATGTTCGGTCAACGTCTTACTATGTATGATAACATCATCTAAATATACCAAACACTTACCTGGTATGCAATCACTCAAGACCGTTTGCATGAGGCGTTGGAATGTTGCTGGGGCATTGACTAACCCAAACGGCATTGTTTCAAACTCATACAGGCCTGCTTGTACAATGAATGCTGTCTTTTGCCTGTCATCTGGGTGTACTTCAACCTGCCAATATCCCGATGCCAGATCTAGAGTGGTAAACCAATTCGACCCCTCTAAGGCATCAAAAGTGTCGTCTATGCGTGGAAGGGGAAAGCAGTCTCGTCTAGTTAACAGGTTTAACTTACGATAATCTACACACAACCGGAGTGTCCCATTCGATTTCTTAACTAAAACTACCGGTGAAGCCCATGGAGATACGGATGGTTTGATGACATTTTTCTCTAACAGTTCATCAACTAACCTGTTAAGCTCCTTCTGGTAATGTGCAGGTACTCGCCGTGCAGGTTGTCTACAAGGTGGGGCGTTACCCGTTTCTATGTGATGTTGGACCAGTTTTGTTCTTCCCGGGCTTTTTCCATCCCAGTCAAAACAGTCCTCATATTTGTCTAACATTTTATTAAAGTTGGCAGCCGTTTCCGATGGTAGGGGTTCTATAGTCGTCAGCATTCGCTGTTTCTCACTCTTAGCATCTCCCTGCACGCCAAAAGTGCCGTGCTCTTTGTCGTTCCCTACAATAAATGGGATGGAACAGTCCTTCAGTATAAGAGTCCTATGACTACAATCTATTATTCCCGACAGCTTTTCCAGGAGGTCGACTCCCAAGATTACCTGCCACGGCACCCGGGTAGAAATGATGAAATTGTGTTGAAGTGACAGTGTTCCCAATTTAAGTGGCAGCAGGACCAGTCCCTGGGATTGCATGCAATCTCCATTGGCTGTCGTAAGCCGCAAATTGTGAGTCCCTATTGTTGGCCTAAACGTCTCTGGAACACATGAGGAATGTACGACAGAACAAGTTGCTCCTGAGTCAACTAACATAACACACTTTTTCCCGCCTATATAACCTACAACTTTCGGGGAGGAGGTGACACCGATTAGGTTTACAGTAGGCACACAATTCATATCGACATGTGACTCACCTGCATTGTGACCACAACTCCTAGCAAGCTTACCAAACCGCCTGCAGTAGTAGCAATCGTTTCTTGAAGTGGATTGCGACTGTGGGCGTCCTTTCCACGGTGGTGTAGGATTCTGTGCATGCTTTGTTGTTGTGTGCTGATATCCCATTGCGTTTACTTGTGGGCATGTGGTTCCTGGCTCTTCCAGGCTTTCCATTAGGCGTGCCCTAGCTTCCGCTTCTGTCATGGATGCTGGAGTGTGCAAGTTGAAGTCCTTCCTGTAACGGACGTCGACGCCCTGCAAGAACTTGGAATATATAGCGCTTTCAACCTCTGAATGTGTCTTGTCCTGCATAGCTTGACGCGCAAGCTTGCGGAGACGTAAGGTGAACTGGTTGATAGATTCACCTTGTCTCTGGTTGCACTCGCTGAATCTTTTCAGCGCTTCAATGGGAGGTATTGGTGGCACTATACGTGCTCTTAGAGTACTCAACAGGGTGGTCAAGGGCATATGCACGTAATCCAAACCAATTGTGTACATTTCCAAGGACCGTCCAACAGAATCGATGACGAATGCGTTCGGGTGAGGCACGTTCATCAGATCAATGTATCGGCACACCTTGTCCGACCACAGCTCGAAATCATCACCCACCTCCAGTGTATGCGGCAAGGGATGGACATATCGCGAAGCAGGCTGATTTGACTGAAAAGCTGGAGCCCTCACTTCAGCCAATTGATCCACCTCGTGAGATGCTGTCTGTTTGACAGGAGAAGTGTTCTTGGAAGCCTCATTGGGTCGAGACTTAGAAGAAGAAAGTTTTTTCGTTGGCAGGCTCGCCATTTATGTAATCCCACTCGTCAAGCAATGATCTGAAACAGAGAGCAAAGCGCACGTTAGCAGTGTGATCACACAAGTGTTGCGTGCTAGTAAGAACGAGGACTCAAGGTCAAGTATTATATTTACAACCAATCGCAATACAAGTAGATAAGAGGGAAGGGCACTCCTATTGGTCATCCGTTGCCTCGTCTTGGGTAACCAATCCCTGCATACTTCGCAGCCAACCTGAAAGTAGACAAGCATGGTTTGAACATTAGAAAACCGCCAAACTTACCATGCCTTACACAATGAGATCATTCAGTCTTTTGAAAGTGCTAGCTGAACTGGCTGTCAATGTTCTACAAAGAGTGATAAGTTATAGGACATCCTCACGTGGGAACATAAAATGCTATTTACGAGTTTCCAGTAATATCAAAAAGCCTTCGTAAGATTTATTCTTCTAGCCCGATGATGTTAAAAGCTTCTCTAGAATGCCAAAATAGCATTAAAAACCTCAAGATTCCTAACGTTGAATTAGGACACATTTAGGGACATGTCCACCGTTCGTTCTTCCAAATAGCTGAGGATGAACAAAAGTTCCAGAAGGAATTGATAGTGTCTTTGAAAGATTCCGTATTTTTCTGGTTTTTGTCATTATCCGTCTGGGATTTTCCTTTTAGACTGCCGGAAAGTCCAATCCACAGTAGTAAGCGTGCAGGGCTTCCCGTAACACAAAATAATGAACGATCTGACAATCCCTGACGCAGGATGTTGGCAGAAAAGAGATAATCTTCTTTTGTATCTGCATAACTTGATGCTGTGAAGACAGAGAACCAACCCAAAATTAAAATCTTTTTGCAAATCACTAAGTAGAATGAAGACTACAACTACATTCTGACACCCCCAGAGACATTTCGGGCTCATTTTTCGAGTTTAGGACACCAAAGGTTTGCTTCAGAGAAGAACACTCTTCCTCCCAAATAGGTCTTGATCCAAGATGACTGATTATTCTTAACTTCTATCTGTGTGTCGGTGGCACAGTGGTTAGGACTCTCGCTGACCATGCATATGATCCGGGGTTCAATCCTCTGCCGACGCACAACCGATATCTGTGGTCGGCCTGCATAATTTTGGCTACCGATATGACATGCTGCAAAATTCCATACGTGTACTGAAAATACCGTGTGACATCAAGCTGTAATCAAAAAATAAAATAAATAGTACGATGTATACTTACTCAAGATTTTATACCCACCACTTCAATAGTATTCGTTCCCCGTCGACCAAAGGCTAAGAAAAACGCCAAAATTGATCTTTCAAATTACGGCGTTTATCTCAGGACCGAATCGTAGTGCGTAGTTGACTGGTTAACTAGCTATAGATCGCACACGAACGAACGAAACATGACGACGTGGATGCTAGACTGTGAGCCTTCAGCCAAACAATTTCAATTAAAAATCGAGGGTCAGCATACGATGTTCAGTGATTAATGCTGTGGCTAATTATTTTTGGGAATTACCTACACTCACAGAATCGTTTGTACAAGCTAGTCAATTGGATATTGGTCAAGAGCACGTTGAACCTAAAGGCGCATTTATCAAATGTTAACTTTACCTCAAGGTCGGCTTTAGAGTAAGTTTTGCACGGGATTTGTGTCTGAAGTTTTTTAAAACGTTGTCACTGATCTGGTTGTCTTAAAAACACGTAAATTCCTGTGTGTTCTCCTCGGACACACTAATACGACATCTTATACTTGTTTTGTCACATTTTTTCTGTTGAGTAAGCAAAATACTGTGAAAGATAACTACTCTGCAATTGTTTGTAACAAACTCGTTATTTTTGGTTCGAATTTAAGCTGCAACAAATACCCGGAAATATAGGATTCTAGTACCCACTTAAACGACACCCAAATAAAGCATCTAAGAGCGATTTTGAGGTTTCTAGGGGAGAATTGTGTTGCATTTCTGCGTTATGTTGACCCAAAATTTCCCCTATCTATTTTGTTTGAGATGCCTTCTAATCCTAATTGGCCTCTAAGGATGTCCAAGAAACTGAGTGTCATAAATAATAGATTAATTAGAGTTCTTAATATTTGCATATGTTGGGGAATCTTGACAGGATAATTGTTCACTCGGGAGGTTTCGGATCTCGGAGTAGATAGGTGTATAGAATTAAAAATGCAAACAGATCTCAGGACACCATGACCTATAATCATTTTAACTCTCATTGCTCCTTAGTTTTGAGATCGATCTAACCTCTGCATTTTACTAAGGTAAGAAAAAATAACTTATGTGTAAGGCAAACGTTATTTTAAGTCAAAGTGCCTCTTAATATACTGAATATGGACTATAGACATGGATGAATTTTATGTTTAATGATGGCAGTGGATTCATCCAAAGTGCGAAAACAATACGAATTGATTAATGGTCTTTCCCGCTCTTGTCATATATGTGACAAATCACATTTGGGTTCAGGAATCTGACTGACTACCCCTTATTCATTGGATTCGTTTCATTGAGAGCTTTCTTAAAATACAAAAGTTGTATGCCGTTCCCAGGTCGAAGAATCCTAATCTTGCTAGTCATTTTCTCGTTAGCCTTAAGTTTGTCTCTTTATTTTTCTTGGATGTAGACCTGATGAGATACTCCTTACCATCAAAAAGCAGTCGTTAAACTTCAGGACAGTCTTAGTAGTGCAGTATATCCTATGCTTATAATAATACTTGAAAACTGCATAGCTTCCTTAAGTAACTTTTTCCAATTAACTGCATCCCCTTTTAGGTTTTGTACTATTGTTATCCATTCATTGACGTGTCCTTCCAAGAACCTCAATGCCTGGTTTTTTCAGTCTCACATTTTTGGTATTGTTTGGTTTGGTGTATTGTGAGAATTTCGATGAAGAACTTCTCATCAAAGATCTTGGCCGTGGATTTACGGCTTTCCACTTTAATTTTGCCTCAACAACCTCAGAGACGATATTTTTCTGTAAGTTGTGTTTACAAACCTAATAATTTCAATGTAGCAAAACACTACAATATTTTGCCAAAATCAGTCATTCAAATCCTAAGGAAATACAGTGTTAACGAATTTCATCTTTCTATATCAAGAGGTATATGGGATGAACGTTGGGGCAGCAATTTTGTGTCAGTTTCTCCTTCTGGAGCTGAATTATGGGCATGGTTTGGAAATCAAACTTCTAGGTAATTTCTTTATTTAACTAACAATTTTAGTGTCGACCAATCGTGGTTTGAATTAACGCATGCTCTCTCTGGACTATTCTGTGCCTCTTTGAACCAACTGTCCACTAACGAGCATTTTGCCTCTCCTCTCTACTCTTATAAACCATTGGGAGTATCAGAATCCGGTAAAGTTGACGGAGAAGTCAGATATTCTCAGCTTCCTGGTGAAACTTTGTGCAGTGAAAACTTGACTCCCTGGACCAAATATTTACCGTGCAAATCATTTTCTGGTTTAGGAAGCTTATTGCGACCGACTTCCTTGTTTAAATCAAATTATAACTCGATGACATTGGGAGTTAGAAGGATTTGTCTGGTAAGCTCCATATGCAATACAATCACTAGTTAGGATCTCAAATGTGATACTGTGGGATTAGAACTAGTGGCAACGCTAACTGCAGTTTTTGATAGAAGTTTGATATTCGCAAAAAGAACAAGTAAGTCACATTTTATACTGATTTTTACTAAATTTGCTAAATTCTTTTTAACTAAAGGCTAGTTCTACTTCAAGTGATCTGTTGGTATTTACTTTAACAGTTTCTTATTCCCCTTCTCTTGATGTGAACGGTTTTCCTGTATATGTGCTTTAGGAGATCCCATGTGCCCTTAAATAACTTGCTGTTGTCTGACTAATGAATTGCTAATGCAACAGATTCTTCCGTTTAGACGATGCAATCATATATTCCAACTGTTTAAAGAACGTTTTATATAAATCATATAAAAAGTCTAAGTACTGAAGTTCTGAATTATGACGCATTTTTCCTATGTAATTCTCGGGTAATCATGTCACAGTAATCTTTTCTGCAGCTAAAACTGGTAGCTTTTACGCTAAACTTCAGCTTTTTTTTCCGAAAAATCATTTTTTATGTGCCCTTTTCCTTCGTGTGATTCTTGTGTAGAATTCGCCAGTGTTTTTATAAACAAGCTATCCAGGTTTAAATCTGTTAACATTTAGACCTGATTAGTAAAGACTCTAGAATGGTGTGTGGTATATTTTGAAGTTTCTTTATTCAGTTTCATGTCTTCATTTTGGAAAACTTAATTCCCCTGTTTCTTGCTCAGATTTCTTGGACTTTAGTGATCAGATGAAGTCCTTCAGTACAATGTACTAATAAATTGTCTTCACCTTCTATCTCACTCCAAATTTTGCTACTCTATAAGCATAAACAGGAAGAATAACTTAGTGATTTTTTCACCTAAACTTATTAGGTTAGTATATCCGTCGTCTTTAAGTGATTGTTTGCTCAAGAAAGAATCAAAAAAATAGAATTTTACTCATTTGCTACTTTAATGGTAAATCTCCTCTATTTTAAATTATGGGGAATAAATTAAGCTTCTGTTTCTGCCTAATGTGATGGAGATATCAAAATTCATGCACCGTCTACTCATACTGTCTTTCTGTGGATTGACGACTAGAGATCCATCTTTTCTTTTCAATAAAGCGTCTAAGAAGTAAATTCTGAGATTATCTATAAACTCAGACGAATTATACCAACCATCGAATCCCCCTACTGACCTGACCTCAAGCATCTTCGTCGCATATGATGTCAAGTATATCTTTGGTACACACAGAAACTACCAATCTTTATCCGTAATGCAATATATTTTAGGTTTGCCATGAAGCAATCTCCAAGTAACGACCAAATTGTGACTCCATTTCCACTTCATTTTTAAACACACAACACATGAATAAGTTTGGGATGAATGGAAAAAGGGTGTCCCCGTGGTTGTTCCTTTCTGTTGTCGACTCAAGTACCGCTACTAAAACTGTTATCTCTGAGAGAAATTTACTTAGGAAGCAAAGTTCTCATGAAACCAAATGAATCTGATGCACTCCGGATATTTAATTGGTTTCCAATCGGTGGAAAAATCTCGGCAAACCAATTGATAAATGTAAAGACAGGTGGATAATTAAAAACCTAAATAGGAGTAATAGTAGTTAGTATTTAAACATTAACTTAGTGAATGTGGAAATAAGAGTCACGACAATTCCAAAACTAATAGTTGGATATATCAGTTTTGTACATGAGAGATACAAGACAAATCTGATAAGTTTCAAATTATTGTCTTGTTGCAAAAAATAAAACTGTTCACTATCTAGACGTATTTCTGACTATTGTTTTGCTCAAAGACAGAGACAAATGTCATCCAACCATCACTTAGACAATCAGTCCTCTTTTTGAGATTTTCCCTTTTAAATTACCACCAAAGTGAAGAAAATGGATAGCCTTGGAGTGGTAGACTAACACTGAAATAATGGATGATTGAATGTGAGATGGAAACCTGTGTCCCAAGGAAACTTAAACCGACAGTTTACAGATTACTAGCTCTACACTTTACCAGCCCAGCTTTTAGACCAACGCTTCATGTGAATGAACTTTCACTTCACCTTCAGTTATTACCCATTACATCATTATTCGCCTGCCAACCCATGGCCATCTTTGTCTCAAGTTTGACGATAATTTAAAAGGATAAGTAGGCCCCTACAAACGGTGACCAACTACCTACATTATAGTTGATTCATATTCCTTTTTCATTAGTCGTGAAGGTTGATATTCGTTGATAAGTCTAGAATGTCCACAATATGTACTATCTCCAAAGAAATATGTAGCTTCTTTACACATACAATTTAGTTTTTAACTAGAAATGGTAATGCAGAATTCAGCAATATTTAATGTCCTCATCTATCTGAAGCGTTTAAATTTCAGTCTTTTCTGCAATATTGCATCAAAAGTCATCATACCGACTTAAAAGTCGTTGTAGCTCATTTGTGCAAGTTGTTATGACAGCATAATAAATATGACCGTTAGTCGGAAATAAGAGTTGGTGATTAAACCACAAAAGTTGAGTTGTAATAGTCCAAAGAAAATTTTTCCACAGAACTGGCCATCTTATCTTTTTTCATGTATTAAAACGTGTTGATATCTCTGATCCCCAAATAACATTTCCGAAGTGGTATAGCAGTTTAGATATTAAATACTGTTCACAAATGAACTGTAAATTTAACTTAATGTGAAGTTGTATCTCTTCTGCTTTTACTGACCTTCTGTGGTACTTATCATCAAACATTGTGCCATCTGTCTACGGCACAGTAATGAAAATATCCATATTTAGTAACTTTTAGTATTTTAACACTCAGCATGTATATACATAATATTATGGATGCCTGCCAATCCATTAAACTAATTTTTGAACTAACAACATATCACAGAGAATCTGAGTTTTGAATTTTCCCCGGCTTGATTTTCTTCACATTAACAATGATTCATTAATTTTCTTTCAGCGCCTTGGTCTATTAAAAGCATACTTGGCTCAGAGTTCAGAGGTTTCTGTAGTGCGTCCGACTCCAGCCGTGTATTTGTTCTCAATTCTTATGAAGATGTGGATGTTAATCTTGATAGTGCAACGAAGCTTCATTATCCAAGCAATTATGTATTAGCGGCATACTCAACGAAAGATTTGTTTCCATCATTTGTATCATCACCATTCACTGTCAATGAACAAAAATCTACTTCATACCCTTTACCTCTTATCTCTGCTACTAAATACGTTACTGGTTCCGGAAATGTTAGAGGTGGTGTAAAAGCTGTGCTTACTAATAGAGCTAATTTTGATACAAAAATAATTTACTTCGATTTAATACCATGGTACATGCAAGTTTTCTTCAGTTCATTAAAAATCTACAGCTTAAATCCTAAAACACAAGAGAGGGAGCTGATTAAACCTCGTAAGTTTTTTTCTTTACTCAAAGTAATGTAATTCTAGTACTTGTATAGTGTGCTATTACTGGAAGTATACAATTTAGCACAGATGTGCAGCAGCTAGACTTGCCACAATCTATGTAGCCCACAAAGCAAGAGAAGAGAGATTATAAACAGAAATATGAGGCAAAAAGAATAGTAATTTGGGAGAACAATAGAATTTTATTGGATACTGTAAATCACAAAGAATGAATGCATCTTCGCCATTGAGAAGGATTTTGAGCTATATCACTGATTGTCACCAGCCACTGGTTTTTACCATCCCGAGGACCCAAACCATGAAGTCTACACCTTCCTACGTGTCTGGCTTACACTAACTATTGTGGATTTCATCGACTGATGAAGCCATGTTTTCGTTAGGCCACCACTAGCTCTGTTCCAACCTCATCCTATTTCAGCCAGCTTTGCACATCGAGGAAGGCGATGGCTAGGCATGCGTAATACATGCCCTAACCATCTCAACCAGTGTAACTTCCCAACCTCGTCGATTGACTTCCCCTTCTTACTTAGCACGCGACACCTAACCTCAATATTGCTCACCCTATTATACCACCACCTAACACGGGAGATAGAACGCAGGCACCTATGATCAAAGACAGCTAGCCACTCTTTTCATTTCTTCCACATTCGGTGGCCACGTCTCGCTCACAGCCATAAAGTAGGAGAGAGCAAACTGCTGAGCAGTATACGCGTCCTTTGATTGACAGTCAGATATCACGTCAATGCCAGATCTGGCGTAAGTTGGCGTATGTCAAATGAGCCTTCTGTATCTGTGCTGAGATTTTGTCAGCGATTGACCCTTTGGTTCTGATGCAACTTTCCAAATAAGTGAAGTGGTCAACGTGCTCTACCACTTCACTCCCTGTCTCTAAGCTAGGAGTTAATGTGATCCAGTCCTGTTGCATCATCTTACATTTGACGGGAGCGAATCACATGCCGAACATTCGTAGATTGCAGCTCAAGGTGTTCAGAAGACTCTTCATTTTTTCGACGTCTTCACCTAGATGTGTGTCGGTGGCACAGAGGTTAGGACGCTTCCCGACCAGGTCCGGGGTTCGATCCCTGGCCGACGCACACCTGATATCAACAGTCATACTGCTAAATTTGGGCTACCGATATCACATGCTGAAAATCTCATATTTGTACACAAATACTGTGTAGAATCAACAGCGAAAGAAGACAAAACCAACGTCATCTACAAAATAAACTGTAACAACTGCGGAACACACTACATCGGCCAAAGTGGACGTCCCCTTCGTCTTCGTATCCACGAACATAAGCTAGCCGTCAAAAGACATGATATCCACTCCCTCATTTCACTACACACAGACAACTACGGACATCAATTCGACTGGGACAACGTTCAAATATTAGACAAAGGAAATAACAAGAATGCTAGAGAATTTTTAGCAGCTTGGCATTCCAGTGGATCATCAATCAATAGACACATCAAGATAGACAAAATTTATCAACCAATAAGGAAGAAACTTCACACACAAAGGGTCAAAGTTCAAGTCAAAGAAACAACCGGTTCCAATACAAGTAACCTAGAAGGTGTGAAAACACACACAAACAACCAATCACTTCCAAGGTCACCAGGAGAGATGATTAATAAACTCGTGGAGAAATCTAAAAGCTCACTTCAAATTGAAGTATGCGCTGAAGATGTCACCCAGTAAGGTGATGAAAGCTTCGCAAACTAACCATCCAGCTCAGAGAACAAAACCACATCAAAATCATCCACCTGAGCTACAAATCTTCTCTATCATATCAGAATCAAGCTACAATAAAATTCTAAAAAATAGACAGGAGGACTATATCATCTGCATATTCTAAACCAACAAGATTATCCCCTGATTAGCTTTCATCAGGTCTTAACAACAGACTTTACCTTTTTCATTTATAAATATCATAGCTCTAGGTACTTATAGCCACTATATAAGTAATTCCTAAATTCAACATAACCTAATAACTGAAGTACCAGCATGAAATTGTATAGGGGGCTCTACTTTTTACTAAATGATTGTCTTTACATTTAATCCCTAATGAAAACAATGTTCTAGGAGGTAAACATCGTCTCAGACTAAATTGAAGTTTATAGCTGGAAATTATATCTGTAAAATCTCAGAGAAATGGAAACAAGTAACTCCAACGTTTCGTCCTGGAAAATTCTTCAGGGGGAATATTATATATATATTTACACTTGCAATTCCATGCAATTAGCCACACCCATCGTGTGAGGACTAGTGTGATATCACATGGCTGGCCAAAACTTAGCAAGTGTAACGGGGTTTGAACCGGTGATCCACGTATTGTAATTCGAGTACCTAGAACTACAAGCTACAACTCAACGCTAACATATATATGTTTCTGAAGCACACTGTTTGGAGACAAAGGTAATATCTGAGTTTCAAGACAAAAGGGTATAAAGTAAGTTTAAATCTGTCACAATGGTTCGAATATCTCTCGAAAACTGTTAATTTGATCAAGTTTATGCTTTTTCGCTTCTTCCATACAAAACAACTTTCGATATTGATACTTCAGTGCAGAGATTCCCATTTTTCGGCATACTAGTTTGAATTAATCAGTGCCTGTTAACTGATTACTTCTTTGTACGAATATCTTAACAATTTTGATTGACACAGTTTGATGCGATGATTCGTGAAGTGTTAATCAAGTTACATGTTTCGTTTTACTTTGGATGTGTTTGCATCTCATTGAGTTTCGGATGAAAACATCAGACTACTTACTGTTCTCGTAATCGTAATTCCAAACCTTTTTATATAGACTGGTAGTATTCGAACTAAAATATGCCTTTGTCTTTCTATTAACAATGTGGTTCTAACATGTAAATTTTTAATTTACTCACCAATTTGTGTCAAACCTCTGTCATTGTTTCTTCAACAGATAATTTGGTGATAAAACCAGGCTTGGCCAGAAAACGTATGGCTAGTATCGAATTAATCATCACCTTACCTCGCCACAGTCAAGTAACCATTTCTTATGAGTTCCGTAAAATTCTTCAACGCTGGAATGAATTCCCACCTGATGCTAATCATGGATTTTTCCTTCCTGCAGCAACTGTTTCCTACATGTTAAATAATGAACAGTTACACCACTTAAACGAGACGAGGCATGTTGCATTCCATAATCTAAAACTTCCGAATTGGGCCAGTACTTACAGTCAGTATTTGTAAGTCTAGTCTTTTAACTCATACATGTGGTGGTTTTTCTTCCCAGTTTAAAACTTCGCTGTGTTCCTTCAGAGATATCTGCTTGTCATGAATCTTCACATCATTTCTTCTTCGAACCCCCACATGCTGGTTGTAAAATCAAGTGGTCAAAGTAGTGGGATGTAAAGCCGTAAGCTGCAAGGCAGCTGATGAACTTGTCAACTGTCACTTCTGATGTTAGAAAAATGTTGCACATCGCGAATCATCGTATTTTTGAAGTAGATAGTTAACTGAAGCACCATTGGATCAGAAAAACAAAAAATGTGTTGCTACACTGACTGATTTTTTTTATTTCCTTCACGTTCCCCAGTGGAACATAGGGCTTCAAGCTAGTGGCTTGAAGTTTCTGTAGCAGTGTTTTATTTTTACAGGATGGGGTTGCTAGCCTCATGCCCAACCTTTCCTTTTTACTAGCATTATTTCCGGCTTAGCGAGGTAAAAGAGTGCGTCGGTCGGGAGTCGAACCCCGAACCATGTGCATGGTCGGCGAGCATGCTAACCGCTGTACCACCGACGCACACACTGACTGATTCAGGTGATTTAATCACGATCTCATTTACTTGGTAGACAGTGAGAACTGCATTATTAGACATTCTAAGTCAGAGAACTCAACAACTACAAAAGCACCTTTGTAAGGTACAATTTTTTTCATCATTTCAAATTCAAGGATACACAACATTAAGGTATAGATTCGATTCATAGATTTTTGAACTAATTGTTCAACCCATATTAGCAAGCGTTTGTTGGATTCAGGAAAATAAGAAAAACGTGCTACTTGCAGAATTTGTTTGGGGCGACATAAATTCACTGATGTGTTTATCACGGTTCATTTATCGCTGCTTTGCCATTTGTATAATTAAGGTAAATATAATAACCGTATCTCCTAGGATATCCAATTATAGCTTCTGTCAGGGGAAGAGAACAATCAAAATGTGCTCGTCAGGATCGCAAAACATTTTCTGACCAAAAAGGAGTATATGCTTGACTTTTGGTTCACGATATAGAACAATGAAAATTACTTTTAATCGTGCTGTCTGTAATTAATTAAATTTTAGTCTGTTTTCGCGAGTTGAAGCTTCTTATATTGCAAAATCTATTCAACTAGTTAGTATTTTTCGAATGATTTTTCTCCTTTTCTCATTAGTAATGTAGTAACAGTTGGCTCTAGGCCCGGTGATGGTTTTGTTCGTCTACACACACCCGTATCCTTGGTTACAATGCCGACACCAGATTTCAGTATGCCATTCAATGTTTTGTGTTTAGTGTGTTCAATTATCGCTGTTGTATTCGGGTCAGTGCACAAAGCCACAACAACTGTATTGAACGTTACACTGAAGAAACCTGAAGATGAATCATTATGGGTCCGTATTTTACAAAAAGCAAATATTCTGAGGAAAAAGGACGATCGGAAAACACCAGTAGTTGATTCAGGCATTCATGATAAAGTTGAATGACTTTTGTAAATGAACCGTTCATATCACTGTTTTTTATTCCCATGTTTTATAATACAAATATGAAAATAATTAACTCTTCCCTTTTTTATAACCCGATTTTTTGGCAACTGTCAATCAGCACCTCACTAGATAAGTGATGCGGATTATTGTTGTACGGTTGTAGATCCGCATACTTTTTGATGTATTTAATAACCTGTGTGCCTCACAGTATACTACTATAACTAACACTATTTGTTCAGGTTGATACTGACAAGCAGATTTTCCAGTTTGAAGATATTAGTGTTCACTTACATACACAAGGTATGCGTATTCTAACCGTAATACTTTGTAGTGAGTCTTTCTTCGAAATACGGTCACTATACATGGAAGTGTGCAGAAGCCTTATCTAGTTACTTGGTGAAACATCCAGAAGAAGTTCGTGGACTTCGTGTTCTTGAAGTTAGGCATCCTTTCCTGGTAATATATACCTCTTTAGTTAGGTGCTGGCACTGGTCTGTGTGGGATTGTTGCCGCTCTTCTTGGAGCTCGCCATGTTCACTTCACAGATAATGATATGACATGCGTAAATAAGTTACATTTTAATGCACAGCTCAATGGAATCAGCAATTATAATTTCACCATACTGGATTGGAATTATCCACTTAGTTACACAGGGGACGAATTTGATGTCATTCTTGCATCTGATTGTTTATACGACAAGAAAGGTTAGTTTTTCTTACACTTATTTTAGTTTTAGTGTATGAACCTCTCATAAGGACAGCGGCTTTACAGCTAAAGATACGAAATTGTAAATCTTTACTTCTTTCTTTCGAAAATCGCAGGTAATCACATGTTTGAAAAAAACTAACTTACTAAAGTTCTTTTACAGATATCGCCGTTTTGCTTAAAAAATATGGCCTCCAGCCCAATGTGTTAGCTGTACCTGATGATGTCTTCAAGAACATTCACATTTTCCGTATCCAACCTAATTTCCTTTAGTATATGTTTTGCACTAAGAATATTCATAAATTCATGGCTGCTGATTGAAGAAACCAACTCTCAAAGAAACTGAGTAGGATATCGCAACGCAGAATGCCTGTCATAAATTACATTGTTGTTTGTTTAATCTTAGTGATACTCTTTACCTGAAATGTTTCGATGGCAAACCGAATAACGAACCATCCAATAAAGCATTGCACTTTGACTTTAGGATACTCCCAATACTCTGTTGACTACTCAAGAAATGATTTTTTTAAACTTTCTAACTTTTTATTGAGTGTGTCTCTAAAAAAATCTGAAAGCGCATTTATAAAAAGTTAGGTAATTCGTCAATATATTAGTTGCATTGAGCTCCTTTTGTCGTCATGATTGATAGCTGCTCTTTCATTGTAATGACCGAGTAGATCATCTATGCACATTCAACCAAGAGGTTCGTAAGAAAATTGGAAAAATAGACAATGACGAAGTGAATTCTATGTTAACTTATCTGGCCTCTTGCAAAAGATTATAAATATGAATGCATTCATAGTGGAAAGTACGGTACGCCAAGGATATATCTGAAATCCAAACCCATTCAGATGTTTTCAACCGTCCATTTTCAGTCTCAGTCTAACTTGACTATTAATACAGTATTCGATCCTGATGTTATCACTCTGAATATTTTTAAAAATGACAATGATTGCCAAGATTAAGTGACTCGGCGAAGTTGGAGAGCTGGACGTGATTTTCTGTGACAGGTACCGATAAGCGGGAACTCGCTCATGACAACTGTAGGCAAGTCAGTTATATCGAAAATACGACTGCTTAGATCCTGAAATGACCGTTTTCAACACCGACTGAGGTATTCGTTTACCACTGCTGTACGAGGCAAGAAATAGTGTAGTGCGCACCGAAGATACATATCCAATAATAGCAAGTTAACATCAAAAATGGTAATGGCCTTTGATTTTCTCAACTAAGTGACAACCTTTGCTAGCCAAAAAAATCACAGTTAATACAGGTGGGCAAGAGTTTTATTATTGAAAATATACAGCATCGAAGTACAAAAGAGATAATATACTTACACCTATGTTTGATGCAGAAATGAAATCAAATAAAAAGTAGCGAAAATGTTTGCATTTCGTTCAGTAGATCACTTGATCAAAGACATTCGTAATTGTTCCTTTGCATTTTGGATGGCCTGCATAACATGGAAATGAATATTTCTAAATAGGAGTGCCAAAAACATGACTGTAAAACTTGTGTCATAAAATGAATACAGCACTTCACCGTAAGCCACTTTGTAGGTAAGTACACTACGTTTATTGTAGTTTGGTAATGCTTACCCTAATACGTAACGCATAACTAGTGCATGTGTATACAACAAGTAGCGACGGGTATATCTAGTGATAAACGTCTTGTATACAGATTTTAAAAGCAAATAGTACTAAAGTTATGAAGCCCTTGCACATATTTTCATCTCAAAAATCTCGGCATGAGCATATACCTTCATAATTAGATTAGACTACCTACACCAAAAAATGCTACAAGAGACAATTCTATAACAGTTACCGAATGACTGAAATGCGTAAATGCTTAGACATAAGTCTGCGGAAAAATTCCTTGATATATGTTGATGACCATAAGACTAGCTTTTTATAGTAATCCGCCTGAATCCTGTTCATCACTTCACCATTTCACCTCACTAGTAGTATTCGCCCAACTCATAACCATCGCTGTAAAACTTGATGCAGCGAAACTCCATTCTTGGTGTCAATCTCATATTAAGGCGCTTATCTAATAATAGTCCTAGCCAAAACATTTTGGACTGTATGCAGTGCTTCAAATCGCGAAATAGGTTATTAACAGTATCAACACGTGATAGCATAGCACTAAAATATCTATATCCTAACTACACAAAGGATAATAATGAACATAAAATTACCTGTGCAACGGTTTGTTCCCCAAGTGGGATATCATCTGTTCGCGCACCGACTCGGGAAACCAAGGCTGTCGCATCAGATTCTAACAGAATGCTTAAAAGGAATTATTAATTCATTGTTTAGTTACCCATTATGGCACAGTTCATCAACTATCAAGAAAATCAAATCCAAGTTGTCCATCAGTGTTTTCTTTTCAACCGATCGTTTCAGAGCTTGGCTGACAGAATCGTATAAACACTGCAGAGCACTAACAAGCAACAACTTGTAGAAATAAGGATGTAACAAGTAAACTCACTTCATTTTCATTAGCGTCACCGATTACATAAAAGTAGAGGTCGCCAACGTTGCGATATACACATGTCGCACCATCCAGTAGTGTGATTTCCGCTAAAATAATAACAAAAAGTTTCGCTGGTGTACCAGTACTTATGTTTGCTAAAAATAAACACTTGAATGTTTTAGGAAATATTGGGAAGTTCGATAACTATTCTTACAGGAGTCGCGGACATTAGAAGCCGGATTTTTGGCTGAGGATAAAAGCCTTATTTGCTCTTCAACAAGTATTCATACCCATCTAATCTCTTTCCGGACGAGTCGAGAGAATGCATGAACCACTTTTTGCTGCAGCCGGTCCCAAGAGTTAGTGACTTGGTGTGAAAACTAGTATTTCATGGCGTACTTGGAAGTGTACATAATCGGCCAACCCTAAGAAACTGTTCACCTTCCCTGAGTTCAATACTCTCTTCGAATTTCTATTAACACCTGTAGTTTTCAACCGCATAACAGATAGAGGTTCATCAAGTTAATTAGGACTGAAAATGTTGTGTTAATATTTTTATTTCCGGCATTACACCAGCCAATCTAGTAAGGCCCATGTCATTTATGGAGCATATACCTCAACATTGCCCAGCTGAGTACAAGTTTCCCCACAAGTGATGAGAAATAAACATATTAATCAACCTTATATATGTATATTTACTTGCTTAGATCTTGCAGTTGTGCGTAGTCTGATCGTGCTTACGACTAACAATCAAAAATTATGTCAATCAAATGGCCAATGAGATAAACCATTGATAAAGCACAAAATAATTTGCTCATACATATATATGCATACAAGTTCAGATCACAGTACAAATTGAGATGTCACTTACCACCACTAGACTTGCTGGTCTTTTTAAAAAGTTTCGATTCAAATTCAAGTTGCTGCTTTACCGTTGGGAACGATGAGTCGTAGTACTACTCAAATACAGAAAAAAAAAACATTTTTCATACCTTTGTCAGGATACGCTTGCCTTCATTGTCTAATATTATAATACTATTGATAGAATAAAGTGATGGTTCCTTTGAAAGAGTAAGAAAAGCAACTACGTACCAGCAACATCTTAAATACTCACAAGTCCCTATCTGGCTAGTGTTGGTTGGCAATATGTTAATTAGGCCGCTGTTACTGCGTGTAGGTCACTGCGACCTTCCTAAATTCAATGTGTTTTCGACGAGTTTCTTTATTTTTTTATTTTTGATTACAGCTTGATTCCACACTGTATTAATGGTACAAGTATGGAATTTTCAGCGTGGATATCGGTAGCCCGAATTTCGCAGGCCGACCATAGATATCAGGTGGGCTCGAACCCCGGACCATGTGCATGGTCGGCAAGAGTCCTAACTACTGTGCCACCGACTTCAAGGTTTTTAGTGCCCACTTCTTGTTCGGAAATGTCTTACACTCCTGTGGGATTCCGCCATAGTATATTCCTTCAACTGATGGATGCAACATGAAGCTGAATTAATTTATTTTATGCGGAATGTATGCTTGGTACTACACTAATAGCACTTGCGAGTTTTCTTCATTTGGTCAATTCCTCAATTATGTCATTAAACTCCATGCTGATAGAAAGGAAATCGAGAGAACTGGCAGGCGAAATTAATGGTAGGCAGGTAAGTAGAGTGAACATAGGACAAATAACATAAAGGGCTGATATAAATTAAAGAATAAAGCTGATGTCGCGAAAGATTTGTATTAAGTTAGAACAGAGTTTCACAATCCGTACATACGGATGGGATATTTTTATCAACAATAGAGTCCTCTAGTACTAGACTGCTTCCATTATAGGTGTCAGCAATAATGAGCGTTCTCTTGGCACTGACCCCAGAGGTATCACGGTACACATTATAGTGTGCTTTTATGTACATGCTCTAGTGATAGACTGTAGAAATATATGCGACAGCTTGATATATCTGCCAACATGCTTTTACTTCGGACACCGATTTTCCGTAGCATTTTAGTTTGAGTTTCCGCAGAAGAGGTGGATGAATCGATCAAGAAGGAAGGATTACCCCTAGGTCTAATCCCTTGTGTATCAACTACTACGCATGAAAATGCAGCACCTTCTTTAACTTTCTAGCATGGTCAGTTGTTTTTACGTCGACGGTAATTATAGACAAAACATCTTAAGGGAGGGGGGAAGAGATTTTTGGGGCTCAAGACAGATTTCCTCAAATCTGAATTTCAATATTTGGCATTTTGTAGCTTTTCACCCTGAGGCATAAAATTCAGCCTCGCCTTATTATGTTTAGGCGATTGCTCAAGAGTGTGATCGAGTGCTAAGAAATACGAGAATATACCAAACACTATTAATAGTTATTCTGTGTCCGACATATTGTGCCCAATGTAGTACATTCACAGGTTTTTCACTAGCTTCGTGGACTGTTTGAGGGCTTTGATGATACCATTTTGCGTAAGATATATGTCCAAGCAATCGATTATATATGGCTTTAGCCACCCAAATATCTTGTACTTGCCCAATCAATTTTCCCCTTGAACATAAATATTCACTAGTTCATCTGTTTGTGGGGTGAGGATTAAACGCTATGGCATCTTAAATTTACCTGGCTAGAATGGTGGCGGTCAACTGGGTTTTTGATTTCCTGTATGTAGTTGCTATCATAGACGCTTAAATGTAGTTTTGCTATACGCAGTTCCCAAAGAACTGTGACAAATATAAATGCAACAACTAATTATTCTGACGTTGTTTTAACGCTTTTTTTATTCAGACACAATGTTTTTTGTTGCACACTCTCTCTAGACTGGTTAGACTGGTTTTGGCGGTTATCAGTAAGTACGACGCCATGGAGCCCAATACATCTGTTGAGTTGTGTTCAAACATACAACAACTCCTCCATCCATATTTATCAGTCACAGGGTGTCAACGTAGTTGAAGATTGAACGATCAATTCATGGTTGTTTGCTCAAACCCAACCTCCGTATATTTTCGCGGAGGCATCAATACGACAGTCATCGTCTCATCGGTCGCTGTTCAGAAAGAAGTCAGGCCAAAACTGTGAGAAGTAATATTGTGATTTATTATTGTAATATCTGTTCATAGACCTTAGTTATTATGCTGCTCATATGTCGGTGTTAAAATAAAGAATTCTCGAGTCGCCAATCGGTGTTTTGGTTTTGCGTCCGTTAGTACTAAGCGTTTCTGAA